TATATGTTTCTGTTTGAAGTACTAAGACAGGGTAAGTTTCATCAAAATTGGTGACCATGCATGGTGGCAAAGAAGTTTAAGTGGTTATAGACAATGGCTAATTAACATTCCATCATATACCAGAGGAATTATATTGTATGCCATTTACTACATCTTTAAGGATTTTTTGGTTTCATCTTTGAAAACTATATCTTTGAATTAGATGGAGAACACTAATCGTATGTTGGACTTTACTATTGTTTTACAACTCAAGCTTCTAACCATAAATAACCTTATTTACATCGACATTACTACTTTAGCACCATACCAAGCAAATCTGTTCTATAATATAGGTGCAGAATTTCATGTATAGAAGCACCATGCATATCATACCATTCTGATTTATGTTAATGTTATGTCAATGAGTTTCTATAGATAAAAACACAGAACAGGATAGAATATTTTTTTTTATTTTTTGTATAATAGCACAAGGTCAGAATACACTCCAATACAGAAACTCTATACTTGTGTGTACATATAAGAGTAAATCTCTTTCAAAATACAAACAAAAGCACAAAAAATAGTGTAAAGTCACGCCTCGTTATCACGAACTACATGGGACCAAAATCAAAGTTTGAGATATGCAATATAATGATTCAAGATAACCAGGGTTAAAATATAAAAAATATACGTGGTTGGGACTGCCAACTCTCTTTAACATATCCCTGGTATTTGAGATATCAGTGTTTGAGGTAACAAACTTTTAGAACTGTGTAACTAAATGAAAATGGCTACAATTGAAAGTGAAACATATACAAAGCTTATTGATTATGCAACATAAAATCTGAACATGCAAATGATTGAAAGACAGAACCCCTATTATGCATGCTATATTATCATAAAGAGAAAGTTTGATTGATTGTATGTTGTTTTAGGTCCCATTCAGAAAAAGTTTCACTTCTGAGACCTCACCATATACCAGTGAAGAGCTTAAAATCTAGACTTTGCTTGGCACTCAGGGCCATTGAACAGTGATAGATCTCTATCGTACATGATACAAGTATTTGAGAAAGTGAAATTCAATAGTATGCAGCTGCCCAACTGAGTCTTTATGTGCATTTGACTGTAAATTCTTAAATGTTAATTTCTTTTTAAGGATATAAGGAATACAGCTGAAAAAGCCACTGTATGTTGAATTCAATATACTGCATCAGGGTAGCAAAGAAATATGGCACTTTGACTCCTTATTATATTACATTGAGAGACAAACTTACTATGATTTTTTTAAAAATATATATACATGTATATACAAGTAACAATGATAACATAGATACATGTAAATAACAAAAACTACATATAAATGCAAAGAACAGATCTACTTAATTCCCTGATTAATGTAAAATGGTTGTACTGTGCAATAGTATTGGACACATAAAACAATGTAAGGAATGTTTTCAAGTGACATTCAGTATGAATAATCAATGCATTATTTTGTGGACATCTATCCATCTCAAAAAATTCAATAGTTTAACAAATAAGCCAATAATAAGAAAAAATGTAACTGGTAACTAATTACTTTAAACAAGAGATGTTTGTAAAACACTTATGCCCCCCTCCCCCCAAATTGGATTTTTCCTAAGTCTAAAAGTGCATAACTCTGTCTAAAATGGTGCAATCCTACCCAAAACAAAAGTTGACTTAGATATTCAGCTGAAAAATCTGTATACTAAATTTTATTTCATTATGTGCAACCTCTGCAAAGAAAATGAACGGAAACTGCAAATAATTGGAATTTTTCTAAGTCAAAGGGGCATAACTCTGATAAAAAGGTTGTGATCGAACCCAAAACAGAACTTGTCCTAGATATTCAGCTGAAACATCCGTATACTAAATTTCATTTGAATATGTGCAACCTCTGCAAAGAAAATGAATGGAAACTGCAAATAATTGGAATTTTTCTAAGTCAAAGGGGCATAACTCTATCAAAAAAGGTGCGATCAAACCCAAAACAGAACTCGACCTAGATATTCAGCTGAAACATCTGTATACTAAATTTCATTTCAATATGTGCAACCTCTGCAAAGAAAATGAACGGAAACTGCAAATAAATGGAATTTTTCTAAGTCCAAGGGGCATAACTCTGTCAAAAATGGTGTGATCGTACCCAAAACAGAACTTGACCTAGATATTTACCTGATAAACCTGTATACCAAATTTCATTTCAGTATATGCAGCGGTTGTAAAGAAAATGAACGGAAACTAAATGGACCGACAGACCGACAGACCGACTGACCGACAGACCGACGGACAGCAGCAAAGCAATATGCCCTCCCTTCTTCGAAGGGGGGCATAAAAAGAATGATTGAGATTCCTCTCTATCAGTATTATTTTTCAACCAATGCAATTTGTATTGATTGAAAAGATAAAATCAGCAAACTTTCTCAGTTGAGGAAAGGGAAGGAAAATGACTGTAACAAAAGTTATGATAATAATACAAGTCTTATTTCTATTTCTTAAAAATATTTTCATTCTTTGTTGTCACTTTAAAAAAAATGAATAAAAAATAAGGAACAAAAGAAAAGAACAAGAGGCCCACGGGCCTTATAGGTCACCTGAGCATTCTGCAACAACTTTCCAGTTATTGAATTTGATTCATGTTTTAAGCCAGATGCTATATGGCATTCACAATTTTGAAAGAGGCACCATTGATCATCATAACAATACACTTAGCAGTTGCTTAGCTTGGTTTATTGATTTAAATATGCCCAATAATAAGTTCATAGGATCTTCATGAACGTTTCATGAACATTTCATGAATAGAATTCATGAAAAATTCAAGGTAATTCATGAATTATTCATGATCACCTCGCAGGGGTACTGAATACCCATACGCAAGGTAGGGGAAAAAAATGCATTCCAACTAATCAGTAATATTCAGCAATAATCAGTAATGCCCCTAACACTGTGAAATAAACCCCTGACCCTAGGTCCACACATTGCACAAATTTTAAAAAGGCACCGTTAAAATTGCCTATCAAAAAATAAATAAATGTTTTATAAATACAAAGGAGCAGATTTCAAACAATTAATTCATTTTCAGTATATAAGTAGAGCCCCACATCCACCCCTGACCCTGGGGCCTTGAAATTCAAAATTTTGCAAGATTAGGGCCCTTGCTCATCATAACTATTTAGGTAGTTCATCTGCTTCATACCCAGAGACAGAGAAGAAAATTTTCAAAGATTTAATGTATATTCACTATATAATCAACAGAGCCCCCCCCCACACCATAATATATAAAATTCACATTTTGGTAGAGGCACTCTTGCTCATCATAACTATGTACTTAGTTAGTTTATTTAATACCTAGGAGCAGAGAAGAAGATTTCAAAGAATTTATGTATTTTTACTATATAATCAATAGAGCCCCACCCTAACACCAGAACCCCTGACCCTGGGACCATAAAATTCACAATTTTGGTAAAAGCACTCTTGCTCATCTTAACTATGCACTTCGTTAGTTTATTTAATACCTAGGAGCAGAGAAGAAGATTTTCAAAGAATTCATGTATTTTTACAATATAATCTGTAGAGCCCCCCCCCCCCCCAACACCAGAAGCCTTGACCCAGGGACCATAAAATTATTCACAATTTTGGTAGAGGCACTCTTGCTCATCATAACTATGCACTTAGTTAGTTTATTTAATACCTAGGAGCATAGAAGGAGATTTTCAAAGAATTTGTGTATTTTCACTATATAATCAATAGAGCCCCCCCCCCCCCCCCCCAACACCAGAACTCTTGGCCCTGGGGCCATAAAATTCACAATTTTGGTAGAGGCACTCATGCTCATCATAACTATGCATTTAGTTAGTTTATTTAATACCTAGGAGCATAGAAGGAGATTTTCAAAGAATTTGTGTATTTTCACTATATACTCAATACAGCCCCCCCCCCAACACCAGAACTCTTGGCCCTGGGGCCATAAAATTCACAATTTTGGTAGAGGCACTCATGCTCATCATAACTATGCACTTAGTTAATTTATTTATATCTAGGAGCAGAGAAGAAGATTTTCAAAGAATTCATGTATTTTTACTATATAATCTATAGAGCCCCCCCCCCCTACCAGAACCCTTGACCCTGGGGCCATAAAATTCACAATTTTGATAGAGGCACTCATGCTCATCATAACTATGCACTTAGTTAATTTATTTAATATCTAGGAGCAGAGAAGAAGATTTTCAAAGAATTCATGTATTTTTACTATCTAATCTATAAAGCCCCCCCCCCCTACCAAAACCCCTGACCCTGGGGCCATAAAATTCACAATTTTGATAAAGGCACTCTTGCTCATCATAACTATGCACTTAGTTAGTTTATTTAATACCCAGGGGCAGAGAAGAAGATTTTCAAAGAAATCATGTATTTTCAATGTATATAATCAAGAGAGCCCCGCCCTAACACCAGAACCCCTGACCCTGGGACCATAAAATTCACAATTTTGGTAGAAGCACTCTTGCTCATCATAACTAACTACTTAGTTGGTTTATTTAATACCCAGGAGCAGAGAAGAAGATTTTCAAAGAAATAATGCATTATCACTACCTACTTATTTAGCCCTGCCCTAGCACTAGAACCCCTGACCCCAGGGCCATGAATTTCACAATTTTGGTAGAGGACTCAATGCTGATTACAATCATGCAAACAGTTTGACTGCTTGATGTCCAGGAGTAAAGAAGAAGATTTTCAAAGATTGCATTAATTTTAGTGGTTTTGGCCCCACCCCTCAGGCCCCAGGGGGGCAGGGATCATGAAATTCACAATTTTTGTTCCCTTTCACCCATAGATGCTTTGTGCCAAATTTGGTTGAAATTGGTTCAGTGGTTGCAGAGAAGAAGCTGAAAATGTTCAAAAGTTTACGAACGACGTACGACGTACGACGTACGACGTACGACGAACGACGACGGACGAAAACAGATAGCAATAGGTCACCTGAGTTTACTCAGGTGACCTAAAAAAAAACACAATGCCCATTCTTGGTTGTGGTTAATTTCCTATATAATATCAGATTGTAAGTTTTTTAGAAAACTCTGGATGAAATAAATCCCAGCATCCTTCGCTTCAAACATTCCCAGCATCCTTTGCTTCAAACAATCCCAGCATTCTTTGCCTCAAACAATCCCAGCATCCCTTGTTTCAAACAATTCTAGCATCCTTTGCCAGCTGATAAAACAAGCTGTCAGTTTTTTGTAGCAATACCTGGGGACTATCAAATTCTCTGACTACACCTTGGTCCAGTACCATGATCCTAAACCAGACAAAAATTAAAACAAAGAATTAAATCAGTATTCCAAGAACAGATATAAAATGATTTATCACTCAAATGGTTTTTGGTTTTGAAAAAAAAATATGTTTCAGGAAAACATATCACTATAAACATAAACATTTTTTATATATCTTTGGGCATTTATAACCATTGTTGTTTACTTGTCTTCTGTAACTTTCTACCTGTCATAATCTATCACTGTGTTCAGACGATGTGCGATGGTCAGAACTGTACAATCACGAAACTCCTGTTTTATGGTGTTCTGAATGAGTTCATCTGTTTCCATGTCAACTGCTGCTGTAGCTTCATCCAGGATCAGGATTTTGGTTTTGCGTAAGAGTGCCCGAGCTAAACAGAGTAGCTGCTTCTGTCCAACACTACAACCAATTAATGTCCAGATTTTATGCAATATGTTGTACAGTGTTTGAAACTAGCTGTAAATTAAGCTAGACATTCAGGACTGACTGCCAGTAAAAATTGTCAGCCCTGTAAAAAATTTACTAGCCCGAAAAAGTTAAAAACAAAAACAAAAAACCAAAACAATTGTCTTTTAAAAAACTGATTTAGCAAAATTGTGAATGGGGCCAGATCACCAATATTCGATCCTGAACCTAAAGGCTGATAAATATACAACTCATTTGCTTGTTACACTTTGCCACCAGTACTATTAGTTGATTTGAGGGTTTTTATAAACTAACTGAATTTCAATTTAGAAAATTTGACACGTCCAGCCGGGCGTCAATACATGTACACGTTTGCCCGTGATGAAATTTATGCAACTCGGGCGGTGGGGCGCACGGTTCTTTCAAATTCTGCATTGTATCTCCTCATAAAATTCATTGTAATTTTATTTCTTATAACGATGTTTCTTCTCTATTTATTGAAAGGTACATTATACAATATCCAAATTAAATATAATATTATATTAAATATTGAATAATTCTGCATAAGCAATGTCTGACACTTAATTTTAATTTGTCCATGTATGTAATTGGTACACATTGAAACTTTTAATATTTTGAAATGTTTCAGAGACATGAAATCTAATTTAGTATTATAGAAAAAATTATATCATATCATAATTGTGGACTTAAATATTTTGTATTTCTTCACCTGAGATTTTGCCCCCCTTCTCCGCAGTCGTACTCCAGACCTGTGGGTAGTGTCTGGACAAAGTCCTTCAGGTGAGCATGTTCCAGGGCCTCCCACAAAGTCTGGTCAGTGTACCCACTCATCGGGTCAAGGTTCATTCTCAGGGTCCCAGAAAATAATACGGGGTCCTAATGAAAGCACAGATAATAAACATTTACAAGCAAGTTTTGTTAACAAAAAGAACAACATAGAATGATAATGTTACAAAAATTATTACATTTATTTATCTAATCAACATAATAATGTAACCCAAAAATAAAGATCTATACAATCATGATGAATGATGGGAAATAAAAATTATTCTCTGAAAGCTCAAATAAGATGGCAGTCAAGATGTACCTGTGGAAGGATGGTTAATCGTGACCTGGAGTCATGCAATCCCATGTGAGAGAGATTTTCTTTATCGATGATAATAGAACCGGATGTTGGTTCAATTAAGCGGAAAAGTGCCAAAGTCAGGGAAGACTTTCCAGCTCCTGTTCTTCCCACGATTCCAACCTACAATCCAAAGTACACAGCTAAACATTCAAATAACAATGCTGATGAACTTACTCTTGAAAAGTGTTTTTAAGGCATTTTTGGTATTTTGTAAAACTTAACTTACAATAATTTATTGATGGGATAAAATTTTGATTTTTTTTTTTTTTTTTTTTGGTTGCTATTTTCCATGTAAAAATTGTTTCCTGAAAAGGCCATTTTCAAATTGGTAAAATTGACCCTTTTTCAAAATTAACATACCATTTTCTTAGAAATAAACCTTTGTTATTAATATAATTTTTTTCAATTTTCCTCGTTATTAGAATTAAAAGCAAATGAAGACTAAATATTAAATATTGGTAGATCAAAGTCAAATCTTACCTTTTCCGAGACATTGACCTTGAAGTTGACATTTTTCAGTACCAGGTCAAGGCCACTTCTGTACTTAGTGGAGTAGTTTCTGAACTCCACCACACCTTTTGTTGGCCAATCGTGTGAGGGACGATGATAGGGGTTAATAAGGTCAGCCTGAATAACATTATCTTTTTATCAACACCGATACACAATACAAATCTGACTTCATGATTCCAATCAAAGTGAAATATTTCCATTTAGCCATAATGTACATGTATTAAGTTAATTTACCCGAATCACCAAACAACATTGAAGTCAAACTTTCCGAAATGATTTTTAAAGTGCCTGAATTCGACAGTTTTGCATGCTACAGTAAAACTTGGTTAAAACGAAGTCACTGGGACCTATGAAATTACTTCACTATCTGCAATTCATTATATTGGTGTAAGAAATTCGTAAACTTCTATAGCTGGGGATCCGCAATATTTGTGTTCATACTAAACAAGTTTTACTGTACAAATAATTTAGCTGTATGTGACTCGCCATTCTTGACCCTCATACCTCTGTTGGTGTCTTGGTGTACTCTGATACCCTCTCCACAGCCACCACATTAGTCTCCAGTTCCGAGATCATCCTCACAAACCAGTTCAGGTTGTCAGTGACCTGTCAAGGTCAAATAAAGAGAATTAATTGATGTGTGTTACCAGTAAAATGAGGGGACACATATGAAATTTTTTTTAATTTTATAGGATAGACAGACCAAGTTCTTCTGGCTGCAACTTTTCTGATTTTTCATTTAAAAGAACCTGATACATATACCATACATAAATAATTCATTACCCAAGAAACACAGATTTTTTCCTCAAGGAGTTGCACCCCCACTGGTAAAAAAGTAGGTTTCAACAAATGTTACAGAACTCTTTCAGAAGTGGTTTATCAAGGCTACTACTCACTGTAGTTATGAGATACTGCCATACCTGTAGAGCATAGGAAATAGAGAGCCCCACTATCCCTCCCTGTATTGTATCTCTGGCCAGAACGGCAAAGATGGCTGCTGCCAGAACTACGAAATTTCCCAGGAGTTCCAACCTGAATCCAAGCCACCTACAAAAAAAGTTTCCATAATTCTTTGTCACACTACTCACTTGTTTTATAAGAATTTTATGGTTTCTATATAAAAGATTTTTTTTATTTGCACAGGGAAGTTGTACAAAAAATAACTATATGGAACTCCTTCAAATTGTTCCATAACTGATTATACTGAAACCAACATTTTTGTATCATTTTTGAATAACTCTGATTATCCATCCTAATTTTTTTTTGAAAAATGTAAAAAAAAACTATTTAAGTTTTTTTTTAAACAATACTTATCCATAGTGATTTACCTATTAGCAGTGTTACTGGCAAAAGTGAAGACCTGGTTTTTATCTACTCGTTTTTGGGACTCAAGAATAAACTCATTCTGTAATCCAAAGGCTCTGATGACACTTGCTCCAGTAACGGTCTCACCAAAATGGCTGTAGATGGGAGAACGCGTCTTAGACTCTAATCGTTTTAGCTGGCGGGAAGTTGCAATGTAAAATCTCTGCAAAATTTAGGGAATTCATCAGCCTTTTAAAAAATAATGAACAACAATATAGAAGATACATATATATTTGTCACAATGAATGTCCATGAGGTCTGTGTGCAAGTTACAAATTATGCTTGGTCCTGAACATTGAAACTCCTGATAAAAATAATCTTCCAAACATGTCATTTTTTAAATCATAGCCACTCCACAATGTGAAGTACATTGGGCATTGTAATATTAAGAACATAAATTACTAAGAACACAATTCATGCTTTACCCTGATGATTTCCAAATTAAAAAAAATAAAAGAAAATTAACATTTGTGTATATGTAATGTAATCAATGCCTTTATGAGTTTCATAACCTTTGGAGAAAATTGATGCATTTTTAAAATTTGCTATCATTAAAGAAGTCAATGAATGCAGTATCTGCACTTTGTCACATAAAATTCAGGAATATGGTGAAAAAAAAAATTGCTGCTCATTTATGCCAAGAGTGAAGACAAGAATACCTGTGCCAGGAAGTAAAGAATCCCCAGAGGCAGGATAACAGTCATAAATATAGGGGTACTGAATGAGATGACAATCAATGCTCCCACCACCATCAACAGGCAGTCGGCAAACATAAAAAACGTATTGGGCAACTCTCCATCAATGGTGCCGATGTCATCAGAGAATCTATTTACTATGCGACCTACAGGGGTCGTATCAAAGAAGGACATGGGTGAGCGCACAATGTTAAATAGCATTTTCTGGTGGAGAGTTCTTGAGGCGATAATGGTGCGAAGCACAAAGACAAATTGTAGGATGACAATGAGCACAGCTGAAAAAAAAAATTCATTTATTAAACAAATTATACAGCTAAACTCGTTTAGTATGAACACGGATATTGCGAATTTACGGATATAGCGAAGTCATCTTGGATCCCCAGCAATATAAATTTAATAAATTTCTGATACGGTTATAATGAATTACGGATATAGTGAAGTGATTTCATAGGTCCCAGTGACTTCGTTATAACAGAGTTTTGCTGTACTTTGATATCTTATGAAGATCAAAATACGCTTTAAGTTTGTATTTTTCTTTTAAATACTCTACATTGATCTATACATATTTTTAGAAAACTTATTTTAATAAGTTAATTACTTGGTATTCTACGGAAGCCCATTTAGGACCTATCAAAAATATTATTGAATTCGTTATAACGATTTTTAGAATTCGTTATAACGAATTTAATTTGTCATAACAGATTTTTTGAATTCGTTATTAATTTGTTATAACACCATCATTGAATTCGTTATATCGAATTTAATTTGATATAACAGATTTATTGAATTCGTTATTACTAATTCAATCTGTTATTACAGATTTGTTGAATTCGTTATAACCAATTCAAAAATTCGTTAAAACAAATTCTTGAATTGGTTATAATGAATTCAACAAATCTGTAATAACAGATTTAATTCGTTATAACGAATTCAATGAATCTGTAATAACAAATTAAATTCATTATAACAAATTCAATAAATCTGTTATAACAAATTAAATTCATAATAACGAATTCTAAAAATCGTTATAACGAATTCAAAAATACACACTAAAGCTTCACCTGATTCATAAGCATGAAAAAATTTTCATAAATTTTGGTTGTGTTGCATAACATTATGAATTCATGTGAGATTGAAATAAGCAAAAAGTCTTGCGTTGTTACATTAAAATATGTCCTCACAAATAAAATGTAACATACAAAGTACTTATTTTGAGGGCTTGTACAATCACTATCATTTTAAAATAAAGTTTTCCATTTTTATTATTAAACTACCATCACACCCTTGACAATTACCCTGCACTCCTCCCAAGCCACCATAAATACCGAAGTAGAAGTCATTCTTCTCCCGGCGCAGTGAACTGTTCCCGAGAACGGAGGAATTCTTCAGAGTCGCATCCTCCGTCCAGTAACTTATCCAAGTCGTGGAAAATATACAAACGACAATAAATACAACATGCAGCACTAGATATATTATGAAGTAAGGCATTCCTAGGGCTCGGGCGTACTCTAAGAAAACACTCAGCTTCACCTGAAATCAGAAAATAGTATCATGAGAAAGGGATGTTTGAATTGACAATGTAACTTTTATAAGTTCTCTTTTTTAAGGGATATTAAATCTATGCACAAAAATTTTTTTAGGGGGTTATTAAGACAATTTTCTTACATATACAATGGGGATAAATCCATAATGTAAGCAGATAAAACCTTATCAAATACTGTAAAATCACATAATTTCATGGGATTAAATTTTCAAGGTTTGAGGAGAAAATGATGGTTTGTGGGGATTTGATTTTATGGTTGGAAAATATTTAACAGTTATACTGCAATTTTACATTTCATGAGGGGGGGGGGGGGGTCATAACCTTGTGGGTTTTTTCGTACCTTGAAAACAATGAAAATTAAACCCCCATGACAATTAACGATTTCACAGTAGGGGATAAATCTATAATGTAAGAAGATATCACTTTATCAAAAAGGGCCAATTTGACAGCTGCAAGGATTGCAGCCCTCCCCCTATTTTTGTGTTTTGGGTGGAAGAATGACAGAAAAAATTGTGAGAGTACATGTTTGCATCTAAAATTTCTATAAAGAACTTAATTTCAGTGTATTCATATTTTAATAAGTCGTCAAACCACAAAAATGTTGAAAAACATATTTCTTGTAATTTTTTTTCCACAGAGCTAGGTACTGAATACTTACACTGCCTATTTCAGCCTTTTCCTCTTCTATAAGTTTGTGGTTCTTTGACTGTTTGTTCTTTTTCTCTACGGTTTTCTCATCTTTCTGTGTCACACTTCGCTGACGAAGTAAAGTTGTCTTCTCACTTTCAGACTCTGAAACCCTGAACAAATTTGAAATCCTCCATTAAAATTATTCAATATCTCTTGTAGATTCACTTTTTCAAAATTCATTGACTGTTTACTTTCATTGACAAGGAAAAATTTGTACATGTATAACAAAATACTAGTAACCTTTTCCCTGTAAGAAATGCAATTAATTTTAAAATATAATGTTATCCACACATATTTACTATTTGAACGTTTGTTTAACTAATTAGGAAACAGTTCTATAAATATAAGGATTTTTTTCACAATTAAGAAATGAAGTTATAAAGATAGCTTAGGGGGAACTGCATCTAGCAAACTGGAGGTGAAGATCGAAACAGAGTCCAGCTTGATAAATATTCAGTTACATGTTTCAATGCATAACACAGATATATACAATGAGACCCATTAAAATATAACCTAATCTTAATTTACAGAGATGATCCACATGTTTTTATAATATATAATGGAGAAAAGTTATGTTAAGTTTGTGTCAAAATCCTCGTCATATGACTTCACAGATATCAGTCGCTGTAAGATTTTCTCTTTGGCTTCTCGCACTAGTAAAATTTGAAAAAAAAAATGAATTATTTTATCAAAAGAAAACACTCTTCTTCTTCGTATTGATAAAGTTTCAGTATTTTTGTAATATTTGATTGAGAGTATTTTTGATACTTTTTGAAGAGAGAGAGAGAGGGGAATTTTCAATTCACAGGACCAAGAAAACATTCTAGTATTACTTCTACTATAATTTTTTTTTTTTAATTTTATCTTTCTCATATCTATATAAATTATTTCACTCTAAAATATAACAATCTGATTATTGTAAGTGTAAATTACAGTGTACATATATGTTAAGGATGTCTAAAAAAACACACACATAAGGCCTGAGACTAGTGTATTCATTTCTTGCATAGTAACTTATGGTAAAAGTGAGCTAATGTGAGGCAGACTTGGTTTAACCACAACACTGCTTGTGCAGCTTTTAATAAAAAATTATACTTATATGCAATTACATTTTGTTAGCTTTGTGTACATTCAATCTATTATGTACATGTAAAGACCTCATACCATACTCATCTCTGTCCTCTGATTGAATATTTTCTAGTGATGAACTCACTAGAGTGAAACCAGGAAAGCTACTTTCTATATCTGTTTATGACATTATATTTATAAATCATGTTTGTAAAACCTACTGTATGAAGGATAGTGCTTAGCACACAATTTATTACAGTACTGCCAAACAAACAGATGCACAAAAATCAATTATTTCTACCCCAGGTTCCATACAATCAAATGCATGCGAATTTAAGAAAACTTTTGAAATAAGACACATGAGCATTTTTCTAAACCTTTTTAATAAACCTTATAATTAATCCTATAATTCCTATATACAAGTAGACACATATAAACACACACCTTCTGGATCCTCCTCCGTCTCTTCTTTTTCTTTCTCCCCGGTGAGGTATGTGCTGAGGAACTCGGCAAAAGGTCCAGCATGGTCGACCAGCTCCTCATACGACCCGACCTCTGATACATGGCCGTTAACCAGCACCACAATCTTGTCTACCTTTGGCAGCCAGTGTATGCCATGAGTGACCAAAACTCTTGTCTACAAATATTTATAATCATTTCATCGTAGACTAATATGTGGATAATGGTTCAAAGCACTATAGAATTTCAAAATGCTTTCATTTGATAATGGTGATGAAACCACATATGATAAGAGAAAGATGAGCACCAGTTGGAATGAATTTCAAAAAAAATTTACATAATACAGAATCTGGAGAACACAATTAACCAATATAATTCATATTCTGTCAGTGCTTAATTGAAATTCTGACAATCTTTCTCTACGGGTCCTCTTTATATGTTCACCTTGTTTTTAAGCATCCCTGTATTTCCTATTACTTCATCAAACAAATGTTTGCCAACATGGGAATCTACAGCAGACAGAGGATCATCTAGGAGATAGATGTGTGTGTCATGGTATACAGCTCTGGCCAAACTCACTCTCTGCTTCTGTCCACCACTAAGATTAACTCCCTGAAGAATATTTCAAACATTTCTCATGTCAAAAAATGATCTAAATGTTCAACAATTTTTATGTATATATCATACTTCTTACAACAGATTTTCACTAATTCTTAATTATCTCCCCTTAAAAGGGTTCATTCTACCTATTCCCACATTTTGAAAATCAGGTAGAAAAAGGTAAGATTCTATGTGGGAGTAGATGGAATTTTTGTGTAAACAAATAATGAAGATAATCCAAATTTCATAATTCTGATGAATTAATAACGCTTTCCTAATATTGAATTTGACCCAAATAATTGGATACAACATGAATGATCAAAGAAGACTTCACAGAAGAATTGCCTACATTTTCTCCTATTTCTGTCTGGTCACCAGAGGGCAGTATGTCAAGGTCTGGCTGTAGAGCACACTCTTTGATGACTTTTTGGTAGAAAGCAGATCTCATTGGCCGACTGAATAAAATGTTGTTTTGCACACTGTTGTTCTGAATCCAGGCTTGCTGGGGAACATACGCCACAGTGCCCTGATGTAAAGAGAGTGAATAAAGTCATTATCAAACTTTTTGAACAAATATAACAACATAAAACAACCAATTAGACCAAAATTCAGGAATTTAAAAGTTTTGTTCAATACAGTTTTCCTTACCCTGACATTAACTTGACCTTTGACCTTGATCATTTCTCCCAACATGGCCGATAATATGGAGGACTTTCCTGATCCCACCTGTCCTACTATGGCTACTAGACTTCCCTCCTCAATAGTCAGATCAATGCTGGAATCAATCAAAGATGTCTCACATAAAATTGTGCTGCTCATTTGAAACAAGAGGCCCACGGGCCTTATAGGTCACCTGAGTATTGTGTAACAACTTTCAAACAATTAAATTTGGTTGTTGTTTTAAACCAGAGGCCATGAAATTCACAATTTACAATTTTGAAAGAGGCACCATTGCTTATCATAATTATTAACTTAGCATGCTTACTCTATTTACTTAATACCCAGAGGTAGATCAGAGTAACAAAGAAAATGCACTTCCACTTTATACCCAGTTGTGCACCTCACCCTAAAGGAACCACTGACCCATGGGCCACATATTTCAAAATTTTGCAAATTTTATCATGAAATGGTTGATTAATACCAAAGAGCAGATTTCAAAGCATTTATTTTTTTTCAGACTATGTAACCCCCCCTCCCCTCTGACCCTGGGGGCATAAAAAAAACACTTTGCTAGATGCACCTTTCTTAATCATAAATATATATATATATATATATATATATATATATATATATATATATATATATATATATATATATATATATATATATATATACTTGGATCATTTGGATAAAACCCAGAAGCAAAGGAAAATATTTTCAAAGAATTAATGTATTTTTTCTATATAATCAATATAGCCCCGCCCTAACATCAGCACCCCTAACCCTGGGGCCATAAAATTCACAATTTTGGAAGAGTCACTCTTGTTCATCATAACTATGTGCTTAGTTAGTTTATTTAATACCCAGAAGCAGAGAGGAAGATTTTCAAAGAATAATGAATTTTCACTATATAATCAATAGAGCCCTGACCTAAAACCAGAACCACTGACCCTGGGGTCATAAAATTCATAATTTTGGAAGAGCCACTCTTGCTCATCATAACTATGTACTTAGTTAGTTTATTTAATACACAGAAGCAGAGGAGAAGATTTTCTAAGAATTAATGCATTTTCACTATATAATCAATAGAGCCCCGCCCTAACACCAGAACCCCTGACCCTGGGGCCATAAAATTCACAAATCTGGAAGAGGCACTCTTGCTCATCATAACTATGTGCTTAGTTAGTTTATTTAATACCCAGAAGCAGAGAAGAAGATTTTCAAAGAATAAATGCATTTTCACTATATAATCTATATAGCCCCACCCTAACACCTGAACCCCTGACCCTGGGGCCATCAAATTCACAAATCTGGAAGAGGCACTCTTGCTCATCATAACTATGTGCTCAGTTAGTTTATTTAATACCCAGGAGCAGAGAAGAAGATTTTCAAAGAAATAATGTATTTTCACTATATAATCTATAGAGCCCCGCCCTAGCACTAGAACCCCTGACCCTGGGGCCATGAATTTCACAATTTTGGTAGAGGACTCAATGCTCATTACATTCATGCTAACAGTTTGACTGCTTGATGTCCAGGAGTAAAGAAGAAGATTTTTAAAGATTGCAATAATTTTAGTGGTTTTGGCCCCACCCCTCAGGCCCCAGGGGGGTGGGGACCATGAAATTTCAGGATTTTTGTTCCCCTTCACCCATAGATGCTGCATACCAAATTTGGTTGAAATTGGTTCAGTGGTTTCAGAGAAGAAGCTGAAAATGTTCAAATGTTAACACACGACACACGACGCACGACGCACGACGCACAAGGACGGACGAAAATGGATAGTAATAGGTCACCTGAGTTACTCAGGTGACCTAAAAATACAGTTTCAATACTTAAATGCATGCATGTCTTTTTATCTCGCGCCTCACTTTTTATTTATGAACATAGTGAACTGTTTAAAGTGACAGAATATTTAATCTTACTTTTTCAAGCTGAAGCATTCACCAACTTCAGGATCCCACATAAAGCTGCCTTGATTTATGGTTATTGCATCATCTGAAACAAAACACTTACCATATACATTATATGTTACTAAACATATAGTCAAATATGATTGCATTGTATATTTAATTTTACTTCATTATAATTACTCCTAACTTTTATTGTAAAAAGTTATCAACCAATAAGATATACCTCCCATTCGACTGTGTGTTACACACTCTGTGTCCAGATCTGGATTATTCAGGAAATTCTTCAGTCTATTGAGAGAGACAACAGCCTTCACCACCTCTGTCATTATGTAGGGGGCCATATTCACGGCAAAGCGTAGAATATTAAGCAAGGTAATTCCCACAAAGGCTACCTCAGGAGACAGGAAATGGGTGTCGATGGTATACACATAAACACCGAATGTTAACATTGAAACCTGGCAAAAAAAGTCTTTATCATGAAAGATAATCAGAAATTATTGATGAAATCTCACTCGACTTACATTCGTCATATCTTACTGAAAATAACCAGATATTCATGAGAATTTTTTTTTAATTACACAGTGATTAAATTTTCATTAGGCAGGCAATCGCATAACAATGTGAAAAGTTCTTGCAAATTAAAAACTGATTTACAGCAAAAGAAACATTTAATGTGTCCTTGAAAATGGCAAGTTAATTAAAATTTTATCATTGCCCTAAGTACATGATTGTAAATACTGCATCTCCTTGTACGAAAATGAAATATTGAAGGATGTTGTGATTACCATATATGGAGCCAATATCCATGACAACCAAAAGAAAAGACCAATCATGCTCTCCTTTTTTAAGATGCTTAACTCTACATTCCGAATTGCCTCTATCTTGTCTTTGAAGGACATTTCCCAAGCATATAATTTCAGAATCTATAAATAGAAAAATGGTAGATTTAATTCTTAACAGTACATGTTCTACGTGTTTGAATCAATCCTACTATTGGCAAAAAAGATGACACATGCATCTGTGATAATTTTAAGAAATGATTAAATATTACATACAGTATTGTGCAGTGTAGAGAAATATTTGAATACAGACAGTCACAAACGGGTAAAACAGTAAACCTCCTTAATGCATGTAATAATACCTTGATACCATTCAGAACTTCTGTCAGGAGTTTTATACGATTGTCTTTTTCTTTCATTTTGGCTTTCTGTAATGTTTGCATTTTACTCATGATGAATCCATTGAAAGGAAACAAAAGAATAATGAATCCTAGACCAGCAAACATGGCGTATTTAAAAGTGTCGTACAGGAAGTAGAGGGCGACACCTGTCTGAAGGAGAGATGACCAGGCCGACCACAGATAAGGGATCAAATGTTGAATATTTTCTGTGTCCACTGACATCAAGTTCACTATCTCACCCACAGTGGAACCCTTTCTTGCTTCATTGTTCATTGTTAAAGCCTAAAATATTGAAGAAATTAGGAACTTCATTAAAATATTTAATTTCTTAATTTTTTTAAACTCAATGGTTTAATAAAAAAAAATTAAAACTAAGATTTAGCCAATTATATGAACCGCCTTGGCATAGTAAATGTCACTTTAAAAATACAACTACATGTACAATGTACCATCCTCACCCCACCCCTTCCTTTCTCCAAGCTTGGACAACAACAGAAGGACTTACTTTAAAGTTTAATACAAGGTGGGTTTTTTAAAGAAATTTGCTATCTTGCCAAAAATCCAACAAAAAGAGCTTTAATTCCCTTACCTTTTTATACACAGCTGACACTAAACAAGCCCTGACCCTGAGTCCTAATGCCACACTCCAGTAGAACAGCTGATGGAAGAAAACGGACTGCAGAAGAACGGTCAGGAAAAAGCCAGCCGCCAACACATAGCCTTTCCAGTTCTCCCTCCACGTGGTGTCATTGGGGTCATTCTTAGAATACTGGATTAGGTACCTGAAACAATAGATTACTCTTAGTCCACTTTTTGATACTGAAAACATATTTTTTTCCAAATTAAGGGTCATAATTTCCGAAGAAGAACATTTTCTGTATAATCGGTGAATAGAAAATTATGGGCATTTCTATGATTGACAAAATGATGTCTTCAATGAAATTTGAGTATGGTGCAAAAAATTCCAAAATTATGACCAGATAATCTCTTAAAGAAAAATTATGCCTGAATCATTTACGGTATATAGAATTTTTTTCTCCTTATTCCACATTGTAAAATTTAAGAGCCCTAAAGAACCTAAACTTTTTTTAATAAAGGCCATAATACATGTACATGTATTGTCAAATTTAAATTATAAAGTGCTAAATGAGGATATTTTCCTTAAAATTTGACGAATTAAAACCCTTTTTTTTTTATTACACATAATCATAAATGTTATAATGTCCCTACTCACTATATAATAGATATTTTGTATACCAATTTTAGGTGACTCCTAATCACATGTACTTACTTCAAAAGTTGAGGCAGAACAAAAACAAGAACATCATAAAAAAGCTTGAATATCTGTGCATGGAGCAGTTCCCATCCAAACGTTTTAAAGAGCACATTTAACAAAGAGGGCCCTGGAACTTTGGTTTCTCTCTTTGATTTTTCTTCTTCACTTTTAGGCAGAAGTGGTGATTTCTCTGAGGTCTCCTCTTGTATGCTTGTATAGTTACTTGAGTGCTGCATCTCAGAGGTGGGGCCTGGCACCACAGAAACGGTAAGGGACTTTCTGGAAAAGGGAGATAAATCTTATTACCCAGTAAATGTTAAATCTAAACTGAGTGTTTCATTTATATTAGCTGTTCTACATTTACATGTACAACTCGCATTTTTTTCTCTGATTTTTTTATGCTTTATTTGCTATCGAGTTCTTCGAAGATAACTCCTGTCATCCATGTTTAGTATACTGTAGACGTACTTTTTTCCACGGGGTCATAATTCCGCGGAATCTCAATTTCTTTTTAATCCGTTGATTTCTTAGACCGTCACTAAATGCCTTACACTTACATTAAGTACGCTTGGACAAATTTCCGCGGAAAAATTGTGACCGTGTACATAGCGTAAATTAATACCACGCGGAAAAAAGTACTTCTACAGTATTCCATTCAAAATGATTCTGATACAAAATTTTATGACCTTTTTTATAACAGATATGCATGCTCTTACTTATTTTTTTGTTCTTGCTTAAATTTTTCCTTCTCTCTCTCCCATTTAGCCTCGAATCTTGGTATGACAGTTTTGGACTGTTCTCTTGGATTTAATGAAAATATATCTTCTGTCACTGGTGTTTTGTAGCCAGAAATCATCAAACTGTTAATAGACACAGAATGTGAAACATAAATTTCAAAAAGGTGAATTTAAGATTACAATTCTCAGTATCTCTGGTGTATCTGAAATTACTGAATTTCGTGACCTGTTTATCCACCAAAATGTTATTCGTGATAGAAATGATGCTCGTTGTTCTGGACATTCTTTCTGTAAAATAGACAGAGAAATATTGAAGTGTCAGGGTTTATATAGCTCACAACAAATGCCTTCCGTTATTATCATAGGTCTATATTACATAGTTATGGAATGGGTATGACGGAAATAGAAAATTTGTGGTTCCCTGAGGGAGGTAACTATTTCCCGAGGTGGTGAAACGGTTTTATTATATCAAAAAAATCATAGGCAAGAACTGGGTACGGTATGTATAACGAGGCGGCCCTGTCTCTAAATCTGATTGAAGTTTTTTACAAACATGCCCACGATGTGTCCTTCCAAAATCATTTTATTTTTTGGAATTATCTCTTACCGTTTTTCCGCCAGAGGTTTGGGAAAATGGTGCATTTTTTTCAATAATTACAACTTTTGACGTAACGACGTCATCACGACGTTACTGATGTTAACGTTACGTTAAATGAAATCTGTAAATCCTCTTAACCGAGAACTTTTACTTAATCCTGCAAATATACGTGACTATACATCTACTGAGACAAAAACTGCTAAAACATAGACATTTTTAATATTGATTATGCTTTACAATACCTCCTAAATATAAATGTTTATAGATATTTAAAAGATTTCAGTGACAATAATAATTTCAATTCCAATCCTGTCGCACTTTCTTTGGAAACATTAACTTTCTGGGGCCTTCGCAATGTTTTACGTCATTTGTTCTTAAAATACTTTTCATACTTTTTCGGAACGAATTTTCATCACAGACGGAAGTTAACATCTTTAAAATTCAGATCTGATGTGTACCATTTTCACTAAGGTGATATGCAATGGACACCCCTCCCCACCTTCCCAGCCCTTATGAATGTCATTTGTATCAATATTTATATCCTATGACATATTTAATGTATTATTTTATGGGTAATTTTGTTGAAATTCTTTTAAATCCTAACAATATTTTGTCTGATACATTCGTTTTAACACAGATAATTTTAAAAAGCAATTTATTGTCTTATAAATGACTTAATAATTTCTGAAAAAGTCCTAATCGAACTAAATACATCGTTTATGCAGCGGAAGGGGAAAAGCATGTCTCTTGTAAAAAAATTATGCAATTGTTTTTATTTCTTAAATATACAGCGGATTCATATAATTATGTTAAAATTGCCTTCACTTGTCTGTGTAAAAAAATGTTAATTGCTATTGGGAACTGTTAATCTTTATTCAGAAACAAATAAATAGTTGATTGCATCATGTTTCTTTTTAAAATTACATAGAAATTGCCGAAAACACTTGCAACTGTAGCATTTGACAAAATAATATTATTTCATTATCTAAACTCCTTATAGATTACAGTTGCGGATTCAGGAATTTAATAAGGGGGAGGGGGTGGTACATCGTCGCAAACCACGGTCAAAATGTACGATCCTCTCCCATTCAGTAGGAGAGAGCTATATGCGGACTCTGGACCGTCGCTTGAGACGGTGGGGGTGGTATAGAGGACAGGGTGTCTGGAGCTGCGTTGAAGCCCCATGGGGGTTGAGAGCACATTCCTGGTAGGGTCCGGGGAACGAACATCTGCTATAATATGTGCCCCCCCCTCTTTGATTTAGAAAACCAATCGTCACCTTGCAGGAATTTTAGAATACATTGCAATGGCGGTAAAATAATATTTCGGACTATCTCATACCATACGTGTAGATCTACTGATAAGTTTGTGTTTAATGCTAGTAACAAAAAATAATTAATTACATGCTTAAGATTGTTTTACAAAATATAAGCAAATTCTTAAAAATCAAACTGTGGATTGGGGGGGGGGGGGGGGGGGGGGGCTCGACAATATATACGGCCCTGGATCCGCCTTTGAATTGCATGTTTAATTTAAATCTGTCTTGAAAGCACTGATGTCAACATTCAGCATGATAGATATATAATCTAAATCATACTTTAGAAAAGCTGCATGATAATTTTCAATAAAACGTTAAAAAAAATCTTTCCCTGAATATAAAGTCAATATCACGTCCAATATGAAGGAGACGCTCGTTTAAATAAGAGGTACATGTATAAATGTAAACTTATGTCGTTTGGCTGATGTTTTTCACTGCATATATTGATTGAACATTTATCATATTATTATTTTATTATGGATGACTGAAGAATTTGGTTATTCAACATATGCCGGCTCATTGTGACGTCATGTTTTTAATGTATTGCATCACTGATTTCCATGCAATGTCCCTTGATGAATTTTACGAAGAAAAATTTATGTGGTTTTCATAACATTCAGATACAGATTTAAACAATAAATTTCTATAAAAGTATAGATTAGATAATAACACATTCAGATTCAGACTTCAACATTTAATTTCTTTAAAAGTATAGATTTTAATGAGGAGGAAAAGTCACATCTATCCAAAAACGAAGTATTTTCAACTACAGTTTTTCTTAAAAACGGACGTGGCCGCACTTTTGTACAGTAATTTTTTCTTTTGCACATTACTTACCAAAGTATACTTGTTCTTTCTGCAAAGTTTCGCATATGTACTCGGGTGCGGCCACATCGAAATATAAACTTGAAGAGGAGCAAAACGTCCAAAATAGGTGATTTCCGGAATATTTGACCGGTTTTGAACGTTATATACACAAAAGGTCATGTGAGTTGAAGAAAATTGATACCAATTTTTCACAAAGGGAAATCTTAACAATAAATTGACACAGTTCAAAAAATGTTATCGGGCGTTTAATTTTTGCAGATTTTACAGGGCCGCCTTGTTATACATAATGTACCCAGTTCTTTAAATGTTTTCTGTTATTATCATAGGTAAAAGTGTTCACTCTGCTACCTCTGTTTCTGGGATGCTGGTTTTGTCTGAAGAACAGTAAAGGATCCACTGAAGAATGGCCAAACCAAAATAAACATTAAAGACACTAAAACTCAGGGGCTTGTCCTGGTATTCCTGTAGTAAAGAAGAAAATACAGTGTTACAGGTCAAATGCATTGAGTATTTCTAACGAGATTCTATAATTTATCGAAATTGATTGACCAGGGGCAATTCATAATGTGAATTATTTTCAACAACTTTATTTTGTGATTTATCCATTTCACATTCATCCATCCACTACTATGAATAATTTTACATGCCAACGATTTCATTTGATAAATGATAGTAAACTTGGTCCAATTTTTTCAACACTATTGAAAAAGACACCAACTTATAAAAATACAGAAATGTCCAATAAAATGTCTGCAAGTCAATACATGTATACATATTAAACATAGAAAGTATTTACAAAGCATTTAATACTATTCATATCATGTATATGTACATTTTATTTACCTTTGTGATGATCATATGGTAGAATGGAATGATACATGTTATGATGTTAATGGTCCAATACATGAACAGCACCCCTGAAGTCACAAATCCCTTCTGTCTCTCTAGGAATATGTATAGCAAAACTAAAAGCTGGAACATCAAAAATTAAATGATTATAGAGAAAGTAAAGAAGACATTAGATGATATTGATATAGGCAAAAATCAGTAAAAAAAAATCAGTCCAAAGTCACAATAAAAAAATGTTTTTCCATGAATTTACCTTACTATAATTTTAAAGAAAAAATTTTCTAATGACAGCATAATGTTTTTTAAGGAAAAATATAAAACTGTCAATCCAAATCAGGTGTTCTGATTTATTGGATAAGATACTACTTATCATGCTTATACATGTACAGCTTAAAAAAAAGAGTTCTTTCACTGTAATTTTTTTTCAAAACAAGATTTGTTTGTGAAACACTATGCGCAGAGAGGCAACAAAATTCAAAAAGATATTTTAGCATATAGGTCAAAGTCAAGGTCACAGGGTCATTGACCTTGGTGTCATTTATAAAAGAACTTGGAAGTAGAGTATGCATACCAAATATGAAGTCTTTATCTCTCATGGTTCAAAAGTTCTAGTGAAAGCTCATAAAAGCTAGTTTTAGCATATAGGTCACAGTCAAGGTCACAGTGTCATTGACTTTAGTTCATTTGTAAGAGCTGATCTAGTGGAGTATGCATACCAAATATGAAGTCTCTATCTCTAACGGTTCAACAGTTATGGTGAATTGAAGGTTATAGTTGACGACAGACAAACAGACAGGACAAGAACAATGTACACCCCGATCTATCGATCAGGGCGCATAATTACTGGAACATGAACTTATAAAATCTAAGCTATGCAAAGATGGACTTACCAGTGTAACTGCTTCTATACATGGCCCAATCAACCAGGCTTTAAAATAAGACTTAGAGGCTGACAAATCATGAGCCGTCGATACTATTTCTATAACTACAGGGGTAAGGGAACACACAGTTAACACCTGAAAATTACAAATATTCATTGTAATTATTCATTAAATAAAACAATTAGTATGTTCTCAATTAAGTTTCAAACAGCAATACAATACTGAACGTATTACTTATTTGTAAGCACTCTAAACTTAATTTTCTCCTAAAAATATACCTAGCTAGAATTACAGACTTCTACTGTGTATGTTTCTCTTTTACTCACATGACTCTCTATAATAATATTTATTAAATTTAATGATTTTCTTATTAATTTGTTAATTAAGACAAAATGTGCTGCTTGACTACTTTATATCATCTTATCTGCTTAAATTGTACAATATATAAATTAAAATCAAACTGAATCAATGAAAATATAAAATATGCTGCTTGACTAAGATCACAAATAAAAATGTAACTTACTACTTTTGCAACAAACTTGAGAGTAACAGGGTTGGGACAGTCTTTTTGTATTGCCAAGTAATAGACGTAAAAAGGGGAGGTAATCCAGAGCCAGCCACTGGCTACCCAGATCAACACAGTAAACTGGAAGCAGTCTGTGAACTCTGGCCAGCTGTTTCTCCATGTTAAGCTGGTATTCTGAAATAAAATAAAAGTAATAATTCAGCATGCATTTTAATGGATGGATACAATGAAATATAGATCTGGCAAAAAGTTATATATGTCAAATGTAAAATTATTGTTTATCATAAAATACGAGTTAGAAACATTTATGCTTTACAACTTCAAAATATTGGTCCAGATGATGACAAAAGAAATAGTAAGCTAAGAGTTTACAGGAAAGAAAATATGATCTAGCTCACATCGATATAAACATACAGCCTTTGGTACACATTTACAGTGGAGAGAAGCAAGTCTTAAAATAGCTAAGATTCTATAGACAAATTATTTTAACCTATAAATATATACTTTATAAAGTAGATTTTTTTTCTCGTGTTTCAAAATCATATAAAAATAATCTTTAAATTATATCTGTAGTCATTTTCAGACCAGATCATAGGGGATTAAATGATCATTTGTGAGTTAATTCAGACTTTCAAGGAAGATTGATATATCTATTGACTCATGGCTGTAGTTATATCCTGTTTAACATTTGTCTCAGTTAAAATGCCAATATAAAGTGTTACACATGTTCTGTGTGTGTTGGGGACAGGAGGACACATTGACCCAATCATTCACTATTTTTTTGGTGAGTGGTGGTGGTGGTGGTGGTGGTGGTGGGGTTAAAATCTTCTATCCCCTGCATTACCATAACCCGGCCTGCAGATACTTTTAATACATTACCTCGTATAAAATATTCTAACACATAGGATAAATTATCAGAAATAACTGAACTCAGAATACATTAGCCTAATTCACTGGACCATGTAGTGTTCTGACATTAAATGAAGCATAACTTGAATTCGTAGTGTTTGCACTATTCAATGTATTGAAATAATATCAATTTGAAAGTGCAAGTCAACAGTTTTTTTTCTATTTTTACAAGATTATACTATGCTACAGATGTATGCAGTTAACATGATAATTATAATTCTTCAATTGAACATCATCAATTTTTTTTTTCAATTATAATGAAATTCAATTATTATATCATTAAAATAAACAGCTATTAATTTAAAACATTCTCCTAGCATGGCCATCATTTGTCTTATTATGACTTCAGACCATGTATTGTTAACACTTAATGGAAATGCCAGTATGTCCTAGATTTTCAACCTATACATGTACTAGAATTTTTTTGGGAAATTTGAGACAGATTTCATCATTTCTAGGAATACAACACATTGGCTTTTAAACTTTCTGCTAGCTGTTACATACAGCTACAGTACTTACATCATTTACAAAGGCAAAACCTTATGTTTCAGATTAACATTTAACCATAGAATTAATGTGCATTATACACTTTATATCTGTGAAGATTTTTCCTTTCTTTAAAATATTAAATATCAGTGCATGACCATGCATAGAGCAAATTGAAATCAAATACACTGGTAAGGCCTACTGGACTTAAGATCTACATCAAAGAATAAAAATAGTAGGCCTAATACATTTTTAAAATTTTCTTATTCATCCAATCCTTGCAAAACATGAAAATCTAACCTTATTGTATGAATTTGTCTTGACACACAATTTAAAAGCATTCTAAACTGTACAGTTGTCAGTTACATGAACTAAAAATGTACCACTATCAATTTTGTTAAGTGTCAATTATACCATGTATACTATGTAAATATTAGCAGTCACTAATGAGAGTTTTAAAACACCGTCTGCTCCCTACACCATGTGTATGTGTATACATAAAGCTGTTTGATCCACTCCACTTACCCATAAAACTGATCCATTGCAAAAGTCCTCCATTCCAGCACGTTTTAACGTGCACAAAAGAAAGCAATGGATAAGCAGATGATAGACAGTACTTAAATAATTACATATTGCACCATGCAGACCCAGCAAAACGTGTATCTGTTCACTACCGTTTTTTCGGTATTACTTCATCTCTAAGAATACGAGTGCACTCGGGAAGACAACTTTCTTCAAATACGATGCTAGAGTTACCTGCCCTTAGCAATGTGTTCGAACGCGCACCTGTCACCTACAGAAATCTAACTGAAGGAGTACTTTTTATTCTCTATCATCTATGTATCAGTGAGGTAGCATCGTATTTTTAAAGGGAAGCAGTCCGAGAACAAAGTTAACTTAACTGAAAAACTTGACACCCCCCTCCCCCAATAATTGTAATAAAATAGTTGTGCGTGTGTAAGGGGGGGGGGGGGAGCCCCCTTGATGTCACGTGCCTGAATATAACATATAACATTCATTTACTTGATTATTAAAATAATACATTAAAAACGGAAAGCCATAAATATATGGAACCTGTCCTATTCACGAAATTGGATTTTCGATTTTGGATAATGGATAAATTATATTTTGTACAGATAACAGACTCTTTATCTATCCAAAATCTTATCTTTTTTTTTTATAACAGGCACGTAGCATCGTTTTTGAAAATGGGGGGGGGGGGGCAACCTGAGAAAATTTTTTTTTTACTTACCTGAAAAAAAAAAAAAAAGGAAAATTAAAAGTTGCCCAAACTCGAAAATCCTTTTTCGTGGGGGATGGGGGGGGGGGGGTTAGTGGCCAACTTTTTCAAAGCCAACTTACTATCACTTCCAATTTTTTCCTTACAATCCTTGCTATCACTATACTATGGTTATAAAGTAAGGTCTGATTTGGGGGGGGGGCAACCATCCTATCAATGAACATTTACTATAGCAAAGGTTATGTTGGGGAAAAAAGTGGGGGGGGCCAGGCCCCCCCTGGCCCCCCGGATGCTACGTCCCTGTATAACAATTAATTGTAAAGTACATATCCTTATGCTTATATCGACACAAAAGGCTGCACTTCTTTTAACAAGATATCGAAGAAGAAAGATAGAATCCCTGTCTACTCCAAGGCCGTAACTACCATTGAGGCAAGTGAGGCAAATGAATGCAATTGTAGTGTTCTGCTATAAGGCAGTGATGGCATTCCATACAAATGCCTCACTATATGTTTAGATATATTTTTTTTTTTGAAAAGTGAAAAAGTTTTACATTGAACATTGAACTTATAAATTATGCGTGTCTTCGTACTAAATTAATATTTTCAACTTTTGTTTCAATATATGTAAATCGTTCATCTCACCCGGTGCCTCATTGTCATTTAGAACGAATGTAAAATATTAGAAAAATATAATCCAAAATGTTTGTTTTGTAAATTGTTTGATTGTTTAACATCCCTTCCAAGCTTTTTTCATTCATATGGAGACATCACTCCTTGTCGGTAAAGGGCTGCAAGTTTTAAATCTGCACTAGGCTTTCAGGGTCACTGAAGATGATGAAACAGTGAGATATTTTTTGTGCCATCACTTACTGGGACGTAGGACCTCGGGTTTTAATCTCATCCGAAGAACCGGACTATCCCGCAGTGGGATTCGAACTCGCGATGTAAGGATCAACTCCTTATTCTGCGACTTTAGAGCGTTCGCTCTAACCACTGTGCCATTCGGTCGACAATTCCAAACGTATTTCTAAGATTAAATCTTTTATGTACCCAAGTTTCAGGATCCCCCTCCCTCCCCCTGGAAACCCCCGTCACTGACCATCAGGTACTACAGTTGCTCCGTCTGGGACTAGTGCCCAGCACCCTTGCCTCACTAAAAATTTGAGCCTAGTTACGGCCTTGTACTCTAGGTCAAAAAAAAAAGAACTGGCAAGAACATGAAGAAGATGGGATGTTGAATTTACTAGTATGTAAGAAATATCCAAACAGACTAGTACTGCTTTAAGGCAGCTTGAAAGTAGACAGATTGAAAATATGCCAATTTAATTGCATCCTTACAAGCCAGGGGTCGTTAGACGGCAATGTGTTGACTCAGGACACTTAATTGGCTTGCGAGGATAATTTAATTGGGGAGTTTAAGGAAAAGGTACATATATTATATGCATAATATTTTATGTTTCAAAGCTTATCAGTTGACATTGTCATTATATTTTGTGTAATTATATATTATATTTCTCTGAAATTTGTTTTAATAATATACATACTTGACTTTAATTTCAGTTACACTCTGATATGGACCTCATTTTCTGGTACACTGACATTAATACCTAGGAGTATTACTTCCGGGAGTAAAATCACAGGAACTTGTTCCGGAAATCATGGTCAGAGACCAGAAGAGCTTATGCGATAGTAATGCGTCCGGCGTCTGTCCGTCTGTCTGTAAACAATTTTTTCAAAATGCTACTCCTCCTACAGTTTTGGACTGATTTCGATATAACTTGGCACACAAGTAGACGTACTACACTAAGATACATAATTCTGTGTATCGGTTTTTGATTTCAATAAACGGTGTTGCCGTGGTAACTTAAAATAGAAATTTCTGTGAAATTCTTTCAAAATGCAACTCCTCTTACAGTTTTGGACTGATTTCAATATAACATGGCCCAAATGTAGACTACACTAAGATACATAATTCTGTGTATCGGTTTTTGATTTCGATAAATGGTGTTGCCGTGGTTACTAAAAATAGAAATTTCTGTGAAATTCTTTCAAAATGCTTCTCCTACAGTTTTGGACTGATTTCGATAATTATAACATGGCACACAAGAAGACTACACTAAGATACATAAAATAGTGCATCGGTTTTTGGTTTCGATGAACGGTGTTGCCTTGGTTACTAAAAATAGAAATTTCTGTGAAATTCTTTCAAAATGCTTCTCCTACAGTTTTGGACTGATTTCGATATATCGGTTTTTGATTTTGATAAACGGTGTTGCCGTGGTTATTAAAAATAGAAATTTCTGTGAAACTCCAAAATGCTACTCCTCCTACAGTTTTGGTCTGATTTCAATATAACTTGGCACACAAGTAGACTACACTAAGATACATAATTTTTTGTATCGGTTTTTGATTTTGGTGAATGGTGTTGCTGTGGTAACTAAAAATAGAAATTTTTGTAAAATTGTTTCAAAATGCTACTCCTCCAACAGTTTTGGACTGATTTCAATATAACTTGGCACACAAGTAAACTACACTAAGATACATAATTTTGTATATCGGTTTTTTGATTTCGATGAACGGTGTTGCCGTGGTTGCTAAAAATAGAAATTTCTGTAAAATTGTTTCAAAATGCTACTCCTCCTACAGTTTTGTTCTGATTTCAATATAACTTGGCACACAAGTAGACTACACTAAGATACATAAAGAGACTTTATCAATGATCATTATTCTATTTATTGCTGTTTATAAAGTTTCAATTCCCAACTGCTTAAGTACTTTTCCCTTCCTTTGCTACGAGTACAAACCAGTAGGGCTTCAGTCTTGACAGAGACTTCTGGTATAATTTACTTACTTACTTACTTATTATTGATATACTGTGAGTTAAAACAAGAGGCCCATGGGCCACATCGCTCACCTGAGAAGCTTTGACCATTCTGTTCTTTACCAGATTTCACCCTTGTTATACATAATGCATCCCCACCCTACCCCACTGATCATAATTTAGACATTTTGAAATATACACTACCCCATGATCCTTCCATGGGCACATAAGTTTCAGCTTTTCTGGCCCAGTGGTTCTTGAGAAGAAGATTTTCAAAGATTTTTCCTATATATTTCTATGTAAAACTTTGATACCCCATTGTGGCCCCACCTTCCTCTGGGGGTCATGATTTGAACAATTTAGAATCTACACTATACCAGGATGCTTCCACATAAGTTTCAGCTTTTCTGGCCCAGTGGTTCTTGAGAAGAAGATTTTCAAAGATTTTTCCTATATATTTCTATGTAAAACTTTGATTCCCCATTGTGGCCCCACCCATCCCCCGGGGGGTCATGATTTGAACAATTTAGAATCTACATTATACAAGGATGCTTCCACATAAGTTTCAGCTTTTCTGGCCCAGTGGTTCTTGAGAAGAAGATTTTCAAAGATTTTTCCTATATATTTCTATGTAAAACTTTGATTCCCCATTGTGGCCCCGCCCTTCCCCCGGGGGTCATGATTTGAACAATTTAGAATCTACACTATACCAGGATGCTTCCATATAAGTTTCAGCTTTTCTGGCCCAGTGGTTGAAATGAGAAGAAGATTTTCAAAGATTTTTCCTATATATTTCTATATAAAACTTTGATTCCCCATTGTGGCCCCGCCCTTCCCCCGGGGGTCATGATTTGAACAATTTAGAATCTACACTACCCTGGGATGCTTCCACATAAGTTTCAGCTTTACTGGCCCAGTGGTTCTTGAGAAGAAGATTTTTTAATGACCCCACCTATTTTTGTCTTTTCTTGATTATCTCCCCTTGCGAGGGGATATGTCCCATCATTTTAACAATTTAAATTCCCCTTTTTCCAAGGATGCTTTGTACCAAGTTTGGTCAAAATTGGCCCAGTGGTTCTTGAGAAGAAGTCGAAAATGTGAAAAGTTTACAGACGGACGGACGGACGGACGACGGACAAAATGTGATCAGAAAAGCTCACTTGAGCCTTCGGCTCAGGTGAGCTAAAAATATTTCCGAAACAAGTGCCTGTGAATAAAATCTATGCATGCTCAAATAAATGAACAGTCAAACATCGTTATCTCAAACTTGATGAGACTGGAAAAAAAAACTTCACAATATCCAAGGATTCGAGATATCCTGAATATAATCCATAAAGAACTAAATATGTCATAACGCAACGAATGCCCCCGCAGGCAGCCAAAATTTCAAATGCCAAATTTAATTAGTTTTAAATTTTTGCATTCCAATTCGACCTGTGTTTTCTGTTGAAATACCTGCATATGCAATTTCAACCTAACAGAGTACATGCATCCCTACAAAAGTTAGCAGAAACTGAAAATTTATTTTTGTTTTAAGTTAAAGCGGTATAACTCTGCCAAAAATCATCTATAAACCATGACTAAATTCGAACCTGACCTGCATTTCCCAATGACTTATCAACAGGTCAATTAGTTTGAGCTGAACGTGTGCAAAAGTTGCAGATGAAGAATTGAAAGTAAAGATGATGGAATGATGGAACAAGGTAACATTACATGTGCATATGTCCCAGTCATTGCATATCAGGGGCATAAAAAATTATTTAAACTTCAAAATCACATCAACATATCCAGAGATATTTCAGTATATCGGTGTATGAGATACAGATGTTCAACAAATACTATAGTCTGAGAAAAAAATTCTGACTTCAAATAAATCAGCTAGACCTGATAGTGAGCAAATAGAAAGAAGACATTAAAAATTTAAAGAAATCTTTTCAAAGATTTCATAAAATCATTTATTACAATGATACATGCTAATACACTTGAATTAAAATCACACCACTGCAATCATGCAAAGGTGAAACAGAGTAAACAAAAGTTTTAAAATACTCTAATCCAAGTTTCCTTTGTAAATACCATCTAAGTGAAATTGTTTTACACTGTCTAATTTTCAATATCAAATAAAATATATGTACAAGATTCAAAATTTGTACTTTTTTTTTTACATGTACAAGGCAAAAAAAAAAAACCTCTGCCATTTTAACATAATCCTGAAACTTGCAATATTTATATTGGATTTTAGCGAGAAGCAATGACCTTTACAGCTGATGCTTTACATTTAAACCTGTATCATAAGTACAGAATTGATAATAGATAAGAAAACCTTTCTAGTGGTCATAGGTATGGTTTTAGGGGTATAAACATGTGAAGGCCATTAGCTGAGGGTAGGGTGGTTATCATTTTCTTCAAGAGCAACAAATTTTTGCTTTAAAAAAGCCCATTATTTTCATTTAATTAAATGTTGAGCTAAATACAAATTTATATCATAATAGAGCTTTTGTACATTGTCCTAGTGTAAAAGTAAGCAGTCAACTGTAGAAGTCAGCGCTCCTCGCAGAAGTCCACTAGCACACAAAAGAGACTGTTCACAGCCATAATTGAAATGATTATTTCATATTATAAATCTTACAAGTCATCTATTGCACATTTTTACATGCCTGGGTGTTTTACATAATTTACATCTCAAAAATTTACTTAATAATGACATATATGGTATGATGTATGTAATGCTTGAATACATGTTCAAGGAATACTATTTTGAAGCAGTTAACTTCTGAAAATTAAACCAAAATGCAAAAATTGCTCCATAAATATACAAAAAAAACTTAGTTTTTCTTTCTATGATTTATAGTACACTGTAACAGTATGGAATCACTTGATGAATGATTCTGAAAGGTCTAACTATGAGGGCATTTCATCCACCCTGTTCTCTATTACTCATATAAATTATATGGGCAATATAGTACAGAGTGGATAGGATGCCCTTGTGGTCTTCCTACGCTCTATAGTAACAACAGGTGCCGTATTCACAATTGACCAAAAATGCTACTTCAAATAAGTGGAAAATGGTATAATCAATAAGCACTGCAATGACATCAGGAATGGCACAAGTAATTGAATAAAAAAGAAATTGAGAGCAAGTGATCACACACATAAATAATAAGTACAACCAAGAAAATAAAATGATCGAGTCTCTCAGTGGATGGTTCAACTACGATAATTTGTAGCTTTGAAAGAAAAAATCGATCTGAATTATCTGCGATAGTGAAATCTTAAAAGGTACAATATCAGAATGTATTGATTGGCTTGACCAAACAGTAAGATGAAACATTCAAAAATCAACTATATTTGCAAGGAAATTAAAAATCCTATGTGGAATCATCATTTATAGAGAAAACATTACATGCATTATCAGTGTCCAAACAGCAAGAAACATTCAAAAATCAACTATATTTGCAAGAAAATTAAAATACTATGTGGAATCATCATTAGAGAAAACATTACATGCATTATCAATGTCCAAACAGCAATATAAGTGATCTATATTTGAAAGATAAGTTCAACATCTCATGTCAAATCATCATTAGAGAACACATTACATGCAAATTGAAAGTTTAACAGCACGACTGCTGATAATCGAATTTTATATATAATGTCCACAACATCTTTGTTATACATATCTCAGAAAAATGTGTGACAGTCATATGTTTTGATATTATTTCCAGAGAAACCATTACAAAAATTAAGGAATGAGATGGCAAATACCAGTAATTGTTAATTTTACCACAAAATTAAATATATACGGGTAATATAAATCAATGTGTAAATGTATGACTAACATTTTATGACTGACAAAATGCTGGAAAAAAAATGTTTTTAGATAAAAATAAGATAACATCTTATAGCTGGGTTCAATATGACAAAACACTGGCTTGAACAATGAATAAAAGTCTGTCTTCTTCTTGAGAAAAAAACGCTGCCAACATCTTATACTGTATCTACATGTGTTCAAGATAATGATCAAGGATAAAATACATAGTTAGACAAAAAGTAATTTTTTATATTTACATTTGACTTCAGTATACCCACAGTATGCGATATATCAATGATACCAAAGTTAAATGTATAATATATTCCATAGAGTTGTTCGATTATTCTAAGTGTATTTCAAAAAAAGTTTGATCTCATAGCACATTTAACTAAAGCCTTTTTCAGAGAAAATGTAACAGGAGTTCATTTCACACATCCACTTGGACTAGTCATATAAACCGGTAAATGTTTAAACATCTGTGTTTATGATTTGGCAACAACAATAATTAATACAACAAGTCAACCATCTACCCTGGATCACCTGAATCTAACAATCACCCATATAAGGAAGAAGACAAATAGACAAAACGTAAACATGTAACACCAGAGCTTTGGTCCCCCGGCTTTTGTGATGGCTTTTAATCGGCCCATGGAGAACTGAAGAAGGTTTCCTGATTTGTCGTAATCTTCATCCTGTATTACAGAAAAAAATATCAAAGTTCATGAAATTCTTTTTTTTTATTATTATGTATAAAATTTTATAACCATACTGTGTTGTTTATTTCTTTTTGTTGAGTAATTACATCATCAGTAAATAAATTCATATTCCTTATGAAAATACACATAGTATTATTGGTATATGATTGGAATACACTGAAATACACAGAAGACATACCATTTCTTTTAAGAATTTATTATGCTCTCGGACTTCATTCCCAATGTCAATTGTCAACTGCAAAAGATATATTATTACATGTATCAGTCAATGATAAGGTTCTGTACATGTTAGTTAAGTTTCTTTACATGTACATTTAGTACACATTACATCCATATCTTGGAACAATATCTAAATTTCAAAAGAGAGAGTTTAAACAATAAAAAATAGTCTTCTTTATCTCTACAATTGCATGAAATCTTACTTTTTTCATTTAAGTTTTAACTGTAAATAATAATTTTTTTCATTATTAAGATGTATTGAATGGCAATGCATGACATTACTGATTTTAAGGCTGAGACTTTGCTAGACAACTCCTGCTCTTGGCGATCATTTTCTGACTCCAGCATTTGAGCTGTCGGTTGGTAATATCCTCCTTCATTGTCTAAAAATAATGTATTTGATGTATTATTTTGTTTTCAATGATAAAAATACATGTACTATTATGAAAAAATAATTTATCAGTCTAAATGAAAAGCTGATTACCCTCTTTAAATAACACGTTTCTAAAAATCATATTCTAAGATTCAAATGCATACAACTTAAAATTGGAACTAAATACACTTTTCTCATCAATAAAAATTTGGAATAAAACTAAAAGTGTATCACTCAGTTATGCTTTGGACTAATTAGCTGAGTTCACACCAGTGGGCTTATGGGATTGACCATGCCAACTACTGAGAGAAAAAGTACCAGCCTTTAAAAACTTATCTGAATCTAGAAAACTTTAAGTTGAACATGATCAGTATTCTACCTGTCATTTATTTATTTTCCATCTGTCACAAGACCGGTGACATTCAGATTCTTGTTCGTAGATCTATTTAGGCCATAACAAGTACATAACTGGAATTAAAAGTATATAAAGTTCACAAATGGTGAGTTTTGTCATTCATACTTGCGTGAGCTCTTCTCATTTTCTATTTTTTTCCAGTAAGCTGAAAGTCAAAACAGTGCCAGGCTGTCACAGACTTGCAACTTCCTGTGTAATACGTCACGAAATACGTGTAGCTTTGACTTAGTCACCTCAGTGCTTTATAATAAAAATACTTCGAACGGATAAAAACGGAAAAAGGTGTTGAATGCAAATTATCGGCGTTTATGCAAATTATCACGCAAACCAATCGATTGACCACATCAGGAAACAAAAAATTATTTATTCCTTAATCACACCAGGAAAAAAGACCACAAAGGCGCATAAATATGAAATATATTTTTTCAGTGTACTATACATGCTATATATGTTATGAAAATTATCAAATCAAATAATATTAATAATCGTGATTATGTAAAAATTAGCGATTCCACACAAAAATACCCCACTATACTTTATATGCGTAGTTCCCCCCCCTTTTTGACTTTTTCTTTAATTTAGTTAAGTACTTCAAGTTTGTTTAATCGCCTGCATATCATTTCCAAAATTAAAAGATCTAGTTTTCATTTCCGACATTTTTCATTTCCGAATCAGACTTATAATTATATTTTTGAAAAGTATAAAATTATCATGATCAGTAAAAACGTAGCAAGGTTTTTGAAATGGGGGGGGGGGGGGGGGGGGGGGGGGGGGCATGTACATTTAGAAAAATTCATTATTTTGAACAATACCTGAAAAATTTGACAAGCAGACAAAAAAAAAAAATTCTTGCTTTCAACACTACATTTTCCTTGAAATTAACTGAGTGTCACTATAAGTTTTAACTGTAAATAGCCTTTAAATGAACATTATTAAATGTATTGAATGGCAAAAATTACTAATTTTAATGAACTTATGAAACCCCCCCCCCCAGCATGTTGCTACGTGCCTAATATTTTTCATGATCGAAATTAATGTAAAGTTTTTATGCCCCCGTCATCGAAGATATATACATGTACGAGTATAGTTTTTTTTTTGCCCTGTCCGTCTGTCTGTCTACATCTGTTTGGCTGCAAAAACTTAAAGGCAAGATTTTTTACCATGTTGTAAATTGGAATAAAGGTGAGGGAGGCGCTTATTTTGATTACAGGTGTGAATGCCTTGGGGGGATTAGCAGTACTGAGAAAAACTACCTGTTCAACCTTATCTAATCCCTATACACAGGAAGTTGATTTAATACACAGTGAAATACCCAGATGTCAAACTTTATCTGTGTTGGGGATTTTGAGACAATTTTAAAATTAGTGGTAAAAAGTTTTTTTCAATTATATATTGATTTATTTTTGACTGTTTGAAAACATCCCTGAACATTTAAAAAAATTATTATGATATCATATATAAACTCAAATATTAAAATAAAGATTCTTTTAGATATTAATGTATGTGTTTAAAAAAAAAAACTCCTGTAACAACCAAATTAGACTTAATTCATTCATCCTCAGGATCCTATCTATATTAATTAAATGAAGAGAGAGAGTCGTGTTAACTACATTTGAATTTTCACTAAAAAAAAAATCAAACCTTAATAAGACTTTGTCACCATGAAACATGCCAAAAAAATTGCTTGTAAATTCTCATCTGAAAAAAAAAAGGAAAATATAAGTGACCCATGATTAGAAATATTATTTTAAAATTTAATTACTTCACACAGTGCTGTTCTGAACTTTATGAAAAACATGTCCACTTTAGGTTTACTATTTAGCATATTAAAATTAATATTAATATCGAAATTTCATTTGAAAAAAAAAATGTACTAAAGGTTAATTTTTAAAATATGCATATTATATTATAATCTGTTCAAATACTAAAGGTATATTAAATTCATATATTATCAATATTAATAAAAAAAAATTCATAGTAATACAGTTTCTGTATACCATGTTCAGTAAACATCAAAGGATCAAAAGTTAATTAGAAGGTTATTTACGAGTCCCAAACATTTACAGGGTATACACAAGGACCTGTTAGTAAGTTCCAGCATCCAATGATGGACCCTCATGCACTTGATTGACAGGGCTTGTGTTTTTGAAGGCGGGGCTTAAAATATCTGCCTTTAAACCTTGCCCATAACTTTTGACAGGGTTTCATATTCATTTCATATGGCTGTCATATTTCACGGGTGTATTCCTTGTTTTGGTACCACCAAATTTGACCCCATGACCTTGACCTTGGAGTTTGACCCATTTTTACCAAAAATTTCCGAACATTAACCATAGCCATAACTTTTGAATAGTTGAAATACCTGACACATGTATTCACTGTGACAAGACCTTTCATTGGGTATAAAAATACTTGACCTTTTGACTTTGACCTTAGAGTTTGGCCAACTTTTAAAAAAAATTATCATTGACCATAATTTTTTGAAGCGTTAGAGCTAGGGCTTTCACATTTCACAGGTGTATTCCTTGTGACAAGACCTTCCTCTGGGTACCAAAAATTTTGACCTTGACCCTGACGTTTAACTTGCATTTGAGAAATTTCAACCCTCGCCATAAGTTGTCATGGGCATCGATCAGTGTTTCACAAACACATTCTTATTACTGTTCGTCCGTCTGTCTGTTTGTTTATCTGTTTTTTTTTCCACAAAAACTTTAACATTATCCATAAAATTTGATTGATTGGAACCATGACTCTCATACATGTACAGTATTTCACATGTGTATTCCCTGTGATAAAGCCTTTCTTTTGGTACCAACATACATGTATATATGGCCTCTTGACCTTTGGTTTAACCCAATATTTAAGAATCTGACGCAACATTAATCTTTGTTAAATTTTGAACAGTTGATGCTGAGGCTTGCATACTTCAAATGCATATTAATTGTGACAAGGCCTTTCCATGCATAGGTGCATGTAAATATTTTTATCTTTTGACCTTGCTAACTGACGTTTTAAGTTTGGCCCACTTTGACACTGTAACCTTAGGCATAACTTTTGAACAGTTAGTATTAGGGCCTTCATATTTCACAGGGTGCAATTTTTCATGTCACAATGTCTTCCCTTTGACACCAACAAATTTAACCTTTTGACCATGACCTTGGAGTTTGACTTATTTTTGAAAAAACGTTAACATTGGCCATATTTTTTGAACACCGAGTTGGTGCTAGGGTTATATTTTTATGGCAAGGCATTCCTCTGGGTACCTTTAATTTTACCCTTAGACTTTGTCCTTGGGGTTTGACCCACATTCAAAAAACTTTGACCTTGACAATAACTGTTTATGGTCAGTGCTAGTTTGTTTTTTAATTATTTCACACTGAGGTACTCAGTATATTCATTGAGAACAAGTGCTTTCAAGGGGGTAGCATTTTTTCCAAACAAAAGGTTGTAAAATTTACAAACAATGGTTATTAGTACGACCGTAAAATTTAAGAACAGCTGTCTTTAACAGTTAAACGGGATTAAATGAAATCCTTGTTAAATCAACTTATTTGTCAGAGGATTGTCTCGGTTAAGGAATTGCTATCTGTTAGGAGGCACAATATATCTATATTATATATATAGTTGATGTCGAAATATTTAAAAATAAATTAGGATAGTTAACGATGAAAAACCTGATTGAAGGTATCCCCTTTATAACACAGGTCTTAGTTGAAAGTTGTATTTAATCAGTAAAATGTCAAAATTATATGGAACTCAAAGAGATGTGTCGCAGTCCTGTAGGCCATATGATAGGCCTTATATATATAGTGTCTTTTTTTAAAATTATTATTTTCCTATTAAAGCATTATTCCTTGCTCAGTCAAAGGGGAAATGAATGAATAATCATGTGATCACAGGTAACTTTTTTGGCTGTTCCATTTGGGATAGTTTACATGCACAGGTGTGAAAACAACAAACAAATTTGATTAAAGTGATTTCCATGACAATTATTGTAGTAAAAAATTAGATTGCCTTGAAAGTCAAACAGAAAATTTAAAAATCGCTATCAAAACTAAAATTACTGCCCTGCGATATCGATAAATAACCTTTCCAAGGTGAGAGGAGGGTGTTAAATCGTAGATTGGAACAGCGTTAAACAAGCCTCGCCCAAAGCACATTGATCTAACGTTATAATTCGCCGTGTGCCGAATCTTGTGTGAAAACTTTTATTACTTTTTCTGAAGTTCATTGATAAAGAGGAAATAACGGGTAAGTTAGGAGGAAATAGGAAAAAATAACCCAAGTGTTGTGATTCACTTTCGTTTTCGAACCTCGCCCAGGTGCATGATTTGTTTTGGTGTTGGCAAATGGCGCCATGATGCATGTTTTTTGTTGATATGTGTGTTCTGAAATCGAACTGACGGCGAATTGTTTTGCTGTGTGACATTGTAAGGTGCATATTTTTATCACTGAGGTAATATATTTATTAAAACATGGCCATGTTGTACATGTTCTAGAATTTCAGTCGTCCTGTCAACTTTGTCACACATGGGACAGAAAAAAACTTGCAGACTCTAGCTACCCGACATGACGAGTTTCATATAAATGAATAGAAAATATTGGAACACTCATTATAACTGTTTGTAATAATCTGTCAGATAAAGTATTGCATTTGCTCACAGTTCTGTATAGGCCATTTTTGAAATAGTGTGAAAAATATCATGAATATAATATCATTTATAAAGTATCAATGAACTGTCAGACTAATGTATAAAAAGTTGTAATAGGAAAGGAGAAATGTCTGGCAGGACTGGGAATTGAACCTGGGAGCTGCATCTTATATACTCGATTCTCATTATATCGCGGGTTTCGTTGTATCGCGGTATGTTGCAAAAATTTGGATACATAGCCTTTATTCTTTTTACTGATGGACAATATGTTTTTGTTGTCTGAATGTTTACGTTTTTGATGATTAAAAAGTATGGAACATCCGTTTGAAAAAAAAAAATTTAAAAAAACATAATTATACATATTTCCAGTCACGTTTTTTATTATTTTTAACCATTAAATCTATAACCTAGTAAAAATTATACCATAGTTCATCTTTTAAAGGTCTTAAGTCTGTATATTTGTTTACTCTTCCTGTAGAATTACATCGTAAATTCAAAAATAAAAATTGAGGTCCATGTCATCTACAAGTTTCCATGATTTCCCATACCGCGATACAATGAGACTCTCCAATTTAGGAGGTAAATAAGACTTCCTGTTTTAAAGATAGACAATAACTTAAACGATGCAAGCTTAGGAAATAATTTGACACTAAAAAGTTAGTCCATAGATTGGTTTATGAATATTTTTTGATGAAAGTTAAAAGTAAAAAATTGGAATAACACTTTTTATACAAAAGGATTAAGCACCGCGATATAATGAGACACCAGTATACTATATATTCAGATGCTTGACCGACTGAGCTACCCACGCTAATATCCACGCCCCCCCCCCCTTAAATTGTCTTTGACAGCAAATTCTTATTTGCTTCTGGCAGTACAACTTCCTACAAGTCTAGGGGGAGGTCAACAGCACCATATCTGTAACACTATTTTATTTTATGTATGTTAATTGTTGTGTTCATGACTATATGCCATTGTATGATGGTGTTGTCAATAAATGAATTGAAATTGAAAAAAAAAATTGAAATTGTAACACTAAAGGGGGAAATGTATGGTAGGTCTGGGAATCGAACCAGGGACCCCCACCTATAATGATTCTATCCTCTGGTTACTCTGGTATTCCCCCTCAACCCCCTTTTAGGGAAGAAACCCATGACCCCCTTCATTTAATGATTTAAAATCATGTATACTGAAAGTTTGTGACATAATTCCTATCATTTTTGATGAAACAATTAAAGGTACAACTACAGTAACCCTATTTATACTAAGTTAAATAAGTGATTGTCAGTTACTTAGTACTTGTTGTATGGACCCTGTTTGGTCCTTCTACCCACTATCAACAACATTTTAAAGTTAATTGCGTTTAGCATCAGTATCCTAAATATTATAGGGAAAGGTCTATCCATACACAGTACCTGAATCACAAGGGTCTCTTTTAACTAATTTAACATTGCTTACTAAATACAAATGAACCAAACATGGTTGAAATTTAACTGGGGTTTATGTTATAAAAAAACCCATAAACTTTAATTTCTATTCTTTTAAAAACTGTAAGGGGTTGCTCTATGCATGTCTATAATATTTTTGTATCATTTATTAACACAACTGTTTATACAGATGACAGATTGCGCAGTGTGTAAAATCACTTTCTTTTTTTTAATTGTATAGATTTGATTTGAATTGAACCAAACACCTTCCTGGTTGAGACTTAATGTTATCTTATGAAAAGTTCAAGATATATACATTGATTTATAGATAAGGTGTACAATCAGACATATTGCGCAATGAATACTGATATTATATATATGTTCAAGGTAAATAAAAAAAGAAAAGGCGTGTCAAAGTAAGAATTTTAGGAACATTGTAGCTCATTCATAAACTCAATTTACGCTATATATAAAGTAAAATGAATTTTTTGGGGCCCAAGGGGAAGGGTGGGGCAGCAAAGTTTAAACTTTAGAATATATACGTCAAGAAATTCATAATAGATAAAAGGTAGGAACTAGGTAGTGAAACCACACGTAGTCATATAACCCAAACATTCTCAAGTGTATGGATTTAGCTGTTTTAATGTTTAAATTATATAAACTTTGGGGTTAAGGGTGTAGTGAAAATTGAGGATGAAAAGTATACAGGAAAGAAAAATCTCACTTGAAATCTTATTCAGATATGCAAGGTCATGTTACAAGTGTTATTGATACTGTCAAACATCCCAATGTTGTGTGGATTCAGGTAGTTATGTCACGACTCCTTTTATGCTTAAGTGGGGCCACAATATGGCTCAAATGAGGAGGAAGAGAGAAAGAATATTTAAAAAAAAAAATTATGATGAACAGCAGGGCCAAGACTCAGGTGAGCATAGTGATCCATGGGTCTTTTTTTTAGGGGAGTTAGGACAGCAAATCAAGTCTTTTATTAAGAATTGCTTATGTCCCAGTGCTAATGTACCGGTGATGAACCAAAGTATGAAAAATATCAGTAATAAAATATGAGACTGAATTGAGAGAAATCCTAAGATGTTGCAATAGCCAGCAGCATTCTTGATTTGCTTGGGCTAATCATGTGTATGCAAAAGCAAAACAAACATTTGTGTTGAACAATTTTTGTGTTTCTAAAAAAGTTGCTTGCAATGTAGGGTGTTTTGACTTTTGCGTGTTATTTAAACATGACCCTTTGACATTGCATGCACTGCAAGAAGAATTTCCAGTATTGTTTGCTGTAAACTTTCTGTGAGGAATTTGATATTAAATAACCATGATTGTGATTTGGATGACAAAGTTTCTGCTTATTAAAACCTGCATGAGAACTTGGTTAAAAGGATAATAACATTCCATAAATGATGTCTGCAATAATTAAATGCGAGTTTTCGAGGGGTTTTTAATTTTTTTTAATTTTAAAGAACAAATTGCCCATTAATTCTAAACAAGGTAAATAAAAAGAACATAAATTTATATGTAGATATATAAGGATTACGATTTTTTGATGTGTTCTTTGTGTGTTGTAGGCGTGGGGTATGCAGTGACGTAGTGTGGAAATGAACGGCTACGATCACTACGGACGGAACGGATTTCACCCTACAAAGTAAGTCTATATTTATAGAAAAATAGATCAGCCTTATGCATATATACCAGAGATGTTTAAAACATGCTGCTTCATCAACACTTTGTAAACTATTTGCTGAATTGTAAAGGATATATCATTCCATGCTTTTGCCAAGAGGATTACCAATTGTTTTTGTTCTAGATCTACTTTTACTAATTTAATGCATTGTGACATTTCTCATTCCTGTAGTAACCTACTTTTACATTCATAGTGTAGAAAAATATATACAAAATTCAAGACTGTTAAATTACCAATTCAGGCCTGGTGAAGGGAATTTTCTGTATTATAAACATTATGCAGAAGATGGTTGTATTAAGTTTCAGTCCTCAAATAGAAACTTGTATTAGTGTCGTCTCTGTTGAAAGCCTCCTACAGTTACATGTATGAGTTTTCAGGAATGTTATTTTACATAACAGTTGACTTAAATTTGACACCAAGTATGCATTATAAATTTATAATTGTATTTAACATTTATTGTGAGACTTTCTTTTTTGTGTGAACTGACATATGAATTAGTATAGTGAATTCATGGTCTCTCCTGGTTGGTTCATAAAAAATAGTGTCAAGCTTGTGTAGTCTTTGTATTACAACTCTGTGGTTTAAGATGCTGTTGTATTTTCCCTGTATTCACTGGTATATTTTAAGTCAAGATGGTGTGTCTAAATGAATTGATGCCTTATTCAGAGTTGTCAGTTTTATTTTGTGTAAATTAGACAACAAAAATTATTAAAAGCAGTCACTGTAGATCAAAGTAACTTTATCTGGTCACTTTTATATCTCTATAATTTAATTAGTTACTTTTTCCCCCAATACTTTGAGCACAGTTTTTGTTGATCTATAAGTTAAACAATTATATAAAGCTTATATACTCATTTATTATGTGAAGATGAACCACTTTGAAGAACAACCTCCACAAATTTCTCAACTGTCCCAGCTCTATTTGTGATATCTTTTAACCCTAATGCTAATAAATAGGGCTAATCTGTGGTTCTTGATAGGGTTAACTCTCTTGATATTAAGAATGGCAGCATTAAATATGCATAATTTGTTAAAACAACTAATTCATAGTTTATTCTTCAGTTTGACATTTATTACTTAATTTACTTTTAATATATGAAAGATTAACCATGTATGAAATTTTAACGCACCATTATTATTATAAACATTGGAAAAAACATCTTTAACTAAGAAATGCAAATGTTATTGCATAATAAGAATTTATCATTAGGGTGTATAGACATTCCTTTTATTGTTACCGTAGAAATAGATGTAATATGAAAGTTAAGTTATTTTGTGTTTTGTTTCGTTGTGTATTCATTACATCAGTATGTAGTTAATATGGAAGGTGTTTCCGAAATGGTTCAACTTAAAACTAGTTTGGTCAGACACGCATGATTTGCCAAGGGTGACACTTTAAGAAGCATGAATGGTTGGTTTAGTGGGATTTAAAGAATGCCAGGTCTTCGGTAGTAAACGGAACAGTCGTGGATCATACTCTGCAAGTGGGAAACTCCTTCGAAGACATTGCAGCTTAGTGCATAAATTTAAATTTGTGAATTACGATTTTGTTTTGATTTTTGATCAGTGAAAGGATTATTTAAAAACAAATGAAGGATGAAGTTTTACACAGGTGCAGGGCGGTACGTATACATATGTATTAATGCTATGTTCTATTGACCTAAATTCTTCCCTCCCAAAGTATTGTCAGCTAGGAGAGGTGAAATAGGATGATTGTTGAATGTCTAAATGTCCAAATTTTGTAAACTTTAATCTTGGGTCAGTTTAAAGGCAATGTTGAATGAAACACTCAGGTGAAGAAATTCTGGAGAAAAGAAACAAGAGATAAGACTAGCCGTTGCTTTAGAATGTGCATCCACCTAAAGGTTAACATGGCCATTCATTTCTAATCCTCTAGGATAGGGGGACTATAGTCACTATACATGTATATAAAGCTCTTGATGAAGATTAATGGATCATTATACAAGCATTGGGTCAGCACCTAGCAATCTTCATGCTGGCCCTAGAAAATTTTACACCTAAACGGACAATCTGAATTTAGGGTTTTATTGTAAAATGTTTTGACCCTCGTGGAAAAAAAGACAACAATAAATACCTGGGTTTTTTATTTTCGTTTCAGTGTTGTTACTTCTTTAAAGGATTTAGATATTTAAAGATTTTTAAATGAATTAAAGGATTTCATAACCTAAAGTGACTGACTGTAAACAAGTGTATTGTGGTCGAGAATAAAAGGTGTCAAAGTGACAGTGATACATTTAAGTTCTATATTGATCTAGAGGAACGATTAAATCATGAATGGTGTTAATTAATCAAGAACCATTTAAAGTTGAACCATTTATGAGATAGGAATTAAAAGAGGAAAAAATTTCAATTAATTTATTTATTTTCCATGTATCTCACCTTAATAATATTTATTGTAATTATTGCAGCTGCATACGTAGTGTTTGCATATTACTAGGAGGAGAAAGGTATTTTCTCATTATTATAATTAGGACGGCCTGTAGCCACTGGCATGGGTGGGGGACGATGATCCAAATACACAAATATTGCTAAATAACCAGATACACAAATATTGATAAATAAAGGTAATCTTATAAGTTATAGCTTGTACTATATTTAGAAAAGTTCTCCTAACGAAAATAACTCGGACTATTTTCAAGACCTCAAAAAAGTAAGGTAAACTTGACAGGGACATCTTATAAAAAGAAAAGTCAATATTTTCCGTAAATCTCTGACGTTCACGTCCCCTTTATAGACTGTGGATACAGACTTTATTCACACAGGTTATCTAAATATTAAACATCTCACAAGGTAGTCATATTATCGTGATTATGCAGAATTATGCTTGTTCATGATAACCATTTGTTTGTATAAGGGAGTGATCATATGGCTGTAGATCACCTTGTTGATTCTGTAATTGGCCAGATAAATGGAGAATTTATATTATTAGCTTCATATTGATCATAAAAACGGTGTAAAAGGGCTTAGAAGTAGCTACTGAAAATCTAACTATAGATGTAGAAGGAATTATGAAAAAGATGTTCAGCATTGCTAAAACCATTTAATATTTAAGCTGCTAGAACTACTAATTTGATTCATTACAGTCAAACCTCATTATCCCAAATTGAAAGGGGTTAAGATAACACTGACAGTTTAGTATCTTTAACTCTGATATCTAGATATAAACATTTGAGCAAGTATTGTACAAATTTAAATGCTGGGGTAAATTCGTACATATGAGATATTTCAGATATAACTGCAGAGGGGACATGGGCATTTGGCTTATTTTTGAATTCCCCTTCGGCCTTGATTCTTTATGCTCAATTGGATGTAAATTACAACTTTTAGGCTTACATGTACTAGCTAATGTTGAGAGTTACCCTTGTTATGGAAGTTTACCTTTAATCAGCCCTTACATTAAGTTCCTGATTTTATGGTCATTCCTTCTCCATGGGAGACCCAAGTACACCCCATACATTATTGAATGGAAATCAAATTGCAATTTAAAAAAATTAAATGAGATCTTGTGATTTATTAAAATGAAAATACATGTGCAGAAAATCCCTCATTTTATACTTTAGAAATATAGGTGTAGAAATCAGTGGCTAATTTCCGTAATTACTTTGGCTTAAGATGCATGGTCAAACAATTTAAAAAGAGGCTTATTCGCTGAACATTCATTTGTTTGAATTAACTTTCTACTTATGACACGGGCGGTACCTAATTCCTGAAGGAACCATTTTTCTATGGGATTAGTGTGTAGACTTTGATGTCGAGGATTAGCAATTTATGCTTAAAATTAAGAAAAAAGCTATTAACTTGATACAGTAATTGGAGACAAAAACTGGCAAAGCTGTTGAGCAGATTATATGTCAATGTCAAAGATGATAGAGGATTATTTATGAGGTCTATTGCTAGGAAGCGGTGTGCAGTGATCGGAATTTTTATGAGGAAGTATTACCAAAATGTAAAGGTATTGGTCCAGGAGATACTATAAGAAGTTTTATGGAATTTTGTATTTTGAAATCACTTACAAACTGTATTGGATTCCTATTGGTCCATTGAGATCACTCCTTGAGATTTTTTTGTGACAGTTTGTTTTGTGTTTGTATGGAAGGATATGAAATAGTTGAAGATAACGAACAGTGATTGATCTTAAAAAAGAAAAAATAATAAAACTACGAAAAATTCAATTCTGCGAATGCTTTAGCATAAAAGACAGAATCCAGGAAATTCCAGAGGTTTGCATACATTTTGGATAGATAAAAAAAACATTTCTGAGTCAAAGTGACAGTCCAGATAACATTTTCATTTGCATGCACTTGGGTATTTTTAAAAAAAAAAAAATAATGACATTGTTATGAAACCTTGGTAATTATCTTGTAATAATAGGATATAGGGGAAAAATTTTAAGAGTTTCTATCTTCTCCGTGAGCTCTCCGTGTATGCATATCTTTATGAAAGTGAAAAGCTTCAAAATATTTAAATAATATATTTTTTCCTGCTTGCTTTCATATATAACCAGAATTTATAATATTTCTGTTCTACTTTCAGTTCTGGAGATCCCTTTAACCACAGGTAAGAATTCTCCTGGCACCAGAACATGGTGATATATAATAAATTACAAATGGGGGTATTCTGCATGTTAACCTCTCATGGTTAAGGGATGTCCTGGACTGCATGCTTAATGAGTTGAATATATGCTTAAAAATTTACATATATCTGTATTATATTTATATATATGATTTACTATGAAATGGGGAAAATAACATTTTCAAGCATTTTGTCAACCTGTAAATATTAATACTAGCATAGTACATGTATCAGCATTTGGTATGCATTTCTGCTTTTACAGTTTTTTATTAAACGTAGCACAAATAGTCAAAATCTGTATTAATGTGATAACATCTAAAATACAAGTCCAAAAATATATGACATAGCTAAAATCTAAAAATCAATTGGTGTAAAAATTTATGCAGTCGCAGGGAAATGGACTTGAACAGTCCTCGACGTTCAATTTATGAGGGCTCAGTGTTTGGCATACCTGACTTGTCGACAGCCAGGTAAGGGGGGTGTGGTCGATAAAACTGGTGAAGGACTCCTCAGAAGTGTCATTGTCACAGCTGACTGTGAAATGGATTGCCTGTTTAGGGCTCGGGATTGAAGCTATTTCCATTACTTTTCTGGCTGTTTTATTTCATGTGTTGATACTTCAGGTGTATGTTGAACTCTGGGAATTCTTTTATACTAGAGAGAATTAGGCCACATTTGATCTATCAGTATCACATTTACATATATTTCATGTCCTGTTGAGCACTGTATCATATAATTATATTTCTGACTACTAAAAATGTTCATTTGACAAGGGTTTTATTTGATACTGTGTGGTGACAGACTTTTTTCTCTTCACATGAAAAATAAGAATATTTTCAAATAAATGAATGTTGAATTTCACCTTATGGTAACTCTTTGGTCACTGCAAATGTTTAAAATCATTAATTAAGCATTTTTTGAAGTTTTAACAAGAAAGATTATAAGTAAATGATGTGTAGAATGCAGTGATTTTTATCCTGATTTTTAATATGATTATTATTCTTGTAGAGATGACCCCTATGATAGGAATGAATTTGGAAGATCTCACAGAAATGGATACGGTCCTGATATAGGTAAGCCATCTCACCACAAGGAAAATGTGTAAAGTGTTGACAAGACCACGAGCGATATGCCATTATCCCCAAAGAAACTGGTTATAAGGGCATACAGGACGATTAATTTTCACAATCAAGCCTTTTTTGATCTGTTGTTAATAGACCCAGAGAATTTTAGGACTGGTTCGCAGCGAGAAATATTTGCGATGACGAGGCTCTCGCAAACTTCACGAAAATTTCTTGCACACGAATAAAAGTTGGTTTAAAGTATTGCGAATTCATGGATATAGCAAAGTTATTTTGGATCCCCAGTTATATAAATTTAACGAAATTCTTATACAGAGTTCTTGAAATCTTTTTTTCAGTGTCAGTCATTTGGACTGACTGCCATGTGAAGTTTGTCAGTCCAGACAGATTTCTATCAGTCCAAAGAAAATTCAATAAAAAGATGAAAACTTTATTTACATTTCATTATCAGTATATTGTGCACCTTTTGTCAATAAACACTGCACACTTCATTCTGATTTGATCGTCGATTTTCTTTGAATTATCTCAGGGGGTCGTTTTCTTCATAGGTGTTTAATCTAGTTCGATTTTCTCACCTGGCTGTTTTAACAGTTTACCAATCATAGTTTGACACTTGCGTTCATCGAAGAAGCCATAACAAAACACAGAAAAGCGTTTGAAAGATTACAAGCGGACGGTTATTGGGAATTCGTACGAAATTCAGTCGGATTTTCGCAAGTTTCTCTGTCAACACTTACTGGTCATTTGGACTGACATAAAACGCAAAGTAATCAGTCCTTGGTTCTTTTTATCGGTCTTGCCGACAGGACCGAAAGATTTCAAGAACTCTGTCTTATACTGATGTAACGAATTACAGATATAGTGACGAAATTTCAGAGGTCCCACTGACTTCGTTATAACCAAGTTTTACTGTATCATCTTCCCAATGTCAAGGGTTTGTGATTCAAGGGTTTGTGATTTCGGAACTCGACCTAAATCACAAACCCTTGACATTGTGAGGATGAGGGACATACTTGTGTTTTTGATATGTCATTGACTTGAACAATTTCATTTAATTACTTTATTACAACTCAAGATTTATGGAGTTTGGGAGACAAAGTAGTGGCTAAAGTGTGTTTTATCAGGAATTCACTGAAAGGCATTCTAGAAAGGAAATATGTCCATATTCAGGCTGGTGTAGATAACATTTAGACATGTTAGAAGGAACAGATAAAGAGATTGCTTTGAAAGTGAGGATAATGTGTATAAATAGGGAGATATCTGCAAAAATATCAAAGAATCTGAGATTGATTTACAAACCAAAAGAATTTGATTTGACAGTTATCTTTGTATTCAGTATCATTATATGTTTCAAATCAATAGAGAATCCCCAAATTTAGGTGCAGGGCAAGCAATACCTACTCAAAGTTGACACGGTGATGCCAGATCTTTGTTGGAGGTAGAAATGTACATAATACAAAATAATAGCTGAAAACATCAAAAATTACTCCCAGCATAACAGTTCATGAGCCCGATGATCTACTGTTGCCAATAAAATTATTTCAACATGTAGCTTAATACACATATTTTTGTTTTGCCTAGTACATGTACTTGATTAGTGGTATACAGATTTGAAAGTTGAAATATTAGAAACTGAATTAATACTAGTAGCATATATCTAACAATTATCATAAATATAATCATAATAGAAGAGTGTTGGGTTGTTCCTTATATATATACACACACAATGCCCTGACACTCTGACATAAAGAGAGAGAGCCCTAATGGATTTCTATTTTTACAAGCCTTTTTTACTTTGATGGACACTGTCCACTGGGCTCTCAGAAGACACCTGTAGGCCCTGATTTTGTAAGGATAATGATCTGTTTACAAGCCATATTGAACCGCGGACCCATCAACAAGAGGTCTTAATGTTCCGGGGACTCTATTAATTTGTTTAGGCCACTTTTGGTGTATCTCAGTGTATTAAGGATGATAGAATTTTTTCTCTACACATTTTTTGTGACATGTAACAGCTTTAAAAGGTAAGCCAGGATTTATCATAGTTTTGTTATGTGAAACAAGTGGTTTTAGATGTGTTAATTTCAGGGCCTTCGGCTATATGGCTCCACCTGTGTGCATGTTGTAAAACACCTTTATGAGACAATTCGTAATAATTCAAATTTTTGAGGCATCTGAAAATTCAAAAACATGGAATGTGAATGAAATTTATTGTCATGTTATTTTGAGAATGACATCATACTGAACTTTAATTTAAAGTCTTAAAATTTCTCCCAAGTTTCGTGCTATGTAATATTTGTTTTTATCAGAAGTATGGTGACCGAATTATTTGGTTTTTTTTTTTCACACTACAGTACTTTGATTTGGAGGTGTAAATTTTTCTTTAAACAATTCAATGTTTATATTTCCTGGATATACTGAAGGGAGAACCCACTTTACTGGACCAGCATTTAAATGTCTGAGTCGCAGGATTCGGGTCAATGGAGAATTATCTCTGGTTAAGTTCACTGATCTACGGCTCAAGGGAACAGATTCTATTGTGGGGAATGTTGTAATATTTACGTAGCTTGAGCTATTACAAAACAGAACCTATAAAACTTAAGGTGTGTCCAGGTAGACTCCTTCTATTGATGGAGATCAATCATGAATTGTGAATTATTGCAGTGAGTAACCTTCCCTTTGCCATACCACTTGGTTATTTCCATTGGTTCCAAAATTTACCCGCCCACTTAAAATGTACGTCAAAATATGAAGAAAAAAATAGTAAATCAATGATTGGTCAAATTATGGAAGTTTTGTGGTTGTATATCTTTTTTCTCTGTTCGAACTATTATGAAACAGCTTGGGGTATATTCATCATAGTGTTTATGAAAGACCTTCATTGATTAAACTGCACAATTATCCCCAAGTCATTTTAGGGTTGCAGCAGGTCTAAGGCTGTCGTAAATTTTTTACACAGGTTTTTGTGCATATTTAAAAAAATGAAATGAAGTCACTTTTGTCTGTGATGTATTAAGGGAGTGTAAAGTGGGGATAAGTCCTGTGATTAAATCAAAATATGTCACACTTGAGTAATTTTAAGGAATGGTAAATATTAATTGTCATCAGTCAGTGATAAAATTTCATCAATACTTTATCCTATCTATGGAATAATCAGAGGTGAAATTGGTTTGAGATTTTAGAATTTATTTGAAGTTCTAAATTGATTATTAGGTAAGGCTTACAAGTAAATTGCACCATCTCTTATTAAGCATGAATTGGTTAAATGTTTTGATCATTATGATTAATGAAGTGCTGTCTCTTTTTCAGTAGACAGATCGAGCTTTGACGGTCGATTTGACCCGAGAGACATGAGGGAGAATGAGTTTGAGCTGGACCATCTGGCCACGTTCTCCTCCAGAACAGGTAAAACCTCACTAAACTATACATCAATAGATTAAAGGGGGGGGTCTTTATTTCCTCATTTTAAACTGAAAGGAATTGCACACACAGACACAATGTAAATATATATGTCTTCATTAAAATATTGTGTGTCTGGAAAATGGGTGGGGAAATTCTAAAGACTCTGTATTAATGAGATTTTGTTGTAAAAGTTAATTTGATTTTTCCTAGTAAAGAAGAAATGTTTGTCTTTTGAAGTGCTGTAGAATCTTGCATGCAACCTACATGAGTATACGTCTGCTTGTAAGCTGTTGACATATTATTTTACAGGTCCTATGTCTGCAGAGGATGGACTTCGTAAGCTGCGACAAATGGAGAGCTCCACAGGAATCTGGACCATGAGATGTGTAATGATTGTAGACAAACAGACCAGTACACTCATGATCATTGACAAGGGGAATGGGGTAAGTCGTATTACATCTCAAATGTGACATTAATTTTAAATCTTTGAAGTTAGCACAAAAGAACTTTGCTATAGAAATTGATCATTCAGAAGAATCTCAAAGAAAAGGCTTGTCCTAGAATCTCAGAATAGTTTTACATAGTATATTAATAAACATTATGTTTTGAGTAAATTAACACAGGTTATCATAGAAATAAGAGCATTCAAATAGTATTAAAAATTTGGATTTCATTTGCAAAAATTATTTGGTCATCAAACTTTCAACACTTGTTTTCTAATTTAGGAGGAACTAGAAAGATTTCCAATTGAGAGCGTTCATGAACCTACAGCCATATTCAAGGATGACAAAAGGGAAATCTACACCAACCTGATACTGTTTACAGTCGTGGATGATATCCGCAGGAGGAATGGTCCGGCCGACATGCACATTTTCCAGAGTATTATTTCCCCAGTAAGTTTCATAAAACCATTCAACTCCTTTATGTAAATACGAAAAGTACTTTTATAAACAGTGCATATGAAATAGTCTAAGATTTCTGATTTCAGTTACTGTAAAATCACATTTGGGGGGGGGGGGGGAAGGTTGAGGTTTGATAAAGATTTATTGATACATGAGTGATTTGATTTTGTGGTTGGAGAAGTGTTGAGTAGTAATGCATTTTAAATTTTATAATTCGTGGTGATCATGAATTCATGGGTCTCTGCATACCTTGAAGAAAATAAAAACGAAAATTAAACCCCCAACAAAATGAGTTATTTCACAGTATAATACATCAATTCTGATGATAAAAAATTCATGCTTTTTAAAATTCTAAAATAAAAGCCTTAGCACAATTTGAAGCATAATTTCCTCTATTTTCCATACCATAAGATCTGAAGTTTATTCCAGGTTTTTTTTTTTCCTGGTAATAATTTCCACCTTCAAAACACTTTTTAGCTCACCTGAGCCAAAGACTTATGTGAGCTTTTCTGATCGAAATTTGTATGTTGTTGCCATTGTCTTAAACTTTTCACATATTATTAGCACATTAGATAAAGGGTTTTAATCAGAAATATTGACAAGCAAAGATGAGTATTTTTTGTGTATTTACTTCCTCTGATAATATAGTTAAAGGATAAAATTTTTCTTCCAGGCACAGGAAATTGTAGACGAGATACAGGCAGCAAAAGATGGAAGACCTTCAAGTTCATTTGGGTAAGTATACAGAGGATTACCGTAACACTTGCCTTAAGAAAAGAGCCAGGGACAAACTATATTGATTTGTAATAAACATATCTTTTTTATATATTTTGTTCTTGACAATTTTTTGAAATGTTTAAATGAAAATCGGTCTGCCCTTAGCATGAATTTATTGTGTGTTTACCATTCTGATGTTTTACATGTAGTGTATTTTCATGGGTTGATAAAAGATGTAGAAGAATAATAAAAAATAGAAGTATTTATCTGTCTTAAGTAATAACAAAATACCTAGCAAAATAATCATCAGTGAAATGACATTTGAATTTAATGTGTATGTTACAGGCAGAAAATCCCTCCCCCACCTATGGGCCCAGCCCCCAACCCACCTAGATTTGGAGAAGGTAAGCAGTGTAATTCCTTTAGTATCATAGATTTTGGTGCTTGTGAAATGTATATACTGCCTCACGAGAAGGAAAATCAGGAATGATTTTTTTTTGATGTGTAGATTTCATTGTTTTTTCACCAATGTCATAAGCTTCTGGTCTACATTCATGTATGACATGAAATTGTGAACAGCAAACATTTGATTATCTATTCTTGATAAATGATCGATACAGTTACATAGGATGTTTTAGTTATGTACATGTAGGAGCAAGTAAATTAATAGTACAAAGGCGTCAGTAATATTTTATGTTTTAAAGATGAAACAGACAGCAAGCAAAATATAGAAACACATTTTAAACATTTGGACATCCAGGATGAAGGTAAATAGGAGTAAACTCCCTTAGAATTTGTAACTGGGGTATGGAAAAGTTAATCTATGCAAGTTGAATTCCGTAAAAAATTAATTTCATGAATACCTTTAACATCAATGCATGAATTTGGGATGAGTTAGGAAATTTTCCGGTCAGAATGTTGCAAATGAAGACCGACATTTGAATATTTTGTTGAAATCATGTAGTTCGAATTTTGTGATTGATGTTAAGCATGATAAAGATACTGCATGTACATTGCGATATGTATGTTTCACATAACTCAAGAATAATATTTTTGGATGTACAATGCATAATTATATAATGTAAAATTCAGAAGTTTGAAACGTTGCATATTATTCAATTCTGACTCAAGAGCTCATCGTGTAGTGCTGGTATTTATAAATTATTTTTTAAAAATTGATTTTATGAAGCTATTAAAAAAAATACCTTTAATTTTTTTCTTTAAATACCTGTGTCGGTAGGACGATTTTTCAAGGGTTTGGGCTAAAACACTACATTGTAAAGTACACCTTTGTAAAAAGATTTTTTTTCTAATGGCTGTAGCTGGTCATTGGGTCATTGGGAGACCTACTGTCACACGCAGGCAGTTTTCGGCCAGTTCTGCTGATTTTAATCAGGAATTTATCAAATCCAGCCAGAACTACCAAAGTAAGTCTGAGGTCACCGCTGTGTATGTCTGGCTGCCATGTCACGCGTCTGTCCTAATATTATAAGCTGGAGAGAAGAGGGGCTCCGAATGTATATATTCACACTTAGTAAAACGGAGAGGGATTCTGAATGCCTTCTGTATATCTATATGATATATGTATGATATATTATACAGATGAAAACCTAAAAATGGGAAGGGATATGTTATATGTATGAAATATATTCAGTATTTTATGAAAGGGTATAGTCTATAGATCTATATGGTTTAGGTATGCAATAAAAGTAGCAAGTAATGTAATACAGAACTACAAGTTTTTTTTCTGTTTCCTTTGAATGTTCTGAAAGATGAAGTGAATTTTGCATCAAATTTAAAAAAAAAAAATTTTTCTCAATATTACCTTTCAATGTTTCCTAATAATATTTTGAAATTAAAAATAAATAAATATTTAATCCCTCCAGAGATGAAAAGTCCAACTCCTTCAGAAAATGCTTATATGACTTTCCTAAATTGTGGTAAGGCCCTTTCCATCCTTGTATACCAGTCCTATATATCCCTAGTAGTGAGTGATTTCTGAATCATGCATGCAAGAACAAGGGACTAGTACCTCGTAGATAAAGTCAGTACACCAGTCTACGGTGTGCAGGTTTGAGGATTGTTATTAAAGAATTAAGTCTGAAACTGGGATGCATGGATTCATATATTGTAAACAAAATATGATAATGCTTGTGTTTGGATAGTTTTCCCATGTGAAAATTGGACTGATATGTGAAAAATCCACTGTTTTGGCATTGTAACTTCTATGTTATACATTTAACACATACGTAGTGGTACATGTACCTACAAGGAATGTCTATCTACCTATATATCACTTTTTCCTTTGATTTTACAGTCTAAATATTAGAAAAAATAATGTTGAAAATGTAGTACATACGATACATTTGTCTCATAAAGTTGCACATTTTAAATTGCATCTTAGTTATTTGGGTTGAAGGATTAAGTACTGGTCAATATATAGCATGTATTGTAAGAGTCTTCAGATATAATTTTATGTATTTATATATACTTTTGATGTGCACTATTAAATGTATATTTTTTAATTGAACATGTTTCTTGTATGCAGTGTTGATGTATTTTAACTTTAGTGCAAATCAGTAACTTTTACTTTCAGTCTCAGGATAGGAAATATTTATTAAAGAAGATCAAGGGCCACATTTTTAGCAAGTTTTTGAACAAACTGGGAATTTTGTTTTTCTAGAAACTTACTTGAAAGAGAATGCAGGGCTTGGTCGCAGTGATTTCTATTCACAACAAGGCGGTAGAGACAACCAAGCCAATAATTTCGTAGATGATGAAATTAGTGAGTTTTCGTAAAGCTTGATGCATGTCATTGCAAAATTAGCCTTTTTTTTTTACTGCAGTAATATAGGAATTAACAAAATCGCATGTTATGGTAGAAAAAACCGAAGGACCGCAGGAAATTGTTTTTGAAAACTTGCATATTTAACGATAATGAAGCATGTGCCATGTGCAGAAAAATATTTCTTTTCATTAGAAATTTGTAAATGTTGAAATATAGATTTTTTTAATAGTGAAAAGCTTATGCCAACTAACAGAGCTTGAGTGGTTTTTCAGGGGGTATGGGGGCTCTTGAGAAGTGGTATTGTGTGTTGTATGAGAAAGGGGCAGGTTTACTAATTTTAACCCTTTGTGTGCGGGAACCCAATATATTGGGTCTGACGTCACAAACGCTTGCGTGCGGGAACCCAATATATTGGGTCTGAGTCTGGAATTTCCGCTTCGTCACATAAAACGTAGTATAAAACGTATAAATGAGTTGTGAGTTATTAAGAATCTATCAATATGTATTATAAAACTACAAAACATTGAAAAATAGGTAATTAAGATGTGAAAATATGCCAATTATTTGTGAAATTGTGATTTAAAGTGAAGGTGTTTGGCGTTTGTTACGATGAAAGTCAGTCCGCTATTTTTGGAAACAGGGAAAAAACGCGCATGTAATAAATATCTACTAACTTGCCCTAATATAAAGGAAAATAAAGAAATAAATCCAAAAAAATAGTTAAATATCAATAATTCTAATAAATTTGTGTTAGTAGACATAAAATTACTTAGAAATTGTCGATATTTTAGCAGAAAAACTCTGGTTAACTTGACTTGACCTTAACCTTGCGAAGTTCTTCCTGTTAAAACGAAAGTAGGGTGCACATGCTACTTAACTTTAGTCTGAAGCATATCGAGAGCTTATATGGTCGGCAAAGTTTTATATTTTGGACATACGGTGGTAATTATTTGTTTATTTGGTGTTTTGTAAGTAGACATACATTACATCGTCTAAATGAAAACAATAATGCGCGAGATTGAACCTGGCAAGTCACAGACGTTTTTCTTTTCCACAGTGGCTGTGCACGTTGTTTACATACGTAAATCAAGCTTTGCTTTGAAATAAAGGTTTGCAAAAAATAATTTGAAGCATCTTGTTAATTAAAAGCATTTGTTTTTTTAACAATAAATAAACAAATAAATAAGTAAACATTTTTTTTTTAATCTAAAAACCCATTTCAAAAATGTTGAAAGATAAAAAAGGTTCCACCTAATAAAAGTAATAAATGTGGAGGACCTTGAACATTGTAGAAAATTTTCCAATGAGTTATGGCATTAATAAGTAAGTGCAAAAGATATATATAGAGAATATATATCCATCAACATATTTTTGTGATCAAGCAAAATTAATTCATGATACAGGTATTCGAAATATACACAATATGAATTTTATAATTGACAATCATTGAGTCAATTAAGTGGCCCTAATTACACCTAAAAATTCTGGTTTAAAGCTGCTTGATGTTCCATCTATTTGGGAAAACTTTCAAATATTTTTTTATAACAGTATATGTCAGATATATTGTAAAAAATTTTAGCACAATTAAAAATTTAAAATAAACTTGATATTTTCTATAAAGTGTCTTCAAATGTAAGCTAGTTATCAGAAAAGATGCATTGATGCATTTGATCATGTGCATATACATGAAAATGGTAAAAAGTGATGAACAAATTTTGAAGTTCTAATTTTCCCTGAAATGACTGTCATTTGTGTAAACTGTGGTGTTTGTTTTATTTCAGTAAGTAAATAAAATACCATTGTTATTTCCTTGATGAGTATTATATAGACTCTATTAATTTCAAAACCAATATATGTTCTAAAACGATCTTACATGTATCTTATTATTTTTAGATTTCTTCAAGGCATTTACATACTCTAATTTGCATGGGACCTAATTAGTAAGTGAAAATGATTGGTACTACATGTATCAGAATTTTTTTTAAAACCAAGTTTAAGAACATGTATCAGGGAGACATTTTCTTTTTCTTTAAAATAGACTTTTGCCAGAATAAAGCATGTGGATTAAATTGCACATTTCCTCCACTTTTTATTTCTATTTTATTAAAAACCAAAAACAGTGAGACTGCCCCAACCTATACATGCACACACAAAATTATAAAATTCACTGGTTAAATAAATGGTAACTCTACAGTTTAAAATTAAGATGAATTGTCATTTTTGTAGGCATAAGAAGGAGATCAGAGTCTTTAGAATGAGTAATTTGTAAATTGTATGGACTTGCATGTACATCTGTTCAATAAATTACAATGAAGACTGGGTAATACAGCAAAACTCGTTTAGTACGAACACGAATATTGCAAATTTACGGATATAGCGAAGTCAATTTGGATACCCAGCTAAAAAAAAATTAATTGATTTCTTATACTTTTATAACGAATTACAGATATAGCGAAGTGATTTCATAGGTCCCAGTGACTTTGTTATAACCGAGTTTTACTGTAGGAATTGTACTTCTCAAACTCAAAAGTACACATTGTACATGTTTTACCTATTAATATGTAATATGTCCTCCAGTTTACAAATTTATAAGGCCCAAGAAGCTTCTACATTCCATCCCTTCTAGATATGTAAGAGTAAGATAGGTACATTTGATATAAGAGATAATCATATATGCCTGAATGAATACAGTAAAAAAGCTAAGATTTACTTCGAGAATTTTTTTTTAATGATGGTCAAATTTTTTTTTCAAAAATGCAAATTCCTGTACAATTACTTATCAACAAAGATTACATTTTGGTCTCCAAAGATATGTTTATTTTTAAATATGAAAATGTGAATAGTTACTAAGAATACAAAGAAATCCCATAGTGGAAATAAAATAGAAATTTCTTTACTGTATACAGGGTTATTTTCACCCCGTGTTATTTTCGCCCTTTTGAACTTGTGAACAATTTGCCGTTTTAAATTCACCCAGTCATAGTTCTTTTTAAGAAATTATGAGGTGTAATTTGAATTCGCCCCATTTTAAATTCGCCCAATCAAGGAGAGGGTGAAAGGGGCGAAAATAAAACGGGGGCGAAAATTTCCCTGTATACAGTATTAGGAATAACATTTTATTTTGAAGTAAAAATTCAGGCACATTCAAAACTTGTGTAATAGGAAAGGAGAAAATGTATGGTAACAATGGTTGGACCAGGAATTGAACTCAGGAACCCTGCTTCACTAGTCAGGTGCTCTACCGAAAGAGCTACCCAGGTTGATACCCATAGCACAACCATTACATATCCCTCCTTAAAGTTATCTTTATCCTTGCAGACACAACCTAAATTCTTATTAGCCCCTGACAGGACTTTCACTTGCAAATCCAGAGGGGTCAATAGCATCAAATCTGTAACAAGGAAGGAGAAAATGCACAGCTGGACCGTGAATCTAAGAAGGGGCCCCTGCATCACTGGTCAGATGCTCTACTGACTGAGCTTACTTGGCCTATATCCATGACCCATACCATTAGACTTGCATAAACTTAAAAGTGTTTCATAATATATTGATTGATATTATGGTACATATCTGTCAACCATCATTAACTAAAATCAATTGAAAAAAATCAAAACTGTTATTCACCAGTGACCACACTGAACGACGTAATTTTTGAAAACGTTATAATTGACTGTTAAAGGTGGTTAAATTTCTAAAATTTGAAATACTAGTTTTCCTGCTGGCAATTATTGTTGCCAGCTAGGAATAAAACTTCTAAAATAAATGCCACATTTCTTACAGAGTGAGAAGTACTGTGGGAGGAAAGTTGATGAATATGTTAACTTTACAAATAAGTTGAAATAACACGGAGAAATGCATTTTCTTCAATAAAAGCAAAATAAAAAAAAAGATCTGAGAATTACTAGAGTATATTTAGGGCTGTTAGATACCAGTCATTAGAAAATAAGACTCTATAACTTAAGTGTTAATGTTATTTTATTTTTTTTTTTTAATTTATTTAACATATTGACTGCTTTAATTTGAAAATGAATACTAGTAACAGCAATTAGTTCATTGTTGTGCCAATTTGCTCCAAGATTTCCCAACCTCGAAAACTGCATATTCTTTGAGGATCATACTTATTTATATGATTGCCAATATTTCTTAAAATTATATAATCACTGGTTTTATATTTACAGGCTAATTGAATCTTTAATTTATACTCTTTCTACATAGTTAAAAAAGAAAAAAATCCATTAACTTAAATCCAGAATTCACTTAAACCTACATGAATATATCCCTTACTCAGATAAGTATACAATGACTTTTTACAACATAACGGTATATATAACATTGACTTTATCATTGAGTTATTGTTTAAATTATTATTATTATTTTTTTTTTTTTACATAATATTAAACTAAAATTGAATTTTTAAAGCAATTGAATTATTTTTTTTCCATCAAAGTGCAATATTTCCCCGAAAAATATAGTTAAAATGCTATAAAGTCATTTAAAAATATTTTTTTTGAAAATTTGGTTTCCATGGCAACATAAAATATTAGATTTAAAAAAAAAAAATAGTATAGATTAAAAAACGCAACATTTGCTATATATTTGCCAAATTTCAAGCAAATTGGTTGTCAACAATTTTAGATATTTGCATTTTAGTACACCAATGTGATAACTTTGTTGATATTCCAAAACAACTCAGTCCTGAGGTCACAGAGCACGTAAAACAAGTCAGCACACAAAGGGTTAATGAAGATGTGAATCTATTCAACTGTTTACTAACCCTGTATTATCCCCTCGTAAAAGAGTCGGAAGGGATATTATTAGTTACGTAGTCTTTTAGTGACAGGGTATGGGATGATACCTGGTTAGTAAATTTCATACCTGGCGAGGCGGAGCCGAGTCAGGTATGAAATTTACTAACCAAGTATCATCCCATACCCTGTCACTAAATGACTATGTAACGAATTTACCCCACCGATGAAACATTTACGTTTTATCTGTAGTTTATAAATGGTTTTCTCTGCTAAATGCTTCATCGCGCTTATACTGTGCCTATTATGACGTCACGTTTGTGTTTGTGACGTAATACATCGACCGGGTATAGATTTTACTGACCGGGTATGGATTTACAACTGACCGGGTATAAGTAATCCACCGCCTTCACGTGACAGACTTCAACCAATCGTAAGCCAGAATTTCACGGAAAAATCAACAGAGGTGGGGTAAAGTTATGTACTTGTGTGTGTTAGTTTGTGTGTGTGTTAGCTTGCCCTGTTCAAAACAAGTGATGTTATTTGCATCAGGATCAAAGTTGAATGCTGCCTTAAATTATAGAATTTTTTTGTGAAGGTTTGCATTTGCAGTGCCCTTGTTGAGATTAATTATTGTATTATAGGTAAATTTATATTAAGTATGATGTAAAACAACATTTAGGGAAAAATTATTATTTGGAAGAAATTTGAAGGGGGTGTGTTGCAAAGCTTTCTCAGTGCCTAACACATTCTTGCAGATTTGAAATTGAATTTTATTTTTAGCAATTTAAGCATTTTGATATTTTCTTCAACTCTTTTGATTAATATGCACTTAATTTCTTGTTTATGATATATTCATTATACTAAATAGAATTCTTTTTCTTTAAACTTTTAGATGTCACATCTTTTATTGCAATATTTAACCTTTTATTAAAAATGTTTTCCCATTTTAAGGATTTTAATTTCATAGTAGATTCATGATGCAAGGTGTGTACATACTAATTATACTAAATAAGGATTTTAAAAGGGTTTGATTCTTAGCCTTGACACGAGAATGCATCTTGGAGGTATATTTATCTTAGTATTGTGTATATAAATGTAACTAATGTACTTTATGTAGTATAATATGAAGATAACGCAATATTCATGAATTTATAAAAAGGCGATAAGTGAATTATAGCCCAAGTAATGTGTCACTTGATCAGATATCTGGAGATCAGATTCACGAAAACACTTTAGGCAAAAAACTGCTGAAGTATACAGAGTGTATAGAAGCTGCCCAGGCCTAGTGGTCACTGTTGACCAGTCATTGCGGGATTATTGTAGCTCCGAATTTTACTCCATTCAGATTTTTGTTTTTCAGCATTTCTGGGCCATTTATCTGGAGTAACTGTTGTAATTGATTTTATACGCACTAGGATTGTATGTATTTATTAACCTGTTTGAGTTGGATGACCGATAATTATTGAATTGTGATTAATTCACAAGGTACCAGCTGTTGTGATTTTACAGTTACTGAGATCAGGGTTTGATTCTATTTTTAGACTACAGACAGAGTAGAGCAGGGGGTGGGTTCGGACAGAGTAACAGAGCCTCCTACATGCCCACAGATATGGACAGTGGCCAGAATGAAATTCTTGAGAGGGATGTGGTAAGTTACAAAGCCTTATAAACTAATTTTGATAAATTTTGGCCTATTCTCATGTGGTGGTAAATTACCAGAAATGTTGATTAGTAGCCATTAATTCTTGTTGTTCATAATTTAGTAAAACTATTCTTGCTGTACATTGTTGAATAGTTGCTTATTTAAATGTCATAAGTTAAAATGATAGAAAAATCGCTATTTGACACATTTGTTTTCCCTTATTGAATCTGTACATGTACAGTACAGGCAACGCGGATCCCGTATTTCCCGCGTCCCCGCCGCGGTATAATCACAACGCGGTATTTGGCCAGGTAGACAGGTAAACCGCGTTCCCTCCGCGGGAAATTCATCACTTACCTGTCCCCGCCGCGGTTAAATCATCGATCAATTACTGACAATTAGTATCGTAAACAAACGGGAGTTATCTCCCCGAATTGTAATTTGCGAATTTTCCCTGTAACAAAAAAAAAAAAAACAAAAACAAACAAACAAACAAAAAAAACAAAAAAACCCGTGTATTTGTTAATAAATTTTGCTATGAATAGAATTTAAACTAAGAAAAAATAAGTTTATTTTTGTTTCTAAAATTACATATCAATCTTTGAAATTGAATAGAAAATTTTATTAAATTGTTACGTCTTTGCAATTGGTTAATTATTTTGTGTTATTAAGAATCTATCAAGAAACAAAATTAAATACTAGAAATTTTAATTAGTTTTTTTTTTTTAATCTTCATATTATATGCAAACTGTAATAAATGTTGAACTCAGACTGTTTAAGTTTCGATGAACGATTTTCAGCATTCATTTGAAAAAAAAGAAAGATGTACATCTTTTTAAAAATGTACATCTTCATATTGTTTATTAATTAATTTCGATTTATTGTATATAAAATGTACAGGCTTTTTCTTAAAGTGTCAAATTACCGGAAAACATCCGATGACGAGCATTTGCAGTTACATGTAGTGGGCACGTGAACTTAAATTTTCTTTATCCAAGATATCAAAAAAAGTTCTATTCTTCTTTATTTCTCATCGTTTATGTTCTGTTCCCAAATTAAGTTAATTTAATTAATTAATTTTCTTTAATGTATTTCCCTCTTTTATATAAATGTGCAGGCATTTTTCTCAAATTGTCAAATGACCGGAAAGCATTCGATGACGAGAGTTAACTTTGAGCACGTGAACTTTATACAAGAGATCAAGAAAAAATATCGTTTTTCACCTTCACATTAACATGTTTTACTTTTTAATACAATGTCTTTCTTTTTAATTTTAATATTTCTCGATTTTCGTGTTCAATAGATAAGATAGGATGTGCAGGTGTAATGTTAAACTTCACAGACGAAATTATAGTTTATATTAATAAATATTCAATGCAAAAATTCATATATTTTTGTTTTCTTTGACAAATTCTGTTTCTTTGTGTATTAAGTATTAGCCGCGATCATTTCCTGTGTATAGGGATTAGCAGTGCCTGAGCAGGAAACGATATGCCCTGGGGGTTTCACACCTGTCTTATAGTATACCTTGGGTAACGCTTGCTGGATGTGCACGTCGTTGTCTAGCCATTCAACAACACATTTGATTCATTGTTTCATTATTATTTCATCGATATCATTTTCAGATGCGATATTAGCCTTGGAATTTGTGTCAAATTATTGTTGCTTTTTTTTAAACGGAGTGTATAAAAAGAATAAAAGTAAAAAAAAAAACTTTTAAAACAAATTAATGAAGTATTTGATATCAATTAAATCAAATAATGATCCATTACTATGTTATTTCGTGTCTGTTTATATCTGTACCAGTTAGAAGATTGAAAGAGAGAGAGAGGAGATAGAGAGAAGAAAAATATCACAGTATTAAGGCACGTTCATGATCGTTTTTCCTCCTTTTTGATCAGTATATCAATTTCTTAAGTTTAGCGAATAAAACTACCGGTGATTTATCAGTTTATTGACTATTTGTCGAATTTGTCTAAGTTTTATTGTTATTTATCGAGAGACTTGTTTATGATCCACTTTCTTCTTTCGTTTGGCATATGTACATGACATGTAATTTGAATTACTTCCCTTTTTGTCGCCAGATTACAACGACAGATTTTGGTGGTAAAATAAAATGTATTTTTGCTATAAAATTTGATTAAGAAAAACACAGTATATCAAAATTGTCGAATTCTTGAAAATATTTATTTGAAACAAAAAATTTAAAAAGGATTCTGTCTGCAACAAAAACATTCTTTATTTCTTGCATTTCAATTCATGAGCTACACATGAAAAAAAAAAACCGGCTTCGTTTTACAATGCCGTAGGAAAACGCATACAGGTAATACACTCAGGTAACATCCTGTGTATATAGGTAGTATGTACACTAGACAGCGTCGTTCCCTCGGGGCTTCTCATCCGCTTCGAGTAAGCTCCACTCCACACCAAACTTACCTGAGGAAAACCGAACGGTTACACAGAAAACTTGAAGCATGGCAACTTGCTGATTAAAATAAGTTAATTTCTGTGTTGTGTGTTCAAATATTTTAAGGGCCCATATTTGTGTTTGTGTTTTATTTGAACCGGAGAAATCTGAAATTTGTTTATCTTCATAAACATGATTTTAGTAATTTTCGAAAAGAGCAGAAAATAGAAATACATTCAAATACTAGCTATGATATTATTGATATTCTGAATAGAAATACCTGTGATTTTATTAACAAGACCCCCCCCCCCAAAAAAAGGTCGATATTTAGTTCATAGTGTTACAGTGTAGCGCATAATAATGGAGCAACGGTATTCCTACACTTGCGCGTGTTTTGTTAAAATTTAATTGTAGTTATGTATCACTATCTATCATCGTTTTTCATGCTATTATTTATAACAGACATGTATACAGAAGTAACGGTACTTTTCTAAATGAAACCAAATGACTGATATAATCTCGCAGATAAATAAACACATAGCTACAAGTAACTGCAACTGCACGGGCTAATTACGAACAGCGGATTACAGTGCATTTAAAGAGAAGCGATATCATAACATTCTTTAAATTTTAATTATACCCTTTTAGCAATTTGAAGATCATTTGGGGTGGCATTATTGATTTTGAAAATAAACTTTAAGTTAATATATTCGATAAATTATTCGACTTTATTTCATCCTATACTGTGCATGTATTACTGTTAACAGACGTTATTGAGAATTAATTAATTTTGAGTGACCATTGGTAAAAAAAATAAGAAAGATGTTTTTTATTAAACAATTTGATAAAACTTAAAAATGAATTTTTAAATAATCCATGTAATGGTATAAATCTATTAATATTAATGTGGTCGTAACCCCCCCCCCCCCCCCCCCTCATTTCGACACGATTACAGGTAAGAACAGCTAAGCTGAAGAATAACGGTAGAGGGCCCCGCCGCGGTGTAAACACGGTCTCAGGTAGCACCGCGATCGAAACCCGCGACGGTGTAACGCGGAAAGGATTAATACACCGCGGAGGGGACGCGGTCTAATACGGGATCCGCGTTGCCTGTACTGTATTGGTACCATTGCCTATTGGTAGAAAAAAACTGGATATCGACAAAGTGTTGATCCTGATGTATTTTGAACTTGTGTTTTTCTCTCTCTAGCAACTGTTGAATGCCTGTTTTGATGACATAGAGAAGTTTGTATCCAGGCTACAGCAGGCTGCGGAGGCATACAAAGAATTAGAACGGCGACGAAAAGATCGCAACAACAAAAAGTCCAAGACCAGCAGACAGTCCGGAGGTTAGTACCCTAAGTATTTTATTTTGAAATACATGTAATTCTGTTAAATTGTATTAATTTAAAACACAGATGCTGATCAATTGTAATAATTTACATAATGAACATTATGTTAATATGTAGCTCATCTGAGAATTCAAAATTTAATTAGAGGTAGATAGAATTGATATTTTAAGAGTCTTCCTTTTATGTAAATTATCAAAACATGAAGTAAATATTAATAAACTTTCATTTACAGATGGCATGCTAAATATGAGAGCAAAACCACCACCAGCGGATGACTTTATTGACATTTTTGAAAAATTTAAATTCGCATTTAACTTGTTGGCTAAACTAAAGGCTCACATACATGATCCCAATGCCCCAGAGCTTGTTCACTTTTTATTCACACCATTGAGCTTAATATACGAGGCTAGTCGTGACCCCGTGCATGGAGGTCGTGACCTTGCTGAGAGTGCCACCAGGCCAGCCATTACACAGGATGCTAAGCAATTGTTACTGAACTGTTTGACCTCTAAGGAGTTGGAATTGTGGCAGTCTCTTGGGAAATCCTGGACAACCAGTAGGTAAGGAGATGACAGGGGTGGTTTTTGGCTTTGTGTTAGAGAAACTGTTATTTATCTGGTATAGTACTCAACCATTTTGCAGAACTGATGAGGGTTTGAATTTTCCCAATAAACAGAGAAAAAAAATTAAATACATATTTTGATGCATTTATTACAGAATGACTTGTAAGAAATTGTATTGATTTTGAGATTATGGAGTTTATATCGATTTTGAGATATTTATATGGAGATTATTTTGTGATTTGATTTTGAGAAACCGTGAAATCACATATTTTCGAGGTGTCAAATTTTAATGGTTTTAGGAAAATAAATTATTTGGTTCATGGGGATTTGATATTGTGGTTGAAGAATTGTTCAGTTGTTATATATGTGAAAAATTGCATTTCATGGTGGACATAAATTTGTGGGTTGCTTTATACATTGAAAAACAGCAAAAATTAAACCCCCACGAAAATTCACATTATTATACTGGTATTTATGGATTCTGTTTTGTCAGATTATGTGATTTTTTTCTGGGATATAAATTTTGAAATATAAAAGAATAATGGAGACATTTTATCGATTCTGTGATATTATAGGGATAATTACGGAGACACCTACATGCCTCGGTTCTACAATGGTTGGGCCCCGGCGATGTCTGCCCCAGTAGACAGGCTAGACAGAGGTCGGATGGAGGACGCGTTAATGAACCATGAGAGACAGATCCGAGACCGCGACATTGAGGATAGAGTCAGGAGAGAGGTGCGGAATATATACATCAGATTTATTAAAGACTTCTGTACACAATGCCATATGGTGTTATAATGAAGTTGTATGGTTTTCAACAGTGCTCAGTCCCATTGTGCTTTTTTAAAACACCTTTGAATATGTTAAAAACTTCTAGTCATATGTATAGCTTTTGATACGAGATGCTCTTTTAATATGTATTAAGAAAAGCAGATTTTAGTACCTGTTGAATGTATCAGTAGGCGGACAAAGTCCAAACTGAAAATTACCTCACATAGTATTATTCTTAGATAAATACAGTGTAGTAGTGAATAAAAGTTCTTTGTTGATAATTAGATAAATTTTGTAGGGAGGTGAATTGGTGATGCCCTTCCCACCAACTCGAGATGAGGATAGGAATTACATAGGACGATCCACTCGTTATGATCAGTACAGCCGACCCCCTGAGGACAACTACGCAAGGTCGACTAAGCGTCCATCCACCCCCCCTCCTGGGGTCCCCTTTACTAACCCTAATGTTGCACGGTACCAGGAGCATGTTGAGCAACACATTAATAGGTCTGTCTCGCAGACACTCTCTTGTATACAAACATTCGGTGAACAAAAAAGTAGATTTTGAATTCATTTCAAGGGAGCAAATTATTTTTTGTGAGAAAAATGATAAACAATATTTCTTTTGGTCATTTTCTCTGAATGTTTGGAAATCTAGTTGTTACATACATGTACGCTTTAGATAAAAGAAGAAAGAAACATAAAGTGCAGCTTCAATTGTTATCAGTTGTTTCAGTCTTACAAAAATTGCTTTACATGTATGTAACATATTTACTGCTAGTATATTAGTTAATGTTGCTATATTTGTACTTTTATCTGTTATTTATATAATTATCTGTACTGGTAAGTCTACACTCTGATATTTTAAAAGGGTAAGGGTTCAAGTCCCCTATCTCCTGGAATAAAATGAATTAACTTGTCTGATTACCTCTAACACATTGTCTTACTATATCTGCAATCACAGAACTGTCTGACTGGATGGTGTTTATCATTCATTTACAAGTACATGTACTTGTTTGTTTGATTATAGTCCCTGCAAATATGTGTACCTTGTAACACACTCTAGTCTGAATTTCCTCTGTAACAAGCATGTTCTACTGACTGCCTGAAATGTTCAGTCTTTTTTCTTGAATTTCTCATGCACACAATGACTTCTGGAATTCTTTTCTGTTTTCCTTTCTTTAAAAGTGGAAAGATTAAAAATAAATTGAAAGTTCATCTATCCAAACCAGTTTTCAAACTACTGTCGAAAAGAAATAAAAAACATCATTTTGTTTATAAATATGCAACATTACTTCAGCCAGCACATATGAAGGATAGAAGTAAAATCTAAGGTGTTTGTATAATTTACAGAAACAGGGAGGTTCACGAGCCCAGAATGAGTGAGCCCCGTCCCATGTCCAGACAAGACAAGAACATTCAGTTTGCGCAGGACATATTGAGATCCAATGGAAAGTGAGTGTGGATTTCCTCATAGCTTTTAAATATTCCCTGAACGGGGATATACTGAAAGTTTATTTTATCTGATGTTTGTCTGTTTAAGAATTCTTGCACATTTTCAAAACCGATCCAAGAGAATTTTTATTGTCAAAGTTTTTATAAAAGATTCTTAAACTGTAATAGGTTTATAAAGCTGAAGAGGTTTAAAGTCATTAGTGAAAGTTTTTTAGTTCTTTGAACTAATTTTGAATAGTTTTATCATTAAATTTTCACATTTACAAAAATTAAATAAATGATAATATTGCTCCTTTAATTAAAAAGTCATTCATTTGGGCTATTTCAGGGTTATGGAGGCAGTCCATGATCGTCAGGGAAGAAATAACAAAGAAATCACAGTAGAAAAGGGAGATTTATTGCAGGTAAGTAATATTTTAACCCCAGTGAACATACAAGGTTTGTTCAATTTTGTAAACTTTGATATGTTATTATATCCCTAAACAACAGGAGATATAATATTATATGAATTATATTGTACTTGCAATGCTTCAACTAAACAGAAATTTCAGTGCATTCTGTAAATTAAAAAAAAATGCTTCCTTGAATTGAAAAAAAGGACTTTACATGCTTGTGTCTATCTATGCTATAAAGTGAAATAAATTTTAGGTCCTAGATGACTCCAGGAACTGGTGGAAACTGAAGAACCACGAGGGCCACATCGGTTACGCCCCCTACACAATACTGAAGGAATATGCAGTGTCAGATATGGAGATGGACAAGGTAGATAACTCCACCCAGCTGTCAGCCCCTACTGCAGTAGTCATGTTATAATGATTTAACAAAGTTCAATATATTGTGGATTTAGGCATAGTTCCAGACAGCTTATAAACCCCCAATTTACTCAGATTATTTTTATTTTTTGGACCAGAGGTATAATTATATGCACTCTAACAGAATAGCAAAAATTAGATAGAAACCAAATATTATAATTGCCATTTCTGAGAAGTTCTTCAAAATGCTTAAACAGCAGCATTTTCAAGCAAGAAAATACTTGTACTGCATATTAGAAAAATTTCAGTTCTGTCTACAACATTCTGTTTTTGAAAAAAGATATTGAACAGATAAAGCTTCATATGGAATCAAATTCAACCTTAATTAATGAATTCTTTAAAAGGAAGGGAAATTATATAAGCCTCACAAAATAATAATCATTACTACATGTATAACTAAGATTGCTTCAAAAAAAGTTTTTTTTTTTGAATTATTTGGGGAAAAAAAATTGTGATAATGAGTGTTTAGTTTGAAGTGAAAAAAAGTTTGAATAATAATTTGCTTTCAAAATAATTTCTACTCTCATTAGAGACTCTCATGCTAATAGTTGCACTATTAAATGATCACATTTTATTCAGATTGAGGAAATTTTTACAATTGTCAAACGGTTTCTCATTATACAGAAAATAATGTAACATGCCATTGTATTAATGTTATGAATGCATTGATTGATTTGAAAGTTTGTGCTTCCATGCTGGAAAAAAAATTTAAAAATTAGAAAAAATTTTTAAAAATATGTTGACAAGAACCACCAATCACTGATTTTTTTCCGCCAGGGTTTACGCTCTAGTAGACAGCATTAACTGGCCAGTATGGGAGAGTGTGTTTATACAACAGTAAGAACCTTGTAGTCTGTATCATCCAGAGAGTCGTATTAGTCAATGTAACACTCGGCTGTCAATATCTAGCTTGTCCCACAGGACCTCATAGTCAGCTGATGTCAGTTATATCATTAACATTTCATTTATTAATTAGAGTTGGTTTAATTAGCAGCTTCATTTATTTTTTTTTTCAATGTTATATTTTATGTCTGCACATGTGATCAAGTAGACTAACATTAACACTTAGGAAATTATTTTTCATTATTGCACACAGTTACTAACTTCATTTTTTAAGGGATTGTTTATCAGAGACATGGGGAATCATTGTATCTGAAGAGCTTTCCTGTGTAAATTATTGTCAATGTGCTCTTGCCAACAAATGTTGAGGAAATTTATAATGCATTGGTCAGGGTGCAGAAATATGACCGCAATATGCGCTTTTGTTTGTCATTGAGGTTATGGAAAACAAATGGCCACCAAGCTCAGTATTGAACAGCAAGATGAATTTTACTGACATCTTTCCTTACTACCATATCCAATCTATAAATATTAATTTTATGTGTATCTCCCTATATGTCTTTAGTGAGCAGATCTAGAGCAAACTTGGAAAAACCAAATTTGTAGATAATTTTTTAATTGATTAATTACCTGTTCTTTAATTGTCAGAGGGCATGGGATCATTTGATGGTAATTATGACGTAGGACTTGGAATTCACTAGGGGCTCCTGTTATAACATCGTTAGATGAGCTGTTTAAAGTGACGTAGAGACCCTAACTATAGATTTATAGACGGTGTTGTGACTAGATTTCAATTGTGTTTCTTAGTTGCTATGTTGTATTGTTTAAATTTCAAATTGTGTGTCTGTCTAATTAAATCCATCGACACCAGTAGATTTCCTGAAAAAAAGATTAACACATGCTCTTATTTCATTTTTATAGTAACATTTTATCCATGAAAATTAAACCTCTTATTTCCATTTCAATTTTCACATTCTAAATCATTTATTTGTACCTCATTAATTTTTCATTTCAATCTTAATGTTAACATTTTTCTGAAGTACACAGGTAGACGGGTGGTAAGAAAATCTTGTTTTTGGTCAAAAACAAAAACAAACTAAACAAAACAAAAATCAAACAAACAAACAACAACAACAACAAAAAAATAATGATAAGAGAGAAAGAAATAAAAACTTGCTTGATGGGATGAACTTTTTGGCAATTCTTTTGATTTGAAAAATTGAATTAAAAACGAAGTATTTATTGATCAGAAGAAAATCAACAACAAAAACATCAATTTGCATGGAAAATGTAGATTGTACCTTATGTGTAACAAATAGAATTGTAATTTTTTTCTTCCAGTATTTGTTACCTGTAACACTCGAGGTCCCTCCGAATTGAATAGGTCAAGGTGTGACAAAAACTGCATAAAACAATATTCAGTGTACCTACATGTACTTTTATTTATTATATACTGGTAGATATTACAGGGCTTTATAATTGGGGATTCTGTCTAAAACTTCAATTAACAGTAGATACATATGCCTGTCTATATGTCTTAAAATAGTATATGTTTGTAGTGATATATGGGTATGATATCAAAAAATGAACTTTTGGAGATGGTCTCTTGAAAAGTCTTGCATGAAAAAAAATAGCTAAAATATAAGTTAAAAAATGTGCAAGATCAAATAACTATCAAGGGTTTCTATGGGCATGCCCAAATTTTTCAATCCCAGTATAACTTGTATACATCTACTTGTATTACATACCATTGTACTTTATTTATATCAGCTGATACTAAAATGGTCCAAGGTAAAGAATGAAAAAAACTTCAACTTTACATTTTGTCCGATAATTATCTTAGGTATTGGAAAGATGGTCGAACAAATTCTAAATTACTGGTGTGCATGGGGTATGCTTAAACGTGTATTAAAAAATAAGAAAATCGTGTTAAGTGGAGAGGTTATTTAGGTTGAATAAATTTTAACTTAATACTTATAATGGTGTGGATTTAACCGGCATGATTATTAATTTATTGCTTTACAGTAAGGTTTGCTGTGTGAATTTTTTTTCTATATGAATATTTCTCGTGTGAATTATTTTATTTTGTAAAGTTTTTGATGTTTGTTTCTGGAAGTCATTTGCCAAGCAAAAGTTGCATATTGAAAGATAACCTAGCATTGTGTGTTCAAAATTTATTTGAAGTTCTATAAACCTGTGTGATCATCGTCAGATTTTTATCAACAATGAACTTTATATTGTGGTTTTACTCATTCTGATTTTTTTTTTCAATTTTCAGACAAGGGGTAGAAGATCAAGTGGAGAATATAACAGCCACATTCAGACAAATGGGGCCCCCGCCCCTCCCGCACCCCCACCCCCACCCAGTGGGAGTCGTCGCCAAGGTGATTTTAGATACTTTTAATTCATTGACCTCTCCCCCTCTTTCACTCACTAAGGGACATATCATTTTTGTACAGAGACATTATAAAACAAAGATAGCAATATTGTTGAGTATTTTTTGATTAGGTTGCTATGGTATATCACATTCCATTAACCTTACCCACTGCTGACAATGATGTTATTTGTGTACAGTTTAGCTACTTTATTTTTCATATGAAAGGAATCAAAGTGCTATATATTTAGATAGTAGCTTGCTTTATAGTGAAAAATACTAGAAAGAAATTAAGATTTACAGAAATAACAAGTTTCTGAAATTTTTATAAATTATTGATTCTTCGGTTGTTGATTCAAAGTTTATCTGTGATAAAAATTTTTTTCATTGTTGACCTTTTTCTTAATGTGGCTTTTGAAGTAGCTTTTTTGAATTTTTTCTGCTGGTCTGCATATCATACTCATGAGTACTCATCGTACGTCTTTCACCGTTCAAAGAGTATCGTTATATTCATTTTTAAACGTCTCATTATCATCCTAGATTTCCATCAATCTAATTCACATCTAAATCGGAATTAGCTTGATCTGTTTAGTATCAGAGGTATATATATGAATATAGAATTTATTTACTTGTATATATATAAAAAATGAGTGCATAATCATAATCAAATGCATGCATTATGTATTTGAAATCAAAGTCTGAAGTGACAATTTTTTTTTCATGTTCACGACTGATTTGTCTTTTTTTTTTTTTTTTACCTGTAGACAGGTGACATAAAGAATTTTATAAATATTATAAGAGGTTATAAATAAACTTTCTATTATTTTATATATAAATTGAATTGTATATCTTCATTTATAGATATTCATATATCATATTGAATTCAAAAGTTCATGTTATATATCATATTGAATATTCAGACTTGTGTTTGGGGTATAGAAAGGACATTTGAAACCTTTTTAATATGCACAAAATATTTACAGTGTATATTCCTAAAACCTTATATCTTATATATTTATGATTTTATAGGCCTTAACAAATGAGAGAGTTTATTTGTTTAATTACATATTCAATGGAGTGGGTGTTGATTCTATGCAGTGTCTTTAAATCTTACATTTTGAAATATGTTTCTGAGATAATTCAATTGAAAATGTTTTATTTTTCTGAACGACCTAATTTCCATAATTAGTCATGAGTAACATTTATCAAAACCCATCAAGTAGTTTATGTCTAGCAGCAATGAAGTAATATATGTAAAACATCAATGTACAAAAGTTAGGTACACAGGAATGGAAATTGGAATTTCCCAAAGACAAAGCTACTGTTTTTTTATTGGCCAGTTGACGAGGCTTGGGTTTAATCAGGGCTAAACTTTGTGTTGCTTGACTTTTGAGAGTTTCCCTTTGTGTTGTATAATCGCACCTGTAGAAGTCTGTGTAACTAGTAGTCAAAATCTAGTCTATGCACCATCCAGGAGACAAAAAACACCCAACTGACTCTGATGTTCGAAATATACATCTGGAATTTTTACCCTCTGTATTTTAATCTACTAATGACATGCACTGAATTCAGATATTAGTTTATTAGTGTTTGATTATTAACTATTTGCACGAATTAATTTTACATTGGTTGAAAGAAGTTTGCATGATTTTAAATGCAAATATAACCAAATTATATCTGACATGGAATTTTCAAATATTAACACACATTTACAGCAATATTTGTCACTTTTTCTGTAGAAAAATGTAGAATGTTTTCCTTGCACTATACTAACCAATTGCATGCATTTCTTTTCATATTTAACCTTAATTAGCTTTCAGTTTTCACTGCACTGTAGACCAAAGATTTGCACCAAAAATTGCATGACGTTTTCAGAAGTAGTTTTGCAAAATTACTGCAAACCAGCTTTTATTCATGTTTTGTATTCCTTAAACATGAAAACGTTTACATGAAACATTTCCATTGCTTCTGCAACTGTGTTTTGCATGTGCCTTTATTAGAAGATTGTTTTTTTTTTTACCTCAATGGTTTTATTTACCAAACCAGTAAAAAAAGTTTCCTATCTGAATAAAAGCTGATTAAATGTAATTTACAAAGTAGAGTTTGGTTTTTCCTTTGTGTTTGGTGATGGGATTTGCAGTGTGCACTATACATTTGTTTTATTTATTAACAACCACTAAACTCTTTTTGCCTCATTTTTGAAGTAATTAAAAAAACACAGAATGGGTAAAAATATTTATACTATCAAAGATGAAAATCAGGAGGATAAAATAACCAGGCAGCGATTTTCCGTAAGTTTGCATGCTGATGCCAAATCGAATTTTTCTAAGCCAGCTTTAATTTAGTGCTAGCGTAAATTTCTAGGTTCCATATTCCTTTCCTGTGCACCTTTCTTTTATCACTGAGTTAATTGCTGTAAATGGTTGTGAGGTACATTTTGTACCAAAAATGTATGAAATATACCATGTTTATGTTTATATAATCTAACATGACAATAAAGATACCTATACAAAAAAATTTTATTATGTGATTTTTATGTGCATGATCATTGGTTGAACACAAATATATGAAAATAATGTCTCTTTGAATGTAAAACATTGATAAATTAGACATGAATTTTAGAGTCTTAAGATATTGAAGCTAGATGGAACAGTATTCTTTTTCTGAAAGAGGCATAGTAAAATTTTGGAAAGGCAAAACATAAGTTTCTACTGATTTCTGTCTCATTGGTCTCATGCTTTTTGATATTGAAGTCCTTGATGTTGGAGAAGATTAGAAACAATCCTGAGTTGATCATAAGCTGAGCCGCTTCTCTGCAGTGGTTGAGCTGTAAGTTGTAACTTTCATATTGTAGAAGTTTGGGCTTTAAAGACCATATAGACACTGGAGTTTAGCCTGGGTTGCTCAGTGGTAGAGCACCTGACTAGTAACAAAGGGATTCTAAGTTTGATTTCATATCTGATGCTATACATTTTTTACTTGCATGTCTCCTTTCTTACTATATTTGTTGGCCAGTGTGAATAGCTATGTACACAATTGTAAAATTTGTGTACAAGTGAGTATGGTCCAGAAAATGATATATTTACATGTAGAGTGCATTTTGACTTTAAACAAGATGTGTTTGTGAAACACTGATGCCCCGGTATGGCAACATAGCAAAAGTTAAACTTTTCTTCAAGGCAAATTAAATATAATTGGTACCCAAAGTAAGGTCTTCTCACAAGAAATACAATCGTGAAATATGAAAATCCTAGCACCAGCTGTTCAAAAGTTATGGCTAAGGATAAGTTTTGAAAGGTAAACCAAACTCCAGGGTCAAGGTCAAAGGGTAAAAGTTGTTGGTTTCTAAAGAAAAGTTTTGCCACAAGGATCACATGTGAAAGTATGAAAGCCAAAACTCTTAACTGTTCAAAAGTTATGACCACGTTAAAGTTTTGAAAAAGTAGGTCAAACTCCAAGATCAAAGATCAAGGTATCCAATGAAATGTCACAAAGATTAAATATGTGTAGTATGAAAGCCCTTCAAAAGTTAGAGTCAAAGTTGTTGGTATCAAATGAAAGTTCTTTTCACAAGGATTACATATGTGTCCTAGCCCTTCCCGTTCAAAAGAGTGGCCAATATTAAAGTTTTTTAAAAGTACGTAAATCTCCAACTGAAGGTCAAGAGGTCAAAGTTGTTGGTATCCAATAAAAGGTCTTGTCACAAAGAATACCTGTTTGAAATATAAAAACCCTAATATCTACTGTTCAAAAGTTATGATCAAAGTAAATGTTTGGAATTTTTGTGTATAAGTTTGTCAAATTCTGTCAAATAGGAAAAGAGAGGGCTAAAATAGGCTGCACCTGCTGCCCAATCCTATTCACAATAACATCAGTGAATAAAATATTGTTTAAATAAAAAAAGTAAAATTTGGTGGTACCCAAAGAAAGGTCTTGTCATAAGGAATAAAATGTGAAACATGAAAGTCATAGCTCCACTAAATCAAAAGTTATGGGCAAGGTTAAAGTTTTTGCGGACAAACAGACAGACAGAGCAATGGACAGACACAACAAAAACTAAATGCCCCTGAATCTTCGATTACGGGGGCATAAAAAGTATGAAAGGGAGCCAGTTGGCGTTTCCATTCTGCAATAATATATTTTTAAAAGCTTTTCAGGTTTTGCAATGAATCTTTAAACCACAACTCCCCATGGCCTTAAAAGCGCAACGGAAAGGTCAAGGTCAGAAACGTATATTACATACAGGTTATAGTATTCGGATAATTTGAGTTCTTTTTATGCCCCCGTAAACGAAGTTTCGGGGGTATATAGTTTTTGTCGTGTCCGCCTGTCTAGCTGTCTGTTTGTCCGCAATAACTTTAACCTACCCATAACTTTTGATTTGGTGGAGCTATGACTTTATATTTCACATGTGTATTCCTTGTGACAAGACCTTTCCTTGGGTACCACCAAATTTGACCATTTGAGCTTGACCTTGGAGCTTGACCCACTTTTACACAAAAATTTCAAACTACAAGTTTGGCCATATCTTTTGAACAGTAGATACCAGAACTTTTATACTTCATATATGTATTTTTTGTGGGAAAACCTTTCATTGGATACCAAGAACTTTGACCTTGACCTTGGAGATTTCTGTACTTATGAAAAAACTTTAACCTTGGCAATAACTTTTGAATGGTAAGGACTAATGCTTTCATATACTTCACATATGTAATCCTTGTGAGAAGGATCTTCATTGGATACAAAGAACTTTGACCCTTGGACCTTGACATTGGAGTTTGACCTACTTTTAAAATGCAAACCTTGACCATAACTTTTAAAGGGTTAGGGCTAGTGCTTCCATACTTCAAATATTTAATCCTTGTGTAAAGTCCTTTCATTTGATATCAAGAATTTTGACCTTGACTTTGGAGTTTGACCTACTTTTTAGCTCACCTGAGCCGAAGGCTCAAGTGAACTTTTCTGATCAAAATTTGTCCGTCGTCTGTCGTTGTCGTTGGCGTTGTTGTCGTTGTCGTTGTCGTAAACTTTTCACATTTTCATCTTCTTCTCAAGAACCACTGGGCCAATTTCAATCAAACTTGGCACAAATTATCCCTGGGTGAAGGGGATTCAAGATTGTTCAAATGAAGGGCCACGCCCTCTTCCAAGGGGAGATAATTATGAATTAGTGAAAAATTAATAGCATTTTTAAAAAATCTTCTTCTCAAGAACCACTGGGCCAGGAAAGATGAAACTCATGTGGAATCATCCTCAGGTAGTGTAGATTCAAGTTTGTTCAAATCATGACCCCCGGGGCTAGGGTGGGGCCAAAATGGCTGACCCAAATTTTACATAGGAATATTTAGGAAAAATCTTTAAAAATCTTCTTCTTAAGAACCACTGGGCCAGGAAAAATGAAACTCATGAAGAATCATCCTCAGGTAGTGTAGATTCAAGTTTGTTCAAATCATGACCCCTGGGGCTAGGGTAGGGCCAAAATGTCCGACCAAAGTTTTACATAGGAATATATAGGAAAAATCTTTTAAAAATCTTCTTCTCAAGAACCACTGGAATTGGAAAAATGACACTCATGTGGAATCATCCTCAGGTAGTGTAGATTCAAGTTTGTTCAAATCATGACCCCCGGGGCTAGGGTGGGGCCAAAATGGCCAACCAAAGTTTTACATAGGAATATATAAGAAAAATCTTTTAAAAATCTTCTTCTTAAGAATCATTGAGAAAGGAAATATGAAAATAAATGAAATTATCCTCAGGTAGTGTAGATTCAAGTTTGTTCAAATCATGACCCCTGGGGCTAGGGTGGGGCCAAAATGGCTGACCAAAGTTTTACATAGGAATATATAGAAAAAATTTTTAAAAATCTTCTCAAGAACCACTATGCCAGGAAAAATGAAACTCATGTGGAATCATCCTCAGGTAGTGTAGATTCAAGTTTGGTCAAATCATGACCCCCGGGGCTAGGGTGGGGCCAAAATGGCCAACCAAAGTTTTACATAGGAATATTTAAGAAAAATCTTTTTAAAAAATCTTCTTCTTAAGAATCATTGAGAAAGGAAATATGAAACTTAAATGAAATTATCCTCAGGTAGTGTAGATTCAAGTTTGTTCAAATCATGACCCCTGGGGCTAGGGTTGGGCCAAAATGGCTGACCAAAGTTTTGCATAGGAATGTATATAAAATTTTTTTAAAAAATCTTCTTCTCAAGAACCTTTGGGCCAGGAAAGACGAAACTTATGTGGAATCATCCTCAGTTAGTGCAGATTCAAGCTTGTTCAAATCATGACCTCTGGGGCTAGTTTTGGGGCCAAAATGGCTGACCAAAGTTGTACACAAGGATATACAGGGAAACCTTTCAAAATCTTTTCAAATACGTCAAAGCAATGACTAGTGATATTTTTCTATTTATATGGAATCATCCTCAGGTAGTGTAGATTGTACATTGTTCAAATCATGACACCCAGGAGGGTTAAAATTCAAGCCCCCCCCCCCCCCCTCCCCCAGTAAACTTTCAGTTTTGATCTGATTTGTGCTTTTTCCTAGCAAATTGTTCAGGTGAGCGATGTGGCCCCTGGGCCTCTTGTTAAATTTTTAACCTTGGCCACAACCTTTGAAGGGTTGGAGCTGGGGCTTCCATACTTCACATATTTATTTTTTGTGGCAAGACCTTTCACTGGATATCAATTACCTTGACCTTTTGACTTTGACCTTGGAGATTTCCATACCTATGAAAGAACTTTAACCCTGGCATACTTTCATATTTCACAATTGTATTTCCAGTGAGAATACCCTACTTTGGGTACCAATATATTAAATTTGCATTTAAGAAAAGTTTAATCTTCGCAATATTGCCATACGGGGACATCAGTGTTTCACAAACACGTCTTGTTTCTGTAAGATTTCAAAATTAAACGTTAAATCATGAAACTTCAAAAAGGCTCTTTTTGACTTTTAATTCGCAAAATAAATGTCAAGGATAACTTTTTTTCTCCACCTGTAATTTTTTTTCTCCATATGAAAGAAAATTGAAGTTCGTCCAAACTCATTTTTTCCTGAAGCGGAGACACGAATTCTCTGAATTTACCTTTTCTTTGTTGAAGAAAAACATAATGCTTAAAGGAGGCTTGGCGTCAACAAATCAACCATCAGATATAACCTCATTTTTTAATATTATGGTATCTTAAGCTGTCAATTATCATTTGGCAAGGGAAAATTTCATACATTTTAGTTTTAAAATTTGATCATTTGTACATCTTTATATGGAGCTCTTCTTCTGAAGGAGATCAATATAATGTAGTCTAAAATGACTATAACCACCCAGTCCTCTTTAGATCTCAGAGTGTGCCTTGGCCGTTGAACATCAATTACATGGTCAATATTTACAATGATCCATAAAATGATACAAATATATGTATATATTCTATCCGGAAAGAAAAGTGTACAAAATCTTCAACACCCCATCCCTTTCCAGTTCCAAAGCTCCTTTTCGGTAATAGCTTGAATATAAGTAATGTGTGGGTTTATTGTGACAAATTACTAGTATATCCTTAAGTAATATTTCAGTAAGTCCATATAAAGTAAAAAAAAATGTCCAAAACAGTATATGACTGTCATATGTCTTTTTACAATAAAACTTGCTATAACGAAATCAAAATGTCCCTTTACAGTAAAACTTGCTATAACAAAATCAAAATGTCCATTTAAAGGATAACTTGCTATAACGAAATCAAATTGTCCATATACAGTAAAAATTGCTATAACAAAATTAAAATGTCCCTTTACATGTACAGTTAAACTTGTTATAACGAAATTAAAATATCCCTTTACAGTAAAACTTACTATAACGAAATCAAAATGTCCCTTTACAGTAACACTTGCTTTAACAAAATCAAAATGCCCATATACAGTAAAACTTGCTATAACGAAATTAAAATGTCCATTTACAGTAAATTAAACTTGCTATAACGAAATTAAAATGTCCTTATACAGTAAAACTTGTTATACCGAAATAAAAATTTCCATAATTGCAGTAAATCTTGTAAAAATTATTGCAAAACTTATTAAATTGAATTAAGAATTTTTGTATACAGTAAAACTTGTTATAACTTATATTAAGTTTTCAAAGTACAAAAAAGACTTTTATCTACAAATTCCAGATTTCCATATAAAGTTATAATAGTAGTGTTGTACTCAGAGACTCAAGGAGCTACTGTAACAGAACCTTTTATCCTTATGATTTTTTTTTGTTCTCAAGACAGTATTTATAAACTTGACATATGTGATTTGTATTCTATTCCCTTGCACTGAAGTGCAAGAAGTGCAAGGGATCATGGGACAAGACTATGTAAACATATGTGGTTTGTACTCTATTACTCATCATTCTGAAACTTGGAAAAAGGGATAAGAAAAATGTACATAAAGGAGAAAAATACAGCAAAGAAAACGTTTGCCCTAAACAGGCTTTGAATTTTTGCTCTAAATCTGTTTGTAATTCCAATATTTTGACTCCCTTTATAAAAAAAAAAACAATTAATGACTCTTTAGTGAAGGTAAAATTTTATTTTCTAGTAATAATAAAACACATTTCTAGTCATTTCAATTCCGTTGAGTTAGGGTATACTGGTAGTAGCAAAGCCTTTTTGGCGGAGGATATACTTTATTTGTATTTACAATGAAATGTTGTTTTGCAATATTATGTGCAGACGACATTGACGACAAAAAGCAACGTAGAAACAGCAACAGACGTCAACGTCACAGCGAAGACTACAGCAGTGGAAGTGCGAGTGATGATGAACGGCGATCACGTGGGTAAGTAATTTATCCTTGGGAAAAAAATTGAAAACAACTGTAGATTTTTTTGTAATGAAATATGGAAATAAACACTGTAATCAAGCTAAAAAAAATCATTGAGACTGTCAATATCCTTGTTTCATCAACTTATTTGTCAATAGTTTGTCTCGTTTTAGATATTGTTGGTACGTAGAATATGTATTTGCGTATCGAATCAACTGGAAAACACGAATTCCTTATACGCAAGTGATAAGGGTTAGTTTGTGAAAAAATAATTTTGAACAAATAATGTATTGACTACAACACCTTTGAAATTTTTGCCCCATTTAATTTGGCTTTGTTTACAGTGTGTGAATTTAGAAATAGCAAATATAATATACAGTGTAAATCTCACTAAAGAGACAATTATTCTGATCGAAAAGAAACCTTTTAATTAAGAAATGCTGTTCCCAAATGACTGTTTTATAACATGTTACGTCTACCTCACCAGACGGAGGAGTGATAGAGCTTACAGCTCACGAAGCCCACGTGACGATAGCGACGGTTGGAGCCGAGATAGCAGCGACAGGGAGCAGACAAGTTACAGGTCTAACAGACAGAGCGACAAACGAAGGCAGCGGTCACCACCCTCAAAATATAGTGATCCGCCAACCCCTAGGTATGATGATCCGCCAAGAAAATACAGAGATCCATCACCAAGACGTAAAGATCCTCCTCCGCCACCGGCATCTAGACCTCCTCCAGCAAGGGGTCAAAGAACCACCAGTAAGCATACTATTTGAAAATAAAGTGCATGATTACTTGTGCTTTGTTATTGCAACAAATTTAGAAATCCATAAAACATTGTCTTCAATAAAAAGTTCATTTCTGGGTTGGAGTTTATCCTTGCGAAAAACCTTCAATGGTTCTTGCAATTGGTAAAAAATGGAATAATTTTTATAGCTGATAAGAAAAGAGATGATCTTCATGATGAACTTCAGCAGCGAATGTCTCGAGGTCCAAAATCAGGTCAAGGTCCTAAGACTGCCCAGAAACCACAGCGAGAGCGACCCCAGGTCAAAAACATTACAGCAAGGTCATCCGTGGACGAAGTCGGTGATTGGCTGGATACAAAAGGATTTTCTGAAGAGTAAGCAGTGCGGTATTTTTGATTGGTTGATTGTTCCCAAATTTAATATTTGTAAATTCTGTATTGGTAAAAAAAATTATTTGATTTTTACAGGTGCATCCATGTATTACGAAGATATAATGGAGAAGACATGTTCCGATTGAAAAGGAAAGAAATGGACAGACTTATTGGCACTCAAGAGGCACAGCGACTAGAAAGTCAAATCCTCGTCCAGAAAAACAAAGAAGGGGTAAGGTATAAGTTCTGAACACAAGGGCTCCTTCTTTCTTCTATGGGAAGAGTATATGAGAGAAAGGCTATCGTAAGAAGAAGTAATATTGCGAGGTCGTGAAATGTGGTGGGGACATGAATGACTCAGAAAAAGATTGTAAAATAAAAAGTTCTCACTAGCAACTGATTAAAATTTATCCATGTTGATCTATATAGATATTTGAAATGATGAAAGCTGACGTCAAGGTTAAAGGTTAAATATGTTCATTGCAGTACAAGACGGCACGTAGTGGCGGGAAAGAATTGCAGGCGATTCTTCACAGGCGGAAGGAAATGGCGGACCGGAAGGGAGGCGATAATCCGGCGTTCGCTCCGGAATCCCCCGACTATTCAGATTCGGAGAGTAAGTCCATCCAGCATACTCCCTGTAGGATGCACGCTTGTCTGCTTCTTAGCATTGACTCTGATTTTACGAGATTTAGAAGATGAATTGCTAGACTCCTGCTTTGGTTATAGATGTGTTCATTGTCTTTCGACGACTTCTTTCAGCATCAAATCTCAAACTGACACGAACATTATGTAAGATAGGTTTCTAATTTTCTCAACAGTGAAATTGTAGGACATATTGTAAGGAAAAAAAAACCTTGAGAAAACCTAATTATTGTATACGAATTCTAAAGGAAAGAACAGTCAAAATTAAATAAACTGTCACTTTTATAAACGCCAAAGTGAGATGTGATTGTAGTGGAGTGGTTCGTTGAAATTTCGGCGTATTGGGTTGTGGTTAAAAATATTTTTATTTTTGAAAACATCGACTTCGAGATATAAAATGAAAAAATGATTCATACCAATATTTGCAAATTCTGTTTGATTTTTCACAACTATTGCTTTAAGGCAAATCTGCTTTTCCAAATGCTGGAACTCCTATGCACCATGTATTTATAAAGAAGAACAGGCACTTGACGATATTTTTGTTCTTAACACAAAAATTAAAAAAAATAGATAGTAAAATAGTCAATAATTAACCCTTCTAATAAAAAAAAAAACATTTCTTCAGGAGGTATTTTTTGTGTTAAAAAGATATGACGTCATTTGCCTGTGAATGGTAGGTAATGGTTTTGATTGCAGTATTTTCTCTACGTAATATAAATTTGATTCCTGTAATTTTTCCAGTGGTTCAAGAGATAACAGATGCCTTTAATGACATGTTGGAACCCTACGAATAAGGTGATGCTTTCGCCCTTTATACATTAATAATTGCCGGGTTTTCTGTATAGATACTTTTGTATATATAAGACTGTATTTCAGATTAAACATTGTAATTAATACCACTATTACAGTCAAACTTTGTTATCTCGAACTCGATGGGACCGAAAAAAAATTATCTGAGGATTCGAGATTTCGACTACGAGGTAAAAATACAAAAAAAAAAAAAAATCATATATGTACTTTATAGCGACTTCGACATATCACTGGTATTCGATCATATATCCGTTTTCGAGATAACGATGTTAAACTATTTTCTTGTATTCACATACAATCTAGTATTAAATTTAGAACCAAACCACGCAGTAATGGATAAGGGCTTCAACTAACAATTAAGACATCTTTGTGCAGCTAATCACACGGTTCAACGATTATTTTTCTTTTCGGGCGTATATTGTTTTTGTTGTCTGTTTGTGTGTTTTCATATCTGTTTGCGTGGTGACTTTAACCTTCGCCATAACTTTTGAACCAGATACAGCATATTTACTCCACTAATAAAGAAATACATTCAATGACCTTGTGACCACTGTAACCTAACCTAAAAATAGCTTTTTATGTTTTATATATTTTGAACAATAGGAGATAATTACTATGCACACTGATTAAGTTCTTTCAAATGACACCAAGGTCATGACCTTGTGACCTTGACTGTGACCAATATGCTAAAAATAGATTTTTTGAATTCAAAAACACACACTTGATTTGCTTTGCTTTTTCATATACAGCGTGGTGTTTTCTTGCAATACAGCATTTCCAATGAAATACATTAACGACACTTTAATTACTAAACAACTTCCCGTACTTCCAGCATAGTCAGAAAACCTTTTTATTTTTCTATCCGTTTTCAAAATTGTCTTGCCGACACTAGTGATTTTTCTTTCTTTTTGCAAAAGTATGAACATAACAATTTGCTTTTCTTAATAGTTAGATCTTTTTTCCTCTAGAAATATTTTTTGAGAGATTTTCGTCATCATTTCTTGTTTAAGGATATTGTATTGTTTAAGGTGAGTAAATTTCTTTTTGTTGTTTTCTTTCAGGCGACGCCTCCGACAACATGGAAAACGTTGGTCTTACGTTGAGAGCGATGTTACGTCATCAGCGTAAACGGATTTCTAACAGCGTGTATCATGATTAACATATCATGTCCCAGATATTGTGATATAAAAATCATCTTTGCTTTGACTTTTCTTTAATATTCTTAAATAGCTAATTACTTGTATATCCTTTTATAATTTGCTTGAAATCCATCTATATTTCAAACAGAACTACAATTTTAAAATGTACACGTTTTCATCCGATTTAATTTTTCGACTATAAGAAGAAAATATTTGTATATAATTACATATCATATGACGTTTGTAAAAAGGGAACATACTTACATCTGCGATTTTAACATTAATAAACAGATGTTCAAATATTATGTTGATAGATGTGTTATTATAAACTTGTAGTATATTTTTATGGTTTACTGCAAAAAAGCAGAATTTTAACTGCTTAAAATTGTAAAATATAACTATTTTTTTCAATTAGAATTAGAAGTTTTTGCAGCAATTATCTGGTGACTTTATTCTAAGAAAGAAAACCTAACTGAGTGATATATATAGATATTTGTTGATTGTTTTGTTTGATCCAGGTATTTTAGTAGATACATATATTTATAGTTTATCATATTTTGTTTTACATGCTTTCAAAATAGTGCCATGTAGTTTTTTTTTTTTGACAATGTTTTAGTCATATGTTACAGTATTCTAGACGGTACTTAATTTTCTCCCCTTATTTTTACACCAGTTGAAAACCAGATATTGTAAAATACAATAGTATTGTAGTATTACTTGCCAACCAAATTAAAAGAATCAATAATTCATGAATGTATTCAATGTGCCAGATCTTGCCTCCCTTTTAGTGAACAAAGCATAGGGAACTTGTAGTATACAATGTGTATGTATGTTTAAAAAATGTACTATTAGAACTGAATGTCATACCATTAATATACAATTTCCAGTTAACAACAATGCCATAAAAAATATGCACACATATGCACCAATTTAAATAATTAAATATCATCTAGGTCTTGTTCAGAATCTTTTTAAGATTGTTGAATTGATTAGATTATACATGTAAATTTTACTTCAATATTTTAAAGGGAGAAACATGCATTAGAGATTATGCAAAAATCAAACTCATTTCCTTTTATTGCAATTTTGAGTGCCAATATATACATGATATGCATCATATTAATTAGAATCGTATACAAGAAGTGAATGTCACTTTCCATATGTATATTTACCACTACTTGAACTGTCAATTTATCCTTCATATTATGTAACTCATACCATACATATGTTTGTTACAATAAAATGAATAATTTATGTGAAGTGTTCTTTGATTTAAAATTTGCCAAGTACATGAACAATGTTTCTGTAAGCACAGGTATGATTTTTCTCACTTAATGATATATGATATCATCTTTATTTCTTTGTTAGAACAGGAATTAAAGTTGCAGCTATGGCAAAAAAAATCCAAAATGCAATAGCTGTGATATTAATGCCCATAGTAACAACCTAAGAGAGCATTTTATTGTTGAAGAATACTATTGGTTTTTTAAAGCCTAAAGCCCCTAGGTAAGGGAAATAACTCTGTCAATCCTCTAGCAAATATTCAATTATAATAGTTAAAAGAATGATGAAATATTTTAATTAAATAACAGACTAATTTAGATATGTTGGAATGCCACAACTTGCTGGCAGAAGGTTGGCAAATTTAACATGCATTAGACACTTATAGCCAGTCAGCATTTTTTTTTCCATGCCAAATTATGCTGCATCACACATTGTAATATCAATTATCGGTAGTATAGTTTCATTCAAATGACTCTAAAAACTTGTTAAACAGGTAATTTTTCAAAAGGAAGTACCTTTGTATTTCATTAATTTAAGTGGAAATTCAAGTTTTAAATGATGTCCTCATTGTGAAACAGAACGCAAATCTTTATAACTTCAAATTACCGGGTACATTCCAAAAGCCCCAAGACAAAGTTCATTTGCTCCAATATTAAATGAAAAAAAAAAGAACTTAATTGTGCAAGGCCTTTGCTTTCCTGTGAAAAGTAACAAAAACCTTTTTTCTTATTCCCGTACATTGTTCAACAATCTATATAATTTTATTTAAATAAAGTATTATTCCATCTGACAGTAAAGTCCATTTCTGTAAGCAAGCAAAACTACAGTTTTGTTTTCAAATTGGTTTTATTAATAAATCTAGAATGTATAAAGGTTATTTTTTAGGCTTTTATTCATTCAAGCATATGTCAATAACAGCAATAATTAGACAAGATAAAAAATAAATTTTCTGTTGATGGTGAAATGTTTCTATAATAATGATACAAAATGATTACAGGCATATGTTCAAACCATTCAAAGTGGTCACACTTATATAAATAAGGTTCTCTCCTATTAACAGAGTTTTCAACAAATGTTCCAATAAGAACAATCAACAGTCAAAAAATGATATTTTTCTGACCTAAATAAGATTTCAAAGTCTCTCACTGGAATGTTACATGGAAGCATTTTAATCCACTTAATCCAGCACTATATCGATTCCTTGTCCTAATTATCCACCATGTTTTATCATCAGATCTGAACTTTTGACTAACACTACTGGTTACATGACTTAATAACTAGACTCTACAGAGACAGGTTTATGCATCACTTTCAGTTTTTTCATTATATATGATTGTTTAATGTCATGATAGTTCAAAAGTAATATAAAAAAAATCACAGATAATATGGTGAACAAATATACAGGAAGTGTATACTTTCATATTGTTCATAAAATAAATATGAAAACAAAATTATTTTCCAAAAATTAGAAAAATAAAATTATGAAACTTTTCTACTGACTATACATCTGAAAAATGTATATGAAGTGGTCCCATTGCATAGTGTTGGAACATTTTGGTCCACGTTTTTCAAAATTTCCAGTAAACAGGAAATCTTATACACCCAACAATTAAGTACATGAGCATATGTTTTAGTTTATTGCTAAGACAATGTTTGCATATATTGGAAGAAACGTAGGAATAAAATTTCTTATTTTCAAAACATGGAAAGTTTTTGTCTTCAAACATAATACTGCAAAATCATCCATGATTTTTCACTTTTCCATCTGCTCGCCCAATTTAATTATCTATCCATTCGTTCTATACCTTTCTAGCAGTTCCATATAATATATTGAAACTAAGTGAATAAAGAAAAAAATATTTGAAGCAATTTTTTGACTTGTTGTTGCACAATCAGAAAATGCAAGCTGATACTGATTATGAAGGTTTTCTACGATGTTTCTCCATTTTGTTGGCTTCTCATGTCTCTAGCCATAAGACAGGCGAAAATGGTCATAATCATTTTTTGTTTAACGTCCACAATGTCCTCAGGCAAAGCGTACACCTTAGCTCCGGCTTTCCTGGCCATGGAAATGGCATATTTAGCATTGGACATCTTGTCCTGTTAAATAGGTCAAGAAGAGTTAATTTAAAAAAAGATACAGTATACAGGGAAATTTTGACCCCAATTTTATTTTCACCCCTTCGCTCACAGAGACTAATTAAGAATTGGGCCTCTTCAAAGAACACAGTATTTCTTAAACAGAACTGCAATAATCAGTAGTGCCGCTACCACACATGAACCCTTGACTGACTGGGCTTATAGGTCACCTGAGCATTATGCAACAACTTTCCAGTGATTGAATTTGATCCATGTTTTAAGCCAGATGCTATAGCATTTACAATTTTGATCATCATAACTATACACTTAGCAGTTGCTTAGTTTGGTTACTTAATACCCATAGGCAGGGTAGGGGAACAAAAAATGCATTTCAACAAATCAGTAATATTCAGCAATAATCAGTAGTGCCGCTACCACACATGAACCCTTGACTCTTAGGCCTAGATCCACACATTGCACAATTTTTGAAAAGGCATCCTTGCTTTTCAAAAGTATTTAATTAATACCAAGGAGCAGATTTCAAACAATTCATTAAGTATATTTAAAATGGAGCAAAATTTGTATGAAAGCATGAAAATAACATGTGGGAAAAATAACCAATAACAGTAACAAAATTTAGCTGGTAGGTTTGTGTATTATGTTTCAGTGAAAATAAGGAGTATTTTAAACAAAACATACCCGAAAACCCTTCATTAAAATTACCAGAACTCCAGAGCACTGAAGAGAATAAACTATTTTACCTCTTCTGAGTGTCCATCCTTTACTAAGTCGTAGTTGATCATTCCTCTCCTGATGCTGTCAATGAGGTCGATGATCGTTTTGCCGTCCGACAAAGTGGCATCATTGAAACCTGTGAAGCTGCTCTTCTTACCTCCCTCTCGCAACTGAAAATCAAGAAAATTTTAATTTTTTGCATACTTTAACAGCACTTGCACTGTAACCAGGCAGAGAGTTGATGACAGATTTAAAAAAAAATTCATTAAGAGTAATTTCCCTTAGGGCACTCAGTTGCAGGTTTACTACTAATATTCCCATATATTTCATGCTTATTTTTATCAACAACTTTTTATCCATAGCTCCAAGATTTTGTGCTTTGTTAATTTTTAGTTTGTTCCCAACCAACAAAAAGAGGTGCAATATCCTGTGAAGAAAACAAAGAACATGTTCAAAAAAACCAATACTAGTATAAATCAATGTATGTGGCATATACAGCCCACCTACCTTGGCATTAGCCCACTCAATGATGGCTGCATCGTTGATAAGAGAATCCCCTCCAGCCAGCTGTCTGAGGATACTTAGTGTGTACGCCCTCATCAACTGCCACACAAGACCTACAAGGGTACAAACCAGGGTCAATGTTTGTAGAATCATACATAGCATTTAATGTTGAATATTTTCAAGAGCAGCAAAATATTTCAAGTGCAATGACATTACTTGCAAAGGTTAAGTTTCTTATTTGCTGCTTATAATATTTCCAAAGAGTCTATATAAGATGACATTTCATAATTTTTTTTTCAAAAAACTTACTTAAGGTTCATTGACTCTCTGATAAGAAAGATGACTCTAACTGAGCTAAAAGACTGTTATTCCTTTTTTAAGGACTAAACAGAGGAATGATGCACCTTAAGATGGAATACATACCAAGTGTCAGTGTGGGGTTTCCTTCATTAATATCTGCTCCACTGATGCCCACCAAGGAAAACTTACATTCTTTTCCTAGTTCTACTACATAGTTACAATTCTCTGAAAAACAAAAAAAATTATAAAAATCTCAATTCTATCATATATTAATAATTTCTCATATGAACAAACAACAAATTACAAAACATGCATGAAATGAATGAGGTATACCTAATTTTTCAAAGTTAATTTTTAATTTGTTGAACTTCATAATGACTTTCTTCCAGTTCACAACCCCCGGTCTGATAATGTCATATAATTTGAAATACACAAGACCATCCTGGAGGTCGGAGTAAAGATAATGTACATAGGGCTGCACTCCCAGACTGTTCATCCAGTTTCTGTATGCTGAAAGGTACAAGAAAAATTAAGTCAAACTTGCTTTTTTCAAAAAGAAAGAAAAATAGATAAATAAATTTTAATTTTCTGAAAAAAAAAACTTTATGTTTTAATTTCTTTAAAATTATAGTTCCTTGATTTGACACAAATTAAGGAAAATGTATAAATTTTCTGCTAACATATTTTCTTTCATCATTTTCTCTTACTCTCTTTTTTTTGGCCATATATGACTCCTTTTATGTCCACTTACTCTTTTCCTCTCTGGTTTCTTCTACGACGTCCATCTCCATGTCCTCTGGGGGTTCCAGGGCTGGGTACTGGTTAAACAGGTTAGCCACGTAGGCCATGTTCAACTTATAGTTACCCGACGTCACGTCTTTAGGCGACACGAAGCTGCGACAGCCGATCTTATCTGCCTCCTGTAACATGAGCTCAGCTCTCTGCTCCAAATTATGTTCCTGAAATATAATTCAAAATTTTAATTATTTATTCCAATGCAGGCAAATTCATCATTTGATTGTTTAAAATCTGACACAGGGAATATGACTGCTGTTGCCCAACATCATTATGTACTTACAGACATAGGTGGACCTGCCATGACACCATTTTCTCTTGGTGCGATCTGCTCCAGTAAATAGCAGTAAGCCTCAGAGTCCTGTAAAAAACAGCAAAGGAAAATCCATAACTAACTGTTTGAAAACCATCAACTATAACATGCAGAAACACAAGTTTTTTTTCCATTTATGTCAATTTTCTTCACTTTTTCCAGTTAATCCTTTCTTTCTGTTATGTTACAACTTTTGTACATGTATACATTTAACTACAAACAAGAGAACTTTCAGCTCATGCATTTGTCAATTTTTTCACACTTGTTGACCAAGCTTCAACTTTACCTTGATGTCGTTCTGGAAGTTATTGATCCTGCGGTCGATCCCGGCGTTCCTGAGGTGGTAGTTAACCCAGCGAATGAGGATTTGTTCTGGAGACAGTTTCTTAAGGTCTTCTGGGGTTTCTCCTTCTTCCAGGAGGTTGACAAGACCAGGGTGGTTAGCCAAGTTAATATCACTCAGCAGACCAATCTAAAATTGCAACCATTACAACTGTAAAAGTTTCAGTGACTGATAAAGGACTTGACAATGCATGCATCCAATCTGGTTTATACTAAGTGTCACATTTTGATTAAAAAATATATCAAGAGCCTACACAAATTGGTCATTTTTTTTATATAAGAAAGATATTGATATGTAATCTTTTTCTAAAATTTAAGTAAACTATGTTTGGTTATCTACACTGCATTGGAATTTCATTATTTTTTGCTGCAGGCACAGGTATGTAATATTTATCCAATAATTGTCAATCTCAGTTCCTAATGAGAATTGAGTCTCATGAGTAAAATGTTTCAACATTTACCATGCTAGCTCTTTAAGTGTTTAATTCTCATTTCATCACAATAAATCAAACATTGCTATTATCAATATCATCAAACATCTGTGTAATTTAAAGAATTGGGTAGAACTACCAGGACACCTACCCTAATGACTTGCCACAAGAGGCCGAGAACAAGATGAGGTTTACACTTCTCCAGATCGTCGTCCCCGATGTTGACAATGTTACAGCCGATAGACTGGGCCGACATCAGGGCCAAATTGTGGTTCTCCGCCCTGCGATAAATGCTGAGGTTTGTCTTGTTGATGGCACGTTCATCAATGGTGTCTGGTACAGATTTGTTGATAAGTTTACTGTAACATAGAAAAAGAATGTTATAATTTGTGAAATTGAAATAAAAATTCCCAGCAAAGAAAAAATTTGACTCAAATCAAATCAATTTTATGTAATTCAAGACATAAAATTGTGTCTTCTTAAAAATGTCAGAATATACCCTCATATGTACTAAATTTTATTATGATGCACATCCTTGATTAATGCTATGAAAATCTGTAGATTGGGAGGGAATTATCAGAAACTGAAGAAACATACACAAGTAGTGACCTATACTATCAAATGAACTTAATTTCAAATATGTGCTGATGAATTGGCCAAATCATTCATCAGTTAATAATTTCTACAAATACTTTGTATCATTTCTCATGGAGCAATGCTTTTTTCCAAATCAAAGTTGAAAGTAGTGACTGTAACACAACCAAACCAAGTTTTGGGATGAAAAAGAAGGAAGCCCTCACAAGTAACATTTCTAGCTGAATGGCTTAATAGCTTAGAGCAAAAGAGGCTCCTGTAATGGCAAATATAATCAAAGGCCTGAAGGGCCTGCGAGTTGACTCGCTCGAGTCAATTTGAGCTTTTTCATACACCTGGGCACAATACCTTCATATATTCAGTTTATTTTGCATCTTAAGAGATTAAATAAATATCCATGTTCGGTTCATAAATAAAGTGTACATTGCTTTTCCTTTATAAATACAGGTTGGCACTAATATATTTTGACTGGATTCTATAATGAATTTCAGCACATTAGCTGAAGTGGTCAGTGTTATGGAATAATTTTATAGACACAGCAAATACTTTAAAAATAGATTTTCAACAACAACTAGCTGCAGCTAATGAGGGAGCAGCAGGTGTTTGTGTTCCAATTAAAGTAAATAAAAGATGGGAAGATTGACCACCTAACATTTTTGAACATATTCATACGCAGTAATTGTACATCTTACAGATATTTAAATAAAAAATTTCTTTAAAAGCATGAAGGTATAAATAATGTTACAGTATCAAAAAATTACCTCAAAAAATCACTCTAAAAAGCATGTTTTGCTAGAACTATTATCTTTGGCGTATGGATCACCTTGATGAAGTGAAAAATTTTACAGCTCTGAAACTGTTAACCCTCTGAAACGGCTATGTCGACAAGGATTAGCTCGCTACGCGAGCCAACTCAATAAAAGCACTACTGAATGAATGAAAATTATTTTCAATATCATAAACAGGAAGACAATGCTACTTTTTAACAACTGACATACAGTTCAATGAGTTTATTTGGGAAAAAAATATGTTGCTTTAAATTTATCCAATGTTGTCCGGCTTATTACATAGTGACCCTAGCTTTTGTTCAACCAAAACAGGTCAATAGATTTTGACTCAAGTTTCTGTTTGTAGCATTTGCTCTAAATAGTAGGGATCAATTCCTAAACAGCTGATTGTACAAGTGTGGAGGGTGACATATGGCCAGACAACAAGGAAATTTTGTTGTGATGCACTCTTGCTGGGGTTACATAATGCACTGACGTACTATGAAGAGACAGTGGGAAATCAGCTATGCTTAGTTAATTCTTTGACACACCTCTAATTCTGCTAATTATTCTGTGAACTGCACAATGTGCATTTTCTCTTATAATGTTTTTCACAATCAACTGTTTTATATTTCACAAGCATCTGGTTCATTTTTTCTCTTTAACTGTATAAAATTATAATAGAGTACATATATAGGCCACTAACCATGCACGTTAAATTTATTGAAAAAGTTTAAGTAGGGTGTCGAGCTATTATACATTATATACATAAGGAAAATGTAAAATATTGCCATATAAGGGATGCAAAATCATCAACTATTACTCATATCCATTATATTATATCAGTTTTACTGGAAAGTTGTTTAAATCTTACTAAAAAAAACATCCTTAGACAAAGATTTTAATTGCATGATACATATATTTGGATTTCAAATACACTTGAACTTTTATATATATGACATATATTTGTATAGTCTGATAAGGAAGTTTACATTCATAAGAAGAGACCAAAATAACTTAATTGGAAAATAAAGATCAATTTATTTCTTATTGCCCTCTACAGGTCAGAAGGTCAAATTTACAAGAGGCGATAAATAGCCCATGTACTGCTTTAAAAATAAAATGAAACTGAAGATGTATACATTTGAATACATTGGTAGGGCTGTTCCTAAAAATTGGAATAGCAGGGACATTGAAAGTGTAGACAGAGGTCTGAGGTTCCTCCCCTGATAGGAAGTTGAGGGGGTAACAAAGAGTAGCCACATGATAGTCATTATAGGCAGAGATTTATGCAAGGGAAACTCCCCGGCCCCCATGTCTTAGGTACAACTTTCCCTGAGGGTTATCTTCTCCTTTTATATAGGTGTTTGCTGTTTTAAAAATGTCAGGCCTTCTCCTTTGCAAGTATGCATACTAGCTTTTAATTGTCACAAAGAATGAGAACAGAGTAAATTCAGGATGAGGGGACACAGCCCCTGTAGCTCCTCACTACAGAAGGATACCTTATGATAACACAGCAAATTCTGGTTAAAGTGACATGCCCCCTATTGGGATACCATATGACAACAGAGTAAATTCAGGTTAAGGTGACACACCCCCTTTTCCTACTCACCACAGAAGGATACCATCCTGGGTCTTTTTGTACAGATCCTCACCGGTGGAGGACAGAGGGAGGTACTTGGCACAGTCTGGATCATCAGCCAAAGCCCTGTCCATAAAAAGTCAGAACTTAATTTTGTTATATACATAATACATGTAATACAATTTTATACTTCATATAAAATATGGTAAAATAAGTGATACATATACATGTGTATCATATAAAATTAAAAGTATTCAAAAATAAGAAGTGAATAAAAATTGTTAAAAATTTGAAAAAAATGAATCACAAATCAATCAGAAATTAAAACATGAGACCCATGAGCCACAAGGCTCTCCCAAGTAATCAGCATTTCACCTTATATTTCTTATCCTATGTGAAACTTCGATAACTTTTTATGATCCCACCCTAACCTGGGGCATGACTTCAACAAAATTAAATCTACACTACCTGAGGATGCTTCCACATCCATATGACTAATCATTGCTTTGCTTCTTTTGAGAAGGAGGAATTTAGATTTTCCATATAGATTCACAAGTGTAACTTTGATTCCCCATTGTGGCCCAATCCTTACCCTCCTACGGTCCATAACAATCCTTTCTAGACAGGTGGTTCTTCTTCAGATTTTTTAAGACATCAACCCTATTCCCCCTACCCTTTTTTAAATCATCTCCCCTTTACAGAAAATGTGGCCTTTGAATTGAACAAATCTTAACCCCCTTATACCCAAAGATGCTTTATGATAACATTCAAATTGGTTGAAATTCGTCCAGCAGTTTTGGAGAAGAGGTCAGAACTGTGAAAATTTATCAGATGGACAAATAGACAGACAGACTGTCAACATGTGATTAGTAAATCTTATTTGATCCTTCAGTTCAGGTGAGCTAAGTAAAAAAAAAATGCCTATCAGTAGCTTTCCAGTGCATTTAATTTATCAGCATAAGAAATCCTGTTTTGTACTTGAGCAAATACTTGCAGTCTACATCTGACATGATTACGGGATAATCGCTGTCAAATTCTCTAACATCTACAATTTCTAGCCATTACATTTGACAAACTTTACTAGCTTTTTTACAACAGTAAACATAGCTTACATCTTAATTTCAAAGTTGTCAATTGCAAAAGGGAATTCCTTTGAATGCACCGAATAATTCCTATACTCAGTGCAACATTAATGACATTCGTCTAGTCAGGACAGTTCAAAAGGTAAAATATTTACCACCGTACTAGAATCTTAACTCATTAATTTACTGCTTTTACATCATTAACATCAAGAAAATTAATTATAGTCTAGTGAAATTAAAATGTCACTATTTGCAGGACATTAAGACAAAACAAGCAAACAAAAAAATCTGAAATTACTGAAACTAAGAACACACTAGTTAGTCTTGTGTTGAGTTTAACACTTGTTGGAAAACAACAAAAATCAAGGTGCAAAATAAAAACAAATAATAAAAAGAGGAAATTACGTGTTCATCAAAATGTGAATGTGAAAAAACAGTAGCAAGCTAGGTTATATGTCACACATGATCTCTATTATTTGTTGCAGAGCACACTCAGCACAGCACACCAGCACACTAGTGTGCTACCTATTAATCCAGTCAGAAAATGCTTTCTCGTCCTCTTTTTTGACACTATGTGTGGTGCCTTCTACGGAAGCTTGTGACAGTCCACCTAGTGATTCCACGTTTTTCCGCGACTTGATCACGGTTTTCCAATGAACACTTTGATCGTTTTTGCTCTTCAGGTCGGCATAGATCTGTAAAAATGGTCGAGGATTATTAGACAATGTGTTACGACCCCCTACCTGTTGATCCAGTCCGCGAAGGCTTTCTGTTCCTCCTTCCTCACGGTGTGGGTGGTACCCTCCACTGAGGCCTGGGAACTCCCTCCCATCGTTTCCACATCTTTACGAGTTTGGACTTGCTTTTTAAACGTTATTCCGATATCTTTTTCCGCTTTCAAGTCAGCATACATCTATTGTTATTGTAACACAGCAAAAAAATGGTCAACATGTTAGTAATGGGCTCACTCAGAGAAAAAAATGATCATGCAATATCGATGTGATAAAGATCATACACTAAAGAAAAATTAAAATTTTACTGTAAGGCCACACCAATAAAAATATTTGTTCGTCGGACCAGTGCACTCGTATTTAAACAAAACTATACAAAGAAAAATTAAAAATTTTTCTGTTGATTTACTTTTTTTTTTAGAATCCCATGGCCACCACTACTGTTTCAAGAAATTTAAGAAATTTTAAAGTGGATTCAGTACTAAGTGATCTTATTGTTTCTAATGAAAAAGTACAACTTGAACACTAATATGTCAAATACAAGGAGTAAGTCAAGGATTGTTGGTGGCCATGACCTTATGATGAACTTTGACCTTTAACCTAAATATCTAAACCAATCAGATATTTCTTTCAAGAGTTGTAATGACCAAGATATCAAGGTCTAAATGTGCCTCTGTTCTGTTGTCTTCAGTAAATTTTTTACGTGTTGTTTGCAAAACTTGTTTGTCTTTATCTACTTGCAAACATAAATATGCACTTAATTCGTCTGAATTATCAACTTTATCTCAAAGCTATCTGTAAAGTTGTCAGCACAATAGAAGTGGTTTAAATTCCTTCCAGTCTGACATATTAAAAGCCATGTTTCACTATTGTTATATGTGAATGTGCATGAATTTATCCATTTTTTATTGCAATAAAGGTGTGAAAGCCTTAATGTCAATAATCATGTTCATTTCAAGTTAAATGCATCTTAATGCTTGTGAAAATTAAATTAAAACTCTATTTGAAATATTACAACAAACTGTGTACAAAATAAAATGCATGTGAATGACTGCACACAGAGACAGTAAAAACTTGTAATATTTATCAGTTATCAACAGAAAATCTACTTCAGCTAAACTTATCAAAATGCAATATTATCTAAAAGGAAAAACATAAGTCATTACAAAGTCCACAAGGCATTAGACATACAAAGTACCCCCGGCACTCCGTACCTGTTTGAATTCGTCGATGTCGATTTTCCCATCCTTGACCTTTGTGTCGTATTTGGCTATAAGGTCACGGACCTGGTAGCTGGGGATTTTCATTCCACACAGTTCTAGAGCATGTTGTAATTCAGAAACTTCTATAGAGCCACTGCCATCTTTGTCAATCTGTCAAAATTAGGTCAAATATTAATTACTGACCATATAGTAGGATACATTTTATCATTCTTTCTTTCTACTTGTTGCATTTTATGCCATTTCAATATCAATTCTTGAAAATGAATATGTGAAGGGGGAAAAAAAACTTTGCATATGTTAAAATATGACAACAAATAAATCAAATCAATACAGTTACTGACAAATTTTATGCATATAAATATAAATATTCACTGTGAGTTTATGCTTATTATATAAGTGTATTTTTTCACAGTGTACTTGTTACCGGTAATTATGACTAATTGACCAGACATGGTATAACAAGTTAAAAAGTTAAAAAAGTACTGCCCTGGTGTAAAATATAATTTTTATTCATCCTTTGTATATTCCTATAACCCTGTTTCATTGTATTCAACATGAAGTTAGGTGCATACAAATGAGAGATTGTTTTTAAAATTCAAAATGCTAATATACTAATGTATTTTTCAGTCCCTTAATAAAAGTTATTTTTATCCATAATTATGTAAATTTAAGTACAGAGTGTACATTTTTTCTCTTTGTTTATGTGAAAAAGTGAATATTTTGTCTTTCAAAATGTTTTACTTTAATTTACTAATTTGTTCAAACACAGTAAGGAACTATGCAGCCCCCCGGAAAAATTAATGTTAAATTTGTTGAGAGCATATAGTATGGAAACTTCCTTTAGTTCATATTAATATATAGATCTGTACATTGTGGAGGGGCAAAATGTGTGTTAAATGTGTGGTCATGTAATATTTGTCTCTAGAATAAGTTTACACCATGAGGAAGTTTTCAAAGTTTAACCATGGCAAGTTTAACAGGGGAAACACTACTTTAAAAACCAATTTTATAAACAAGGAAACTGAACAAGGGTATATTGTATCATCATAAACGGGCCTTATAGGTCACCTGAGTATTGTGTAACAACTTTCAAACAATTAAATTTGGTTTGTGCTTTAAACCAGAGGCCATGAAATTCAATTCACAATCTACAATTTTGAAAGAGGCACCATTGCTTATCATAATTATTAACTTAGCTTACTCTATTTACTTAATACCCAGAGGTAGATCAGAGTAACACAGAAAATACTTCCATTTTATACCCAGTTGTGTTCACCCAAAGGAACCACTGATCCATGGGCCACATACCAGTATTTCAAAATTTTGAAAATGTTGTCATAAAATGGTTGATTAATACCAAAGAGGAGATTTCAAAGCATTAATTTATTTTCAGACTATGTAACCCCCCCCCCCCCCCAACCCCTTGACTCTGGAGGCATAAAAAAACCACTTTGCTAGATACACCATTTCAATTCTATACTTGGGTCACAAAACCCAGAAGCAAAGGAAAACCCAGAAGCAAAGGAAAATATTTTCAAAGAATTAATGCATTTTTACTATATAATCTATAGAGCCCCGCCCTAACACCAGAACCCCTGACCCTGGGGCCATAAAATTCACAATTTTGGAAGAGGCACTGTTGTTTATCATAACTATGTGCTTAGTTAGTTTATTTAATACCCAGCTGTCAGAGAAGAAAATTTTCAAAGAATAAATGCATTTTTACTATATAATCAATAGAGCCCCGCCCTAACACCAGAAACCCTGACCCTGGGGCCATAAAATTCACAAATCTGGAAGAGGCACTCTTGCTCATTATAACTATGTGCTTAGTTGGTTTATTTAATATCCAGGAGCAGAAAAGAAGATTTTCAAAGAAATAATGCATTTTTACTATATAATCTATGACCCCGCCCTAACAAGAACCCCTGACCCTGGGGCCATAAAATTCACAAATCTGGAAGAGATTCTCTGCTCATTATAACTATGTGCTTGATTAGTTTGTTAAATATCCAGGAACAGAGAAGATTTTCAAAAAATTTATGCATTTTCACTATATAATCTATAAAGCCCCGCCCTAACACCAGAAACCCTGACCCTGGGGCCAGAAAATTCACAAATCTGGAAGAGATACTCTTGCTCACCTTAACTATGTGCTTAGTTAGTTTATTTATACCCAGAAAAAAAAGATTTTCAATAGAAATAATGTATTTTCACTGTATAATCAATAGAGCCCCGCCCTAACACCAGAACCCCTAACCCTGGGACCATAAAATTCACAATTTTGGAAGAGGCACTCTTGCTCATCGTAACTATGTACTTTGTATATTTAATACCCAGGATCAGAAAAGAAGATTTTCAAAGAAATAATGCATTTTCACTATATAATCTATTGAGCCCCGCCCTAGCACTAGAACCCCTGGGGCCATGAATTTCACAATTTTGGTAGAGGACTCAATGCTCATTACATTCATGCCAACAGTTTGCCTGCTTGATGTCCAGGAGTAAAGAAGAAGATTTTTAAAGATTGCAATAATTTTAGTGGTTTTGGCCCCACCCCTCAGGCCCCAGGGGGGCAGGGACCATGAAATTCACAATTTTTGTTCCCCTCCATCCATAGATACTGTATATCACTTTTAACTATTATTAAGAAGATCCTGTCGATTGTAGACGAGGACAATGAGTCGAGCTACTTAGGATCCTCTTACGAGTGAGTCAAATAGATTACTCAGAAGTTGAATCCTTGCCACATATTAAAGCCCTACACACTCCTTGACCATAAGATCAAACCAATGACAAAATATTTGACAGACGGAGCACATAACCCCAGGTTTATAAACACCGATGACCAAATATTGGACGGACAGAGCACATAACCCCAGGTTTTATCAACACCGCAGATGTACGACAAATGCCTTAAACTATTGCACGTAAATTATATTTATAACCCATAATACCAATTAGTACACACTATATAAACTCTTGAAGATAAAGAATACATATGTCCCTTGGGCCATAGACCTGATGTGTTTGTTTATAAGTTGATGACACCGAAAAAAGGTCAATAAAACGTCTTTATGACTTCATGAATAATAAAGCAGCCATAGCTGAATGGTACATAAAACATCTGAAGCAAGACCTGATTGCTGGAATGTGAAGCCATCATTTCTTAACTTCTTCTTGTCACTTTTTAAGTGATGGTGCAAGTATTTTTTTTCACTAAAGAACTGCAGTAAGATTTTTTTTAGCACTTGTGAAAATACAAATGGCAAAAGCCTTGTTTGTTGGTTAAACATATGATTTCTACGGTAAATCTTTGATGTTGGTGGTAATTTCATCTGCTGGGTGTTGACTGATTAAATGGTTACTGGACAACACAAGGGACCATTCTTTCTGAGTATTTACACAACTAATTCTTCCATGAATAGAGAGATTAAATGCAGCAGTCTTCTCAACTGTCAACAGCTCCATGATAGATTGGGTCGATCTATTCTACAAAGTAAACAAGTCTCTCCAAAAATAAACGACACATACCCAGTCACCCACTAACATGGTCATGACATTCTTACAAAAATCTGTCCTTTTAGACCCTAAAACTCTCTGATTGTACAAGACTACCTCATTCACTCCAAGAGGTGCCGATAATTTTCACAATGGTTAGCATGTCGTTGGAAAAAAAAAGCTTCACATTATCATGTATATGGATAGTAAGTTTTACATCGACCTTACAATCTGACCTTGGCATGCCGACTATGTGATTTACAATTAACAGTGCTATATGCCTACGTCTGCTGACTTTGCTGTATTTAAAAATGCATACCTGGCAGTAATTTTCCACCTGTACTTATGAGTCTGTTCTGCACTTACTGCTTATATATAGACAAATTTCTTTTTTCACCCCTCTGTATATGTTAATTGCCTACATTTGATTATACTCCCTTATTCAACCCTTCGATGCATTCATTTACACCAACAGGTTAAAGTTTCAGGGCTGGTAACCTAATATGTTTATAAGATGCTAGTGTCAAATATTCATGAACCTTAATCTAACCCAAATACACAACAGATTGCAACCTATTCACATTAGGGAAATCTTTAATTTTGCAAATTTGGCCCATCCACGCATGCATGGTTTTCATATCAATCAATGGCTCAGTGTTTTAAGTGCCCTGGACCTTTAATGATTGAAATCAATATTAAAGGAGATTTATCAGTTATCTGGAGATGTTAACTTATTTACGGTGTATATGTTGACACATTATCATATGTCCTCAGTATTATCCCAAACAGACCTCATCTCACAATGGAGTGTTAACCCAAATCGGGGTTATGCATGCAATCTTACATTATGTGTCCTACTTCTTAGACCGAGAGAGGCAAAATCAAAACCTGTTTGACAACTTTAAAAGCCTTTCATCACCTACAACTGCCATTAGACATAACACACCTTTACTGCAAAAATATTTTCAGAGCTTAGACGGTTTATAGTACTACAGTTTGTACACAGGTTGTAACGTTTCTGACCTCATAACTGAATTTAAGGAATGATGGGATGTTTTAAATTGTGTTTCACTTTGTCAGAAGACTTATTCGACAACTTTTATTAGTATTTGTTCAGGAATTTTTATAAGCTCTTTTACTACGGGCAGCACCTCTTTTCAGAAACAGCATTTAAATGAATAAATGATATGCCAATCACACCTCTAACACATGAATGAACAGGATTACAATCATGTACTATAGTAGAATATCTACTATGGTGCAGGGTTTATAGCGTAAATGTCCCAAGACACTACTACATAAAACATAAAAAAAATGAAGGTGGGGTCCAAATAAGCAATAAATGAAGATACACTTCTATCTCTTCTACATAAAAAATTGAATTAAATTTTGTCACAAGACTTCCAGATTAGGTTATTTAAAATTCCAAGACGATCGATCATATCCATGTGCCATTCATCAAAGCTTGCACACACCTACGTAGGGTATTGGAACATACATTTATTGTGTCACAAATGCCATCTTCACCAAATATATCAGGAGCTCATACAAACATGAACCCTTCCAACGCCCAAAATCGAACATTTTGTCCCCTCCTTTAAATCCAAATTCTTTTTTAACTCTTGGCCCACACAAAATTTACCCCCAAA